GGACACAGCTCCATGTTTCCCGATTGGATTATATATCAAAGTTCCCATCGAACATCTCGGATTGAGCAGTTGTATCACCTATTTGCTGGCAACCTTCATGATGCCAAAACCACAAGGAAAGTCGACTTGCTTACTCATTATATCATGCTCCTTCAAAAGGGGGAGATGGGAAAGCCACTTGCTAGCTAGCCTAAAGTATATGGTGGTTTCAATAATCGAGGACAAATAGTCTATATAGGGATGTGCCCATCCTGATTTGGATATAGGCAATGTTTAAGTAATTATTTTTTTCAGGGCAACTCCAAAATATCCTGGTATCCATCCTGTTCTTTGCTCATACATCGTGCCTTGATTCGGCGAATTCCACAATCCGATGTCTATTGGGCGCCGTAGCGCTCACGGTAATCCTTCAACCGCTGGATCTCACCGGCGCCAATGCTATCACCCAACTTCTCAATCAGGTCGTGGAGGCCAATAACTGACCGGATGGGGATCTTGCCACCAAGATCACGCTGGGCAACGCCAATGGCGCTCTTGGTCTCGGTATCGCTGACACGTTCCTCCCGATCCAGCAGGACAACGACACCAGAGACGATACCGCCTTCCTTCTCGATGATACCGACAGCCTCGCGGAGTGCAGTGCCAGCAGTAATGACATCGTCCACAATGACGACGCGCTTGCCCTTCAGCGGGGCACCGACAATGTTTCCACCCTCGCCATGTGCCTTGGCCTCCTTGCGGTTGAAGGAGTAGCTCACATTATCCCATGTAGCTTTTCCAGATAGGGAGTCACGCACAGCGAGCTCGTTGGTGACAGAGGCGCAAATGGGGATACCCTTGTATGCGGGTCCGAAGATGATGTCGAAGTTGGGCTGAGCGGTGCCGTCAGGGTTGGTGGTGACGAAAGGTTCAGCGGAGAGGACGCTAGCGTATGCAGCAGAGGAGGCGCGCAGCAATGGGGCAGTGTGCAGGAGGGAAGAGGTGAAGAAGTAGGGCGATTCACGGCCGGACTTCAAGACATAGGTGCCGAATGAGAGGACCTTGTTGGAGATGAGGAGGGGTAGGAGGGTGGACTTGTAGTCCTGATCGGCAGATGGTGGAGGAACAGTCGACATTTTGGATTGAGAATTGAAGCAATTGTCAAGAGGTCAAGTCAAAGTCAAGAGTCTCAACGCCAAGTCGAACGGGAAAATTTTGCCGGAACTTTAATTTCCATGGAGGGGCAGGCGGTATAGACTTGGTATTGCGCCATAGTAGATGCGAGAATCTGATTTTGCTTATAAAAGTCCCATTAACAGCCATTTTGTAATAGAAAAAGGGTTAAAAATGAAATAAACACATATTAGTTCCACAATAGTTACTTTTCCCTTGAATTTTCCCTTGAATTTCCCCTTAATTCCTTTTTAAAAGTAACAAAACACGTGCCTCCGATGGCCGGCCTTCCCCGCCAAATGTTGTCCCCCCAAATGTTCCGCTCACCGGTATCCTCCATTCCTCTCCTTCACTCGTCTTCGAGCCTCACAATTCCTTCTTTTATTCACTTTTTATTACTTTTCTTTGTGTTTTATCCATTTGCTCCTTAGGTTCTTGGACATTTAGGTGTCACAAGTACACAGGGATTGTGCTCAGGGTCTCAGACAACAGTAGTCTCATCTGCACAGGTGTCCCACAAACAATCTAATTAATTACTGTGCTCCGGTATGTTTGTTCAAGAGTACAATTCGTGATGGAATTGATGGCTCGTTAGATATACGTGATATGCTTACAAAAAACCAGATTAACCCGACACGATGCATATTCGGGAGAAGCTTGCTAAAAACGAGGCGGAGGGAAAGACTGGAATCTCCTTCGAGTTCTTCCCTCCCAAAACCGCCCAGGGTGTACAGAATCTTTATGACCGAATGGACCGCATGCATGGGTTGGGTCCTTCATTCATCGACATCACCTGGGGTGCTGGTGGTCGCTTATCGGATCTGACTTGCGAGATGGTTAGCGTGGCACAATCGGTATATGGCTTGGAAACTTGCATGCACCTGACTTGCACAGATATGCCATTGGAGAAAGTTGATCAAGCGCTCCAAGCTGCCTACAAAGCTGGCTGCACCAATATTCTGGCTCTTCGAGGAGACCCACCCCGAGACAAGGAAACATGGGAGGCCGCTGAAAATGGATTTTGCTATGCGAAGGATCTGGTTAAATACATTCGGGACAAATACGGCAACCACTTCGATATTGGTGTGGGTGGCTATCCCGAGGGCGCCGATGACAACACGGATGTGGACCAATTAATCGACCACTTGAAGGAGAAGGTTGATGCGGGCAGTTCTTTCGTCGTCACTCAGATGTTTTATGACGCAGACAACTTCATCGAATGGGTGAAAAAGTGTCGAGCCAAGGGCATCACTGTCCCCATCATCCCCGGTATCATGCCCATCCAGACATACGCTTCTTTCATTCGTCGATGCAACTGGACCAAGGTTCGAGTGCCTCCTCAGTGGATGGAGGCCCTTGAGCCGGTCAAGAACGACGATTCCGCGGTTCGAGATATCGGAAAGACTTTGATTGCCAATATGTGCAGACAGCTGATCGCTGCTGGTATCAAGCACCTGCATTTGTGAGTATTCCTTACTAATATCTCAATCCTAGTATCCGGATATGTTCTAACAAATTGTCTAGCTATACCATGAACCTGGCTCAGGCCACTCAGTTGGTTCTCAAAGAGCTCGACCTTTCCCCGTCGGACGAATCACCTATTCAACGCGCGCTGCCTTGGCGACCCTCCCTTGGCCTCGGCCGAAGGACGGAAGACGTGCGACCAGTGTTCTGGCGTAACCGGAACTCATCATACGTTGCTCGTACCCAGACATGGGACGAGTACCCTAATGGTCGCTGGACCGATTCTCGTTCACCTGCGTTCGGTGAACTTGACGCTTATGGCGTGGGCCTGAAGGGCACGAATGAGCAGAACATCAAACTCTGGGGCGAGCCAAAATCGATCAAGGATATCTCGAACATCTTTGTTGACTTCTTGGCCGGTAAACTTGACCGACTGCCGTGGAGTGACTCGCCAATCACAACCGAGGCCCACGATATCCAGGAGGACTTGCTCAAGCTAAACCAGCGCGGATTCCTGACAATCAACTCTCAGCCCGCTGTCAATGGAGTCAAGTCGTCTCATCCTGTGTACGGATGGGGCCCGAAGAATGGTTTCGTCTACCAGAAAGCCTACCTTGAGCTTCTGGTCCCCTCCAACTTGGTCGATGAGCTCATCACTCGCATCGAGAAGAACGATGACTTGACCTACCACGCCACTAACAAGAAGGGCGAGCTCAAGACCAACACCCGTGACAGCCCGAATGCCCTGACATGGGGTATCTTCGCTGGACGAGAGATCATTCAGCCCACAATTGTCGAGACAGTCAGTTTCTTGGCCTGGAAGGATGAGGCATACCTCTTGGGCGAGCACTGGTCCAAGTGTCACGACGCAGCCAGCCCTAGTCGCAAGCTGATTCAGCAGGTCATGGACGACTGGTATCTCGTCAATATTGTCGATAACGACTTCCACAGATCTAATGCTCTGTTCGAATTATTCGATGGCCTTGAGATCAAAGAGCTTAACGCCGAAGTCGAGGTCGAGGTCCCTGAAAAGCCATTGACCAACGGTCACACCGAACAAAATGGCGTTGCTGCCAACTAAACCCAGTTCCCCTTAACTCAGAACTGGTTTGATATCCATTCATACCCTCGACCAACTACCTCGGTCGTATGCCACCTTTGCAAATCCCCCATTAACACCAACTCAACATACCTAATTCAACATCACTCATCTCAACGATAACACAGCCCATACAAACAACCACTCCAACACATCTCGGGCTCCCCCTGCAATGTCTTATGGCGTCACGACTGAAGACCTCTCAACGATTTCTTCCTCAGCGTTTTCATTTCAACATAATGTACCGATACCCCGTCTCTTTTAACAATGGCGCTTCGTCGATCGGATTCTCTTTTATTTTATCGGGTCCATTCTTCTCCAGGCCCGGTGCTTCTCTTCTGGACTATGTCATATTTTCTGTTTGGTCTAATACAGTCCAGAACAATAGTCCAGAAGAACGGAGGAATCAAAAGAATGAAAGAAAAAACAAAAATTCAACATAATTTTGCCTTCGCGGCTTATTCCTTCTTCTCGTCTTTGTTTGGTTTTTCTTCATTTCATAGAGCTTTCGCAGTGGCGGCTATAACTGTCCACGGTAGCCCAACCCTGCTTTTTCCCTTCTCCTTTTTCTTCTTCCTTTTTCCGTTCTGTCGAATTTTTCTTGGATGCTGCTTTTATCTCATACGATGCCGAATTCACCTCGGCTAATTGGATATCTCATTCGCATGAACTGGAAAAAGGATTGCTCAACGCATATCCGGACATCAAAAATGTTTGCGAAAGGATCTTTCTATGTTTAAATTCCTTATCTTTTCTCTGCTTTTGCAAGGTTATCCCGGGGCTAGCATACAGGACCATTCAACACCAGGATGTCGGAGTTGGGTCTGTTTTTTTTTTGTTTTTGTTTTTGTTTTTGTGACAGCAAAAGAAAGAGAACATCGTACATAAGACTGGATTCTGGATTTGAGGGGACACGACAAAATATGCATGTGATCTTATTTCTCTCTTCAACATGGGAGAGGCACATCACTGTGTGTTCTGGGCCTTCAGCTTTTGTGTCTCGGTTTTAGGTCCATATCAATATCAATCCATGTTCTTGTCTACTACTACATACATTGGCATACAGGACAATAAATGGATTGCATGTAGAATATCCAAGTTCTGGGACGTATTTAATAATAAGATAAAAATACAGTTGCAAGACAGTAGGTAGGCGAGTAGATAGAACCGCTTGAGACCAAAACCAAGACCCGATAGCACCAAAATCGACGGACGTCCCGCTTCCAAACTGAAGACTTGTAGAGAAACCATCTTTTCAAGCGTACAGCTAAAGGATAGGCTAATTTTACATTATTAGGGCACGGCCAACACATTGGAAGGCCCACGCAAATGGCTTGGCAAACCATATAATCCAACTGGACACGAGGACGACGTAGCCGGCAGTACGGCCTATCAGTATGGCAGAAATCCCAAGAATCAAGAGATACACGATGGCTTGAAGAAGCTCCACCATGAACCGGCTGATAGCCTGATCATTGCGAGGCTTGGGCCAGGCACCTGTGGCCTGGTAGCGTGACACCACGATGTAGATGCATTTGGAGACGCGCCAACAATGGCTGGTCATGTTCAGTGTGTTATTGACCACAAATTTGACGTAAGGGCTACCGGTGCCCATCCGAAAAGCGTTATTCACTTGGGTGACGGCAACAACAAGAATATTGAAGAGAAGTGAAAGGGCCAAAGGGTTGGGTCCCTCGCCGTCAGAATCAGCGTTGTCTTGGGAGCGCATGTCACCTAAATCGGCAGAGACGTCTGTGATACTCGACTGAAGAGACTCCTTGGTGGGACTCGCAACCTGAAGCCCGTCTAGCTCAGCAATTTCCAAAACTTTACCAGAAGTACGGAGACGAGGAAGGGTTTTCACCCGCTCTTCCTTTTTTTGCGAAGTATCAGGTTTCTTTTCCTTAGAAGGAGGCTTTTCAGAAGCGGCTGGTTTTGCGATCTTGGAGAGTTTATCCAACTTGGACGGCTTTGCTAGTACAGAAATCTTTTTGGTTGATGTAGTGGGCTTGTTAGGGGGCTTGGCAGGGTTTGCCAACGAAGGACATTCCTCTGATAAGGTCACTCTTTTCGTTATTAGCTTGCTTGGTGTGGGTGGTCGTGAGGGAGATTGTTTGTTTTCCTCTGGCTTGTTTTCCGTCGTGACCTTTTTTGGCGGCGAGGGAGGCTTGTTTGCCGAGACAGTTGGGGTGTCCTTGGTGGACTGAAAGGACCGTGCCGATCGTGATGATTCTGAGTTGTCCCTGGATGGAAGAGCTGGTTGAGGACTTGGCGACTGCTGCTGGTTCACACGCTGGGGTGACCCCGAATCATTCCGCAGAGACTCGGCACGTGTACGGAGGGACTCGGTCCTGTTGCGCAGGATCGTAGCAATGTTATCTGTGGGTGATCTGGCTATCCCTGAAGGCCTTGCCAGCCCGGTGGTACGGATGAAGCCACGGATAGAATTGGGCGCTGTGCCCTGTGCTCGTTCTGGAGTACGATCTTGCGCGTGATCTTCGTCTTGACCCTCGTCGTCTCGGTCTTTCGGCTGGGCGGAGATGCTGCGGAGTGGAAACGTTTGCGAAGTTGTCAAGGTGCGCCCTGTTGGCTTGGTCATCATGTTGGGTCGCCCGGGCCGCAACCCCGATGGCGTGGAAATTATCTGAGCCTTTGCCCGGACGGCTTGGATAGCCTCTGCGGTGACGGTGTGATTTGTGCCACCAGGACGACGTAGCCCTTGCGGCTTTGGCGAAGATGCTTTCTTGTCGGGCGTGGGAATCATGGTGCGTGTGGTAGTGGGTGTGATAATGAACACATCGTCGTCCCCCCCCGTTTTCTTCTAGACTCCTGGACCGCTCCGGTGTATTGCTGGTAGGGTGGTAGTTCTCCTTGCTCGAGTCCTGGGACCTGGTGCGCGGAATTGTAGAGGGGTTCTGGGACCGGCTCCGATCTTGGTACATGGCTGATGGCTTCGAGCATTGGGCAGGTCTCGAATTCTGAGAAGTTTGTGGTCGCTCTTCTTGGAGGACTATGGTCTCCTCGACTCTTTGGATGGCATGTCGGTCCGTCACTTTCCTCACTTGCTTCGGCGCCTGTTGCTTGTTCTTGGAAGGCAGGGCCAATGGGAGTGGATGCAGACTCGCATCGTCTAGGGAAGCGAACGTGAGGATTTCGTCTGGGTTCTTCTCCCCAGATATTTCCCTGCACCCTAAAAAAAGACCCATCCGCATTTTGAGGGTGTCTTTTTTCCTTCGCTTTTGCGGGAGATTCCTCCCAAATTGTGCTAATCCGATTATATCCGATCTCATCTGGGCTATAGTAGTGGGTGGCTAGTTGACGTTGCGACGCAGTCGTGGGCTGGGGCTGTGAATGTTGCTCCGGCTGAGAATTTTGCAGAGCCTGCGGTGATGGGCGATGTTGGTCTCGTGGCAAGCTCGGCATCTGATGCCCATCGTGTGCCCCGTCATATGTGTTGGCCGCCCTTGGGCTCTGGGTTCTTTGTTCGCTAGGCACGAATTTGATCTCGGGAGACGCGTTGCGACTAGGCAATGTTTCCGGGTCTGTCATCTCCCCACCGGCCCGGTGTACTCGTTCAATGCTTCTTTGATACTCGGCAATTTGTTGTGCCGTCATCGTTGGCGGATTGGGATCTTTTGCAGTTGGCATGTTCACGACGAATCGATCTTCCCAGTCGGTGATAGAACTGTGCTCGGCAGATACTGGGGAGATGGAAGGATGAGACCGAGGGCTGGAATCAGTCGTCGCGTTTGTTTTCACTGATTTCTGGGGTGTGGTTTCGGCCACATCCATGTTGACCCATTGGTCACCTTGCTTCCGCCAGCTGTTTCGGCTGTCCTCAGAAATAGTGGTGGGATCATTTTTTTTGCTCCCCTGCGCGGCACTGCTCTTAACAGTGCTTGGACTTGGTATGCCTGATGGTGCGTTGATTGCCCGGGGGCTTGCCAGATTTTGGCTAGTGCTAGCGGGAAGTCTGCTGCGGTGGTAGGAGATGGGCGAGCTGGGAGGTTCTGTTCTGTCGCTTTCCTTACTCCTGACACGTCTTGGTAACAACGGCGACTCCTCCAATTTTTCTCGGATCTTCCTCCAGTATGGATCATGACCTTTGTCCGCAGATCTAGGCTGGTCACCGAGCCGTCCCAAGGAATGGCTGGCTGGGGTCAGTTTAGGAATTCTGGGACTAGACGTCTGGCTGGAATCATCGTTACGGCTTCCAGAGAAAGACCTCGGGACTGGCAGCTTGGTAGCTTTTGACATTTGAGATATATTCGCCGGTGCACCTCTTGCAACAACATACCCTGTTGGTATTTCTTCTTGCGGGTATCTAGGTGGAGGTGTTGCCGAGAGCTCCGTCGAGGGCTTGTACTCGACACGGTATGCTTTGTAGGAAGTCTGGCGTATAGGTCGTGGTGAGAGATTCACAAGGTGTCCGTTGGGCAATGCGACATGAGCTTCGTCCATGTTGGGGTGAGGCTAACAATGATTGTTGTCAGGGTTGCCAATGCTACTGGCACAGCACAGCGGATAATTGCCCTAGCCCATGCCGTATAGGAGCGATGAGAGAGTGGTCGTTCCCTGTGGTGGTTTTCCCAAGGTAAGCTCTATGTCGGTCGGCGGCTGTAGAACGAAGGATATGAAAGACTCAAGGCCCGGAGGAGTGGGGTGATTCAAGAGACTGCCTGTTGAGAGATCTCCACGGGCGGTCGCTCATAACGCGTAAGAATAATGTGGTTGATTGGAATGCCAGGTGATGAGGAATGCCAGCCCCTAGGACGAATGCCGTTTGAAATGCTCCACCATCATCTGGAATGGCAGTTTCCTCTCGAACATTTTAAAATGAATTGCATTATCTTTGAAAGTTGCAAGAGCTGAATGCAGAGAAAGTGCGATCTATATCTGGATCACAGCGTGGACATAGTGGACTGATAACTTAAGAACTCCGAGGCAACCTATCCACCAATTGAATTGAAAACAATGATCAAGTCGAACAAAATCAACTTTGGGCAATCGGAAAAGAAATATCATGAGCCATAATTTTGGGAGCCCTAGATGAGCAGCTTGCATTCCCCAGCGTGGCGAATGTGCATGAATACCATAAAACAAAACGTCAAATGTAAAGCTGCACCAGGTATAGCCTCAACTAAGAATGATGTATGTACGAAAGGTGCTGCTACCGCGTCATTATCGTCTGGAAGGTGAATAGGAAACTGCGCATCTGATGCCGAGTCGGCAATCTTTCATGCTTGTTGAAATGGAATTTGGTCATTCATATTCGTATTAAAATCGCCCCGGTTCTCGGCGAGAGTTGAAGTTATCTGATCTATTGACGGTAGCTGGACCGCCTCCCGGTACACTGCTTCTCTTCAGCGGACTGGAGGTTCGCATCAAGGGAGTTGTACCACGCTCCTTGTAAACAAAGTCTCCGTTGCTTTGTAAACGGCGGTCAAATGAAGTTGTCGCAGATTTCCTCAGTGGGGAGTTTGCATGACTGTAGACACCAAGGCTTCCTCCATCACCTGTTGTTGTTGCAGTGGATCGGAATTGCGGTTGTCGCATTGTTGTGCGGTTGTTACCTCGCGCCATCGGCGAGCCATCTCGAGACATGCTCGGAGTGTGGGTTGGGGGTCCTTGGAACTTAGAGGAGATCGGAGTAGAGGTAGTCGACTGGCGGACCGGCGTGAAACCTTCTGGGTCGACGTGCTTGAGGTAATTGGGGTTGGGGCTGGTCTTGAAACCACGGTTAATGATGACAGCGGGGCTATAAGTTTCAACCCTGTTAAATTCGTCCTCGGTCTTCGGTGGTTCACCATAGGGATCCGAGAATTGAGTGCCAACATCTCTCATCACGGGATGTGTCCGAGGTTGTACATATTTGGTGTCATATTCTTTGAAGACCTCTTTGTGTATAACCTTCTGGTCCTTGGCTTGTTGCGTGTACGAAGAAGATATGAAGGACATTTGCACAGATAGAAGAGCTGTCAAAACTATTGTCGTCACAATCGTCACGCTGGGTCGTGGATCGGAAAGCTGTGTCGGGAGGAACAGCCAGTATACTAAGACGTGTCCTGGGCTGAACAGACAAAAGAGCCGGAGGCAAAGTGGCGAAGGATCCCAAATTGCAAGCTCCCAGACATCCCGCTGTGCGTCGGGGTGTGCTCTCGAGTGTGCCGATTCTGATGATAGCGCTTTGGCGATGTACCGCAAGGGAGACGGCATCCTGGGGCTTGAATCAACCCGTACACGATGCGCCGACGGGGTCGCCGGATTGTTATCAATGGAATTCTCAAACAGGCGATAGCGTCTCTTCTTCTGGAATGTGTAGACTGCATTGGTCACAGAGGCGACAGCCATCAAATGGGCGATAAATGAGGCCTAAGCGGAACAATCAGGACCGATTAGCTTTTTATTCATCAATCTCAGGAATATACAGATAGAAGGAGAGGGAGGAACACGAGAGGGAGAGTAACATACAAGCCACCCACGCAGAGATGTGCCGTCGTCGTCGCCGAACACATCATCGAAAGCCTTGCTACCACCGGACCGACTATTTGCTCGCGCAATAAGCAAGATCAAGTTGAGCGCAATACCGATAGGCAAAGCCCAGTTTTTCTCCAGTTGATCCCAATCACCGGCTTCAAATTCCTCAGAAAGCCAAAGCAGAAAGTCATATGGATTCAGGTATGAGAGTATGCGCTCGGAGAACGGGCGGCGGCGTACAAGTCGAGGCATTATGTCAGAGGATGGTGGTAGTAGATAGAAGCTGTTCCTCAGCAACTTCGATCTAATCAATAATATAACGCAAGCACATCAAATGTGAGGGTTGAGTCAAAGGCGATTCCACGATTGTTTGCGGACAATGATACCCGGGAGTAAACAACTCTTGAGAAATTGCATCAGCTTATGTAATTCGCAGCTGCCGGCGATAACCACGGCGATCAACGAACAGCTGGACCAGATCTGTCATTCCCTTGATCTATTTCGAACTGCTAGTTCGAGGACTGTATATCTCGGAGATCTCAGGCTCTTTTATTTTTCCTCATCATGGCGGCATCGGCCGCAACATACAAGGTATTTGACATGAAGTCGATAGAATGACCCCTCCGATCGCTAACTCGATACCCCAGGACCGGCAATTCCTTGCTGTCATTGGCGATGAAGAGTAAAGACACTTTCTTCCAATTTGCTCTTCGTCGAAAATATCGTGCTTGGCTAACCTAGCTCGACTTATCATGTAGCTCTGTTACTGGTCTTTTGCTCGCAGGCATCGGGGTATGATACTCTTCACTACCCCATCTACGTCACATCTATATGACATTCATATGAAACGCTATGCTAACTTGCTGGCTCTTTTTACAGCATGTCACTGAACCACCGGACTCCCAGAGAAACTTCCTAGTCGTTGATTCCAAGACCGAGACCTCAGAGATCGAACGGGCCTTCCAGAACTTCACCCAGGAGAGGAAAGACATTGCCGTGCTCTTGATTAACCAGCATGTAAGTTGCTTCTCCATATCCTGCGCTAAATATTTGAAACACTCGCATTTCATTGCCTACATCCGCTAACATATATGTCAACCTCAGATCGCAGAACGCATCCGCCATATCGTCGACGCATTCGCCGATCCTTTCCCAGCTGTCCTTGAAATCCCCAGCAAAGACCACCCCTACGACCCAGAGAAGGATAGTGTTCTCAAGCGTGTCCGCCGCCTGTTTGGGGAGTAGGCTTGTTTTACATGGATGTTTGTCGTTCTCATTTAGCCGGGAAATGGTGAATTGGTTTCGCTGTTCCGCCTCCAGGGTCTGCGCAACACATTTGATCCTATCATTGATGATCTCGGCGCTTGAGCATAATTGGGAAGAAAATATGGAAATATCAGATAGGGAAGATACCCAACGCAACTGGAACGAGTCCGAATACCCTCTACATATATTCTCTTGGCGGCTATACGGAATTTATTTAACATACATTGCGTGGTCAGCGGAGATGACGGATTGTATATTGTAGTCACAGCCAGATGTAGCGGTCAGGTTTACACTCGTACCCAGTTATGGTTTATACAAACGATTATAAACAAGGCAACAAATGCAAACAGCGTAGAAATGAGGGATTCCAAATGATATCCGAAAGTACTGCAAAGCGTTATAGAACTTGAAACAAGAGAATGCGAATATTGGGGTAGTCATGAGAAGGGCATGGAAAAGAGCATTGCAGATGCTTGATCCCCGAGTCAAGCACATAAGCTAATGAGGTTGACAATTCAGCAAATCGAGAGATGCCACCTGGTGAGTGGATGCAAAGCAATGTCTAAGATAGACAGGATTAGAAGTGAAACACGATGTCATCCGCCTTGAGGCAAGTGACCTGCTTCTGCTCCTTGTTGTAGACATCAGCAAGAACGGAGTATTTGCCCTGTAAAAACGCCGTTAGCTGCTTGCTTAGCTCTGAAACAATTATAAAGAAAACGTACCGGTGGGATCTGCTTGGGCAAGTCCACCTCCTTCTTCAAGATCATCTCGCCCTTCTCGAGGGGGCATTCGAGGTCCACGTTCTTAAGCTCATCGCATAGGTCGACGGTCTGCTTAATCAAAGTGATGAGACCCCACTTCACTTCCAGGTTCACGGTAGCGCCCTTCTCGATTCTCTCGAGCAGGGTACCTTTGGCGGAGATTGTCAACTTCTTTCCTCTGTTACCACCAAGATGTTAGCGAAATATACTGAGACAACACTCGTGAATGACGTACGGTAGAGGTGGGTTAGGTGCCAGATCCACCGACTCGATCTCGATTTTGTAACTGTCTGGTTTGGCACAGTACTGCAATGGGTTGTCACCATTCACTGGGTACTTCTCGTTATCGGTCGGCTTCAGTGAAGCCTGCGTGGGATCGAAGATAGAGAATGCGGCTGCGTTTGCAAGAGGGGCGGTAAGAACCAAGACGCTGGCAGCTGATAAGAACCTCATGGCTGTGACAGCTGTAGTTTGAGGAAAAGCAAATTGTAGATCTCTCGGATATATGCAGTTGAATATCGCGAAAATAGTTTCTAGCTCAAACAAGGTGTGGGGTTGGGATCAAGAGGCGGAGGTAGAAGTTGGGGTGAGGAGAAACCTTGGAAGAGATGTCACTTGATGACGCCTCTACACGTGATCCCAGGGGCAGATCTATACTATTTATGTCCACCAATGGTTCTACGCCTCATGTACCTGCAGGTTGTGGCTGAGAAAAAAAATACGGACTATCTTTTATACAACTTCATAGGTTCATCTTGTTCTACCACCGAGATCCGTGAAGTTGTCTTCTCTCATCTCATGCTAAAGGTGGGGAGTTAATCTGACCCACTATACTCCAGTTCCTTATCAGTGATCGGCATCAAATCAACAGCACCTGGGCATTGTCAAGTACTTTTGTCCATCATCTCGATTCTGAAGCGACATTCATTCCAAGCTTCAAGGGACCATCCTAGCTAGTTATTGGACTTCCTGCATCACTCGACCATCTGATTTCCACATTAATGACATCCATATGGGGTGCTTAAGCAGCCAAGCAAACAACGATGGCTTGACAATGATGTGGAGATGTAGATGATGAACTTGACCGCCCACCACCTCTTACCATCTCTTACCATCTCTATTCTGCACCCCGGTGATGTTCAAGGCTGATGGCAAGGCGTCTCTACGGCCACAAGTACTCCTCGTTACCCTCCCCCTGACTCCTCGATTCTGTTGAATGGCTGAGTTTACAGTCTACGGACAATTTCGAAGCCAAGCAATATATTGATATCTCTGCCCATTTGCCCTTGCGTTCGCAGTGGCGGCAGATATAAAATCACAAATCAGGAGCACATCATTTCTCAGGATTGTGTACACAACTTTATTAGAAGATCCACCTGGAAGCTTGGAGGAATTGATCAAATAATCTGAGACTCATAGTTGGAGGAAGGTCAAAGATCACCTTCAGAATTTTCAACGAAGTTTCGTAGAACTTCCCCGCAGATGCCACTTATGGTCCAGCCCAGTTGGAACGTTTTAACCAATCTTCGAAGGAACTAGCTTCTAAGCCAAGTTCTTCGAGCGCAACGTCATCAGCAGGATCGAGAGCGCCATAGCATCTTTTCTCCTCTGGTGCAATCGAAAACCATTCCATCATCTGACGGATATCCTCTTTGAATCCGGGACCAACTGAATGGGAAGCCATATCGGCCCACTCATCAATAGTAATTGGATCATAGATCGCTGGTTGGCCGGTGTGTCGTGCGAATGTCGATGCAAGATCTTCCATACGTAACTTTTTACCACCGACAAAATAGCTTTTACCATTTGTCTTCGTGACTCCCAGGGCAAACACCCCTATTGTAGAAGAATTAGCTTGAGCAAAGCAAAATGATTGCAGTACGGCTATCTGAGTTGATGGCAGAACTTACGTGCAGCAAATATTCCCATGTCATGTTCAGGATCGACCCATTCAACAAGCTTGGTGGCCGGGATCGGTGGACAAAAGCGAACAACTCCATTTTCTGCTTCAAGATTAGAGGATGTGCTAGACTTGAGCTCCATGGGCCTGACCTTCTCTTCGGCAATACTGTGGTCGCTTCAAATTGGTGAAGAAAAGACCTGTGGGGAGACGAGTGTTAACACATGTGATCTTCAAAGAAGCGGCAAAGACAGAATATTTTCTTCAATACTATGGTACTTACCAGGAATGAGACATGTTACCGCTGATAATTCATCTTTGGCCCATTGCTCGATAATGGATTTGTGGTCCATGTGAAAGATCTTTTGGAACCTACCCGACGTAGCTTGTTTCATATTAGGCAAGCTGCTAAGAACAAAGTGCTTCACGTTGCAAGTTTTGGCGGCAGCAACAATATTTTTGCCTGCTTGAAGCTCATGTTTCATGCCTTCTTCATTCGCGATAATTTTGCCTGAGAGCTCGCTGGTCACCGCAAACACACCATGCGCCCCACTGAATGCATCTTTGAGGCTTGCAAGATCGTAAATGTCACCAGCTTTAAGACTCAAGCGCTCGTCCGGAGTTTGGAAAGTTTTCAGAAGCTCTTGGGCCGCAGGAGATCCCACATTTCTCGTAATTGCGCGAACGTGCCATGTAGCTGAGACTTCGCGGAGAAGTGACTGAAGCACACCTCTGCCTTGATTTCCTGTTGACCCAAGAACAACAATAACTAGATTGTCTGAAGCCATGGATATGGGGGAAAATATCGAGCGGTTTGTGATGACGATACTAGCGGCAAAGTTTGCTTACTCCAGAGTGATCAAAGAGATTACATCTATAGGTATAGCAGCTAGCTACCTGATACTTTTATAGCAAAGCGCGTTGTCGGAATTTAAATGTTAATACAGGCCCCAGAGACTTCACCGATGACGATTTACACGTAATTGGCGGAATGTTTATTCATCCGACTCGGCGACATTGTTCTACCATCCAAGTGATTCATCAGCCTCCTTGGCCACCGTCGTAGAAAAAACCTCATTTTGGAATACCACATTTTCGAATTAAGCAGTTAAAAATTCTTCGGCTTTGAACAATATGCTAGCCTCGATGCTATCGCTTTCTTCCCACTCTAAGGATAAAGAGTATTATCGGAGGTTCTGCGCTAAACAAGTTTGGGCATAGCGAAGAATCAAAGCAGCAAGCTTAAGAAACAAAGTACCTCCTATTGAAACCATGGAAATGAACTAAGGTTCAATTTGTGGAGCGCTATCATGCCAATGGCAAAGCAGCCCTGGCATTTTGGACCTGCAATATGTTTCCGGCATGTTATTGATTTCTGCTGGTCAGAGTCGGGCAAAATATGACTCCGCTCGGCCACATTATGACTAAATCATGCTCGCAAACGTATCATAAATCATTGCTTTCTCAAGGAGATCAATAGTATTTCTAAGCATAAAAGGGGCTTTCATGGACAATCTTAACGTACCCTGAAGAAGGCAATAGATGTGCCGGGGAATATGAGCAGCGAAGGCGGGTCTTTTATGTCGGGCGGCATTGAGGGGAGGTTACGTGACAGCGTATCGGGTAGTGTGGTAAGGAGCAGCGACATCAGACTTTCTCTTAATGAGGCATACGTCCTGGTCAATTCCCCTTGAGATCATAGACCGTGGTCTGGTGGTCTTTTGGGCCATGTTCGCTAGGAATCCCCCTCTTGCTTATTTGACGTTTTCCTTTCCGCCATGTCAGTTGGAAACAGATAGTGTCGCGTATACAATAGGCCTCGGATAATTACCTAAGATAATCAACCTTGTTGTTCGACGCAATATGTCAGATGCATCAAGTCTCCCATCATCAAGTCCCATGGCGCTCAAGGCCCAAAGGACAAAACTAGTTTGTCAACTACATTTGCATCTCAAGTTGAGAAATATACCGGTATCCAAGCTAGGTATGAGACTTTATGACCAGATCAGAGTGATGAAAGCGAGTCCGCATAAATCTGAATGGACAGCACTATGTCTCAAGCGAGTATTAACCCCGATCTATACCTAACGACACTTCTCAGGTCCAACCATGCTGTGTGGTGCACCGTTTTTGAAGTTGCAGGGCAATATGTCATGCCATATTCCTGATCCAAATATCTAGCACGAGTGGCAACCAGTAGGTACATTATGAGTAAGAAGACGAAACATAGAAAGAAAAGAAGAGAATGGTTCCTGGCAGTACATGGTACAACAAACCATCAGACTGCGGACTTGAATCCCAAGCGTAACCATAAAAGACCCATGCCTCGCTAAGAGCAAGTTACTCTTAGCTACCATACTACCCAGGCTACTATACTAGAAAGGACCTCAACTTCTATAAATACTCTCGGGCCCCACTATAGCTACCATGTTTTGGACCCACTTGCATGGACCCACCTACTGCAACCTTAGTTATCACCTTGTTTACATCGATGAGCATTTATTGTCTGGTCGCTTATGTTTTGGGAATATAGTGTCTGTTAACTACGAGTCTATTCGTGTCTATATACTTGCTGTAACAAAAGGGGCAACTACTGGCCGTATTACTAAGAGTAAAGGCTCAGAGCTTTGCTTTACCACTCTCAATCTGTGCCCAACTTTGCTCTTCCAACTTCTGATAATTTGTGCCGTTCAACCAGTACAAAACATCGCCGCCCCAGTCCTGACGAGGATTCCAACCCTTCTTCGATAAGTCACCTTTAGCCTGCTTGAAAGTGACACCTGTGGCAACCCTATGGATTATAATTTGATTAGTGGCACAGACAAAGCATTGCAGTCAAGGGAGTGCTTACTTCTCAGTAAGTCGGACCAATCGGGGCAGAGCATATGAAGGAACACCCTTCTTCCTGAGCTCCTTGTACAAGTTCGACATCAATTCTGTCTCAGCCGATGGCGATTCCAGTGTAATACCAGCAGCTCCAGCTTGGCCATCATATCTAGTAGAGACTGTTAGCAATGCAATCTTACCAAAAGAAAAGCAGAACACAGCCACAATACATACCCACTCAGCTTCACACCATATACCACAGCGTCATGTACACCCTCAATCCGGCAAATATGGTCCCGAATCTCACCCGCACTAACATTCTCACCCTTCCAGCGGAAAGTGTCACCAACTCGATCTTGGAACCTTACCCACCCAGACTCATCTTGAACCACCAAATCACCAGACCGTTGGAACAAGTCTCCTTTCTGGAACACATCACGCAGAAGCTTCTCTTCCGTTGCAGCCTCATTGCCCTGATACTCAATCAGTGTACCACGGTCCCGAACACGACCAATTGCCTCGCCCTCTTCTCCAAGCGCAGCCTTCACACAGAACCCAGTGACAGGATCGCGGTACGGCATCTCGGTATCAGTATCATACTTGACGATGAAAGTGACATCTTCCACAAACCGGCGGATAGGCCCAGAAAACCCGATCTTGCCGGCACCCCAGGCTCCAACACCGTAGTTATCAAATTTGGCAATTCCCTCTGTTGAGCGGTAGAACTCACGGATCTCAGGAACGTTAAAGCGCCTACGGAACTTCTCCCAGATCTCTCCGCGCAGCCCATTACCGCTTGCTACGATGCACTTGTGGTCCTGGTCATAGGGTGATGGTGGCGCTGCAAGAAGGTACCGACATAGCTCGCCGATATATAAGATACGGGTTGCGCCTGAGTCGTGCACCTCTTTCCAGAAGCGGGAGGCGGAGAATTTGCGTCCGAGGCATAATGTACCTCCGTTACCGATGGCGGCGCATAGGCCGATGAAGAAGGCTGTGCCGTGGAAGAGGGGGAGAGGGGAGTATACGCGGAATGGGTGGTACTTTTCGGGGTTGTCGACATCTTGTGAGAGTGGGGTGGCGGTGATCATGGCGAGCATGTTGCGGATTGCGCAAGCTTTGGGTTTTCCAGTTGTTCCTGATGTGTATACCAAGACGCAGATATCTTTCATGGTGCGCTTGGCTGCGGAAATTCCTGATGGGGAATATCGCTGGAGAGTTTCGGGGGTGACGACCTCGGCTGAGATTGTTTCGACACCTTCGAATGACCCCATGCTGTATGTAAAGTGTGGTAGGTCGACGCAGATGTGCTGAGACAGATCTGCGGTTGAGATGATTGATTTGGAGCCGGAGACGTTGAGACAATGGATGAAAGTATCATCTGTCCCTAGTGTCAGAGGTATATCCTCGTGGATTGGAATTGGATTAACAAACCTCTCAGACTGGTATTAATCATTGCTGCCACGACTCCCAATTTCGACAAAGCATATAGAATTACTACCATTTCCGGTGAGTTGGTGGTAAACACAGCCACTGTATCACCGGTGTTGATATCACGGCTCTTCAAAAGAGCAGCCATCCTGTCGGCCACTGCAGAAAGGCGCATTAGAAATCAGATGTAATGTTTTCTGCCAACAGGGGGGCTATTCTCACAATCTTTCAATTGGCTGTATGACCATGTCTTATGCTCAAACCAGAGCGCATCGGCGGTACCTCGTCCTTCAAGCTCCACTGCCCGCTCAAGTAGCTTGTAGATGGTTGCTGAGCCATCGAGCTTAGCGATGCGGTCGTTTAACCGCTTCATGGCAGCCTTATCGCGAGCGATTGTTCGCAAATCGGTGGAAATTCCAAGCTTCGCATTCAGATATGCACCGGCGGCCACCGACAAGGCAGATGCCACAGCCACGGCAGGCGCGCCGACTTCAGAGAAAATGTCCATTGTGACAGAGGCTGGATTCTTTAAAGTCCAGTATTTCTTGTAATTCAATTCAACAAGAATACAATATCTGGACAAATGAGTGATTCGTTTGCAGGGGGGTATCGTCTATTCTCTAGAAATTCCGAAGCTGTCAAAAACCGGCATGGCGACGAATATAAAGATCCCCAGGCCTCGGTGGCTTGGACGGGAGCTAACTAGACTCCATCTGCCGTTGACAATGGCGATAGGCAATCTCCTAAACGGCTCTTTGGATTGGCCATATTCGCTACTTCGGGTGGAGTCACTTTTACGGAAACCCCGTAATCCTTCCCCGGGCTTAGCTTTCCCCGGGGCCGGTTTTGGTGTCAACAGTTAATTTAAGGCTTCAGAAATATTCGGCCTTGAGGCACAAGATAACGTCAAGGTCTTGAAGACATCCAAATACTCTCGACCTCTTCATGCCCTGTCAATATACTCGCATCGCCCATCAATGCACATGTGGGGCCATAAAACGTCTATAACCTCATTACCCCACCAATCATAGTCATTAGTTACGGGCCGAGGGATGCAAATTACAGTATCATACATGGTGTGACCCGAAGGCCCGGCACTTCCAATCGGCTCAAAAAATGTCCCCAGAGGGAAGAGCAACTCGGTTTGTTCCTGTTTGTTTCCAATCGCCTCGGGGAGAAGTCTGGAGAAGCCGCGGTTCTTTTTAACATCTGAAAGATATTGTAATATTAAAACGTTCAGCCTTCTTTTTGTTTTTGTACATTTGCATATATTTTTATTCACAATGTCTTCACCACAACAACGTCTAAGCTCTGTCGCTAACCAGCTGGCTCCTGGCTCGGCCCGCCAAAAGCTTTTGGCCAAGAACCCAGAGGATGTGGTATGTCAATTGTAGCTAGTCTAGTCCTTCATTGCAATAGCTAACCAATTCGCAGGTTATCACATACCTGGCCCGTACGCCGCTCACCAAGGCTCGCAAAGGTGGATTGAAGGATACCACCGTGGATGACCTCCTCGTGTCACTCCTCACGGTAACTTTTCATCCATGATAAGAGGGTAAAACACAGACACTAATATATCGACAAGACCGTCCGCGAGAAGTCCAACCTAGACCCCAACCTTGTTGAAGATGTCTGTGTTGGCAACGTCCTCGCCCCCGGCGCAGCGTATATCGCTCGTTCCGCCGTGCTGGCAGCAGGTTTCCCCGTAACAGCAGCTGCCTCTGTTGCTAACCGATTCTGCTCCTCCGGTCTCCTGGCTGTACAAAACATCGCCAACCAAATCATCGCTGGATCCATCGATGTCGGAGTGGCTGTTGGAGCCGAGAGCATGAGCAAGAACGCCGATGGCGGCGCCCCCGAAATGTCCGAGAAGATCAACAAGCACCCGATCGCATCCCAGAACACCCAGCCCATGGGCCAGACCTCGGAGAACGTCGCTAACCAGTTCAACATCACGCGCCAGCAGCACGATGCGTTCGCTGCCAAGAGTTTCCAGAAGGCTGAGCGTGCCCAAAAGGCCGGTTGGTTGGAGGACGAGATTGTCCCCGTCAAGACTCAAATTAAGGACCCCAAGACCGGCGAGGTTACGGATATTGTCGTTGACCGTGACGACGGCATCCGCTACGGTACTACTGCCGAGTCCCTCGGCAAGATCCGCGCTGCTTTCCCCCAGTGGGCCCCTAGTGCTACCACCGGCGGTAACGCCAGTCAGATTACCGATGGTGCTGCTGCCCTGGTTCTTATGAAGCGCTCGCGTGCCCAGCAGCTCGGTCAACCCATTGTTGCCAAGTTCTGTGGTGCTACCGTTGCTGGCCTGGAGCCCAGAATCATGGGTATTGGCCCATCTGTTGCCATCCCCAAGATCTTGAGCAAGTTCAACTTGAGCAAGGATGACATTGATATTTTCGAGATTAACGAGGCCTTCTCCTCAATGGTAAGTTTACCAAGTATCTGACTACTTTGCAAGACTAACATACGTCATTACAGGGTGTTTACTGTGTCAACAAGCTGGCCTTGGATGAATCCAAGGTGAATCCCCGTGGTGGCGCTATGTAAGTGATCATTGACCCAATTTGATTGATTCCATGCTGATGTTTCAAGTGCTTTCGGTCACCCTCTGGGCGCCACTGGCGCACGCCAGGTCGTCACTGCTCTGTCTGAGCTGCGTCGCCAGGATAAGCGAGTTGCTGTGACCTCGATGTGTATTGGCACTGTAAGTTACCTCCAATCGTCATGACTTCAATATTAGGATATGCTAATTGCTTAAAATAGGGCATGGGTATGGCCGGTATCTTTGTTTCTGAGCATTAAGCATGCAGAAAAGCGTCTGCTTATGATTAGTGTGTTGATATTGTATATATTTTTCTCTATACACTGAATACGACTCTGTGATTTTGATACTATATATATCACCCCTGGACGCCGGTGTAATAAATTTTCAATTGCTCGAAATATTACCTAAGTATTCCAAATGTGTCAGGTGCTCTGAGGGCGACAGTTTGACCAAGTTGATATCTGCCCTAGAACAAGATGCCCCTTTCATTTGGACCTCAAGTTCACCTCTAGAATACTTGACATTCTCAATTCATCCCTCCTTGTCTTTTCTTTTCTTACTCTCCTTGCGATCTCTCACCAAGTTACCACAGTACCATACTCTTTCCCACAATGCCGTATCTCAAGGCGTCAAGAAGGGCACACAAACGTGAAAGGTCAAAGAACCCCAGGTCAGCCAACGTCACAAAAGCCCCGGAGCCTGGTCCTACCTATGAGCTCTTCCATGGCTCTAAGAATGATTGAATCTACAAGATTTTAGCAAGCCTACTGCGTCAGATTGTTCAAAAGATTGACCATACCGGGACTTGCATACTCATATCAGTATCTAGTGCAAGCAACCACTGCAGACAAGCTTTTGGCTATGCAGTGTAAGAGATCTGGTTGGAGGGTCAGAGATTTGCTTGGGGGACCTCAGCTATTTAAGCGCTACACCCAGGATACGGAATCATTGCTATCGAAAATAGACTACGAGAGTATATGTACGACACATCTATCATTATGATTGACTGGATTTGGCTATTTACGTAGTAGAATAAGCATCAGGCTTTCTTCACAAATTCAACCTTCCTAGCCAACCAGCAACCAATCGTAAACCCTTGAATTGCATCATGCTCATCTCGAGAAAAGACAATGGTCCAGTCTCCTGGAGCTGGTGCATCCAAACCACGTGGACAAGTCAAGACCCAGACATCATCTCCCAGATATTTCATTGGAGTGGCATTTCCTTGACCCAGATATCCATCAAACGCACCGTATAGCATGCCATCCTCGCCAATGCAATGGAAGGTAGATTCAATCTCAGCACCGTGATAAACACCCTGGAATGAACTCTCTTTAAGGGTTGATTCTTTCGGAACAATACGCCGAGCACTGAGTATCCGATTATCTCCCACACGATGAATATTCAAGAAATCTCCATCAATCGTCGCAACCATAGAATCAGACTTCCCATGATTTGGTGTACTAAGTTTGATAGTTACAATAGAGCCATCGTATTTGATGTTCACCTCTCCGTCCCGTGCGCCCTTGGCTATGACAATCGACAGCTGAGTATCCCGATCAAGAAACGCGCCGACCCAATCCGCAACCGACTCGATGGGTGCCGTTACAGGCTTTGGTAGTCCTAAAAGCTCTCGGAAGATCTCAATGTTGGGACCGAATGCGTCTCTGTCACTGTTCAACATAACGACGACGGACAAGCGGTCGCGTGGTGAGTGTCGCCGGTGCAGTCGATACCCTCGCAACGCTCCACCATGTCCGATCGTGTTCACACCGTCAATGTCAGTGTGACTTAGCCCATAGCGGTACCTTGCCGGAGTACCGTCTTTGAACTTCGGATCAGCGATAGCGGTATGGTACCAGCTCTGTGGATCAGCGTAGCAGTGATCGAGATATTTCTCGTACGCGATCATATCAGTGAGCGAAGCCACTAGTCCAGCATCACCAGACCATTCCATTCTGTTGATAGCCGCTGTAAACCCGTGCTGCTCATCGCCCTCATATCCAACACACGGCGGTGGGTGATGTGCGGTGTTGGGGCACAGGAATGCCGTGCTCATACCAGCCGGGCGGAGTATTCTCTCTTCGAGCAATTTGTCAAGCGACTCGCCAGTTGCTCGCTCAATCACTCGGGCAACTACATGGTAGTTGAAATTGCAGTAGGAAAATTCCGTTCCCGGCTCGAAATGAAATGATTTGGTTTGAGCAATCAGTGGACCGCAGTCTCTGGCGATCAGAAACTCGTCGTCAGGCTTGGACCCCCATAGTGTGGTCATAGCCCAATAGTCGCGCACACCGGATTGCATGTCACATAGTCGATCAATTGTGAGTTCACCGTCACGGGTAAGCTCCGGGCTTACCAGTTCGGTGAGATGATCTGAGAGCTGCTTCCGGACATCGCCCTTTGCGGCTAATGTCGGGGTTGGGTTGCGCTCCAGGTCGATCAATAGCGCACACACAAACTGTTTAGTAATTGAACAGATGGGTAGTTGGGTTTCGGCTGTCATGGGGATCCGTTGGTCCAGGTCGGCGAATCCCCACACGCGTTGGCCGATGACCTCGCCATCTTTGACGACAGCGATGGCACCTCCTGGGCCACGAGAGCGGAGGGCAGCTTTGTTCAAGACCCCTTGAGCCTGTTCCTTGGTGATTCTCATACTTTTAGATTGGTGTAGAGAATGGGAACTTGGGATACCTTCGATGTTGGCTCATTACCCCTCTTCCAGTTGGTAATCGCAGATAGACAGTTGCTAAATATAGCACAGCGAAATTGCATGGAGCCCAATTTTATATACAACATAACAAAAGGTAGCTGATATTTGAAAAGAAGTTATAATCACATTCTCATTATTGATCCCATAATATGTGGTTGAAATCCAATAATACACAGACATAAATGTAGACAAGGCGCCAAGTAATGTCATAACGCCACGCCACTTTTCAATCGTCAGCTAGCATTATTGACACGACAATCGGGAATCCTCACAAAGCCTCCCAAGAAGACAATAACCATTTCCTACGAACGATTTTCCTTCAGCAGCCCGTCACCTACATCTAAAATATCATTACACCCAACCTTCAACTATATCGACAAGGCCAAAAGCTGCCGGGTAAAACATTAAGCTGCTACATCAAACACAAAGTGTATTTTTGTTTGTTTTGGGAGGTATGAGCAGACAGTATCGACTTGAGACAATGGTAGGAGTAGCCTGAACTATGATGTATTTTAATGTGATTGGGTATAAATAAAATATCTGTAGAGTAAGGAGTCACCTGCATATGCTAAAATGATGATTACAGGATTGCATATAGAAAAAATAAACATCCGAGACATTTGACATCCAAAGCAGACCGGAGTAAATAAACTACGACATAATGATGCTCCCCCTACGGGCCGATCGTTAATCTATCAAGGATTGAGCTTAAAAAGGGGCTGGCTAATAATAGACAGTATAGGGGAGATTAGCACGTATGTAGTAAACCCCTGATGGAACCTTTGGACTTGGATTGGATCATGCAACGCGATCCACCAAGGTGTCTCTATCATATTCCTCCACAGGGTCACCTTACGGAGTATCGGTACCTGAGTTGCGACCCACTACATAGAGTAAATGCGAATGAATGAAACCTGGTGTTAATGTCGAAGAAACCCTTTGTCTTCTGAAGCCGGATAGGAATATCCGGGGAGATCGGGCAAATCGAAAGCAGCTTCGGGATCCATGGATACATCATGCCCCACAGCTCATGCATATTTTTGGAATCAATCAACTCACGGATCCACCAATCGGAGGGTTTAAATTTGAATTAAAGTGGGCAAGCAAACGTGTTCGGACCCACATAATCCACAGAACTACGCTGTGGCGGAATCTAGACTGAATTTTCATGTCTGGAACCTTGCTTCCGGACTTCAGAGGACTTCCGGTCTTCAGAAGGCTTTAGAAGCCTACTTTTCCGTTTGCAATTTTCACTTTCACTTCACTTTTCGTCTTCATCTTTTATTAAAACTACCCTACATTCCCTGGCTACATTCTTTTACTCCAGGTTTCTCTTTCATCATCTTCTTCTACTATCAACACTCGTTAAAAACATTCAAAATGCGTTCCGCTCAATTCCTTGCCCTCGCTATGGCTGTCGCCACCTCCGAGGCCGTCTCTCAGGGCTTCAACTACGGTGCCGCCAAGGTCGATGGCAGCCTCAAGACCCAAAGCGACTTCGAGACCGAGTTCTCGACTGCTAAGAACCTCGTTGGAACCGACAATGCCTTCACCAGTGCCCGTCTGTACACCATGATTCAGGGTGGCACCACCAACGGCCCTATCGAGGCCATTCCCGCCGCTATCAAGGAGAAGACCACCCTTCTCCTTGGTCTCTGGGCTTCCGGTGGTGACATGAGCAACGAGATTGCTGCTCTCACAACCGCCATCTCCACCTACGGCGATGCCTTCACTGACCTCGTCGTTGGTATCTCCGTCGGCAGCGAGGATCTTTACCGTAACTCCGTCATCGGTTCCAAGTCCAACGCCGGTCCCGGTGTTGAACCCACCGAGCTCGCTGACTACATCAACCAGGTCCGCTCCGCCATCTCCGGTACTTCCCTGAGCGGTGCCCCTATCGGCCACGTCGACACCTGGAACTCATGGACCAACGGCTCTAACTCGGCCGTCGTCGAGGCCGTCGATTGGCTTGGTTTCGATGGATACCCTTACTACGAGAACACTGACCCCAACTCCATCGACGATGCCAAGGCTCTCTTCAACAAGGGCGTTGAGAAGACCAAGGCTATCGCCGGCGGAAAGGAGGTCTGGATCACCGAGACTGGCTGGCCCACTACTGGTGCCACTGAAAACCTCGCTGTCGCCAACATCCCCAACGCTAAGCAGTACTGGGACGAGGTTGCCTGCCCTCTTCTCGGTGTTACCAACACCTGGTGGTACATCCTTGAGGATGCCGGTACTACCGCCCCCAGCTTCGGTGTCACTGGTTCTTCCACCGACACCACCCCTCTGTACGACCTGAGCTGCAAGGCCTCATCTTCCAGCTCTGCTGTCGGTTCTTCCAGCACCTCGGCCTCAGGCTTCTCTTCCGCCGCTTCTGCTACCTCCACTGCCTCTGCTGGCTCTGGTTCCGGCTCTGGCTCCGGCTCCTCTGGCTCTGGTTCCGGCTCTGGCTCCTCTGGCTCTGGCTCCTCCGGCTCTGGCTCTGGCTCCGGTTCCGCTAGCTCCTCCGTCGGTCCTTCCTCCGCAGCTGTGACCAGCGGCACCCGCCCCTCCACCAAGCCCAAGTCCAAGAGCGCTTCTGCCTCCGCCTCCGCTTCCGGTGTCCCCTCTAGCTCCGGCTCTGGCTCTTCCCCTGTTGCCACTGGCGGCAGTAACCTCGGCTCCGGCAACTCTGGCTCTGGCTCTGGTTCCGACTCTTCTTCCTCCCCCTCCGCCTCCACCCTCCCCGCCAGCTCTGCCACCCGTGTCGCTGGCTCTGCTGCCGGTGCCCTGGTGATTGCTCTCGCTCTTGCTTTCACTTTCTAAGCATGTCAATTTTTCTTGGGTCCGGAGTGATTGGTTGGATGATACTCACTCACCTTGGTCTGTCATTAGATGGTCGGTGATCGGCTGATTTTATGTAATATTTTCTTTCATGTGATTTCCATGTACTCTTTAAAAAACTACTATGTATAAACTCATTTGTTTATTATATGGTTTCGTAGGTTATATCAAAACTAAAACTTTCAAGTCCATCTCGCAGCATTGTTAGGTCCGAGTTCATTCGCTTAGTGATGCGATGTTTGGGTGGTCATACATTGGCTGCAATATGTGAGCCCTTGAAGATACACTGCAGTTGTATTTTATATTTCAACTAGCCTCTACTAGTAGTTTCCGTGTCAATACAATTCATACATTGGCGACTCTATTCTCAAGTACAATAATTTATTCACTAACTCGGTGCCTTTTTGACGAGAATCTACACTATGGTTATATGTTCGTGGAGGTGTTGGATTTTCCCATGATTCAAGAGCATCTTGCTTCTTCAACTCGACATGGTCATCTCTTGTGGGCCTCACTCAAAAGCACCCTTGGATTTTCACTCACGAAAGCCACCATCCGGCATGACGAGAAGACGCATGAATCTAAGCATTGTCTCATTCAGAGCAATGCTGCCGACTGTTTGGCCTAACACTGTCATTCGATGCATCTGACTCGACATCATCACTCTGCAACATCCAGTTCACTGCTTCTCCAAGGACCTTTCTGGCTTCCGCAGCTCAAGTGGCAAGGCCAGGTGATATGCCCTAGGCATTTCATGAAATGTATTAGTCGAGACCAGTGAACCAACATTTGAGCCCGGGTTGTCTATGTACGTTGTAAAATTGGAGTTGGGTTACTATAGATTCAGCACCTTAAACCTCCAGATGCTCTGCGATATACTACAAGTGAGTACTCACAGCTTGGTTCATCGCTACTTTCACCATCGCTTCAACCGTGGATTCTTATGGGAACTTCCTGTAGTCACGCACAAATTCCCCAGAAAGGCTTCCTCGCCTACTTAACTATTACATATATTAAATAGTATTTTAATTTAGTCTACACTCTTTTAATGGCGTATTAAAAAAAAGAAAGAAAGTATCTAATATTGCAATCTCCATAACTCACCAATCCACTGGAGTTCATGTATTGCCTCGTACGGTAGTCTGATGCCCTTCAGATTTTTCCACAGTAAATTTTGACCCTCTGTCTTTTTAGTGGCCTGAGACATCAGGCTATTTAAAAAAGCCACAAAAGCCGAATGCGGAAGTTGAGAAATCAGTCGGTCTGATAGGGCAAGAGGAAGTAGTCAAGCACCAACTAAGCCCGACATGATATTAGTCCAGTACCAAATCCAGTTTATCGTGATCGGCATTTTCATTGCACTGCGACTGGCTCTTCTCAAGGTTTAATACGCGGGGCCTTATCTCTTCGCCTTTTCTTTCTTTCTTTTTTGTCATTCTCATCTTTTTTCTTCAGTCATGGATCGAGATCAGCAGAAAGACGTCCTCTCCACTGTGGAGGTGGATGGTCCCGAAGACAAGATCGACCAGCGGATTGCACCAGATCAATTCGACGAGAGATACCGCACCACCCGGATGGAAATCTGGGCCTATTATGCGTGCGTGGATCGTTGAACCATCCCTGTGCGGAAACTAAACACCACTGCAGCTATTACATTGGGAATAATGGCCTGTCGCTGTTCAGTGGGTCTGCATTCTCATCTTCATTCGCAGAAACTGACCCGTTCTAGACTTTGCGCCAACTGCCTTTCAAAACTTGCTCTACCAAGCAGCCCCTGACGATGGACTACTCGACTTTATAGGCAGACCACGAACGGTCAACAGCATCGTGCTTCTCTCAAATGGAATCTCCTTCGCGATCCAAGTCGTGGTATTCCTGATGATTGGCAGTTTCGCCGATTTCGGTTATTGGCGACCCAACATCTTAATCGCGCTGTCGATTATCGCCTACGCCGTCGGCTTTGGCTGGTTAGGTGTTCATACTTCGGACAAATGGCATGTCGCCGTCGGTCTGTATATGGTCGGTTTGATCGCCTATCAGACCACACTCACTTTTTGGACCGCTGCGTTCCCGGGCTTGGCGCGCAATTCCATCGAAATGAAGGAAAAGGCTGACGCTTATGTGGCGGGGAGGATTACTCGTGATGAATATGACTTTGCAGATACCATGATGCGCAGCAAACTAGCCAATGTCGCTTTCTATGTTCAGTCCGTCGCGGAAATCTTTATTCTGGCGATTATTGTCGGAATCATGTTCGGGTTGAATGTCAATGATAGCGAGAGTAATAATAACTGGGGACTGAGTGTGCTGGTTGCTTTCGTCTCTGGCGTGTGGTTGCTTGTCTCGATTCCGTGGTTTGTGCTGGAGAAACGCCGTCCTGGTCAAGATCCTGGGAAACGGTCGATTCTTATTGCAGGCATGTGGCAGCTGTGGCATGCTATGAAACAGATTTGGCATCTGAAGCAGAGTCTGCTCTATCTCATTGGTAAGATTTTGTGCTCTGCTATGTCTGTTATATGGTTGTTGAGTGCTAATGATGCTGGTAATAGGTTATTTCTTACTTGGAGACTCTCTCAACACTACTGTGACTGTTATTGCAACTTTGCAGAATAGTATCGTTGCTTATAATACCCTGGAACTGACATACCTGCTTATTGTTGGTATTGCTGCACAGGTGAGCTTTAAGTTTCCGAGTGATTTTGTTAGAAACTGACAGTTCTCTATTAGGCGGTTGGCATATACGCATTTTGGACAATCCAGCAACGCTTCAAACTCGGAACTAAAACCATGTTCAACACCATTGCCATTGGAATCATCCTACTTGATGGCTGGGGCATGGTCGGTATTTGGACAGATAAGTTCGGCTTCCACAATTCATGGGAAGTCTGGGTATGCGAATCCCGTTCTGCCATGTGAGCAGTTTATATCTAATCGATCCTATAGGTCTACCAAGCATTCTACGGCCTTTTCATCTGCCCCTGGTATAGCTACTCGCAAATCATGATATCGGAAGTCACACCCCGCGGCCACGAGTTCCTATTCTTCAGTCTCTTCAGCATCATCGGCAAGACCTCGTCTTTTATTGGTCCCCTCGTCTCAAGCGCAATTATCGATGCGAGTCCGTCGGGCAACGTCTCGATGCCATTCTACTTCTTGTTTGCATTAAGTATTGTCAGCTTTGGGATTCTGTTCTGGGGTGTTGATTTGAAGAAGAGCCAGGAAGAGCAGGAGAGGTTCTTGTTAGACAAGTTGCGGAAGTTGAATCCTAGTACATCCTCGTCTTCTGATGAGGGGACTTCTGCAGCTGTCTGAACTACTGTCTTTATATATGTCATAGGAGGCGGACTTTTTTTCTGGTGTTTGACTATATACTTATGTAGGCACTAAGGGATACTTTGATACCTTTTCTAGATATAGGCCGCGACCCAAATTGGAAATAATACAAGCGGACATCTACCGAACGCAACTATTCATAGAAAGACAGAGGTGACGACTCATGGGTTTGTGAGAATGACATGGGAGTTATTTCAGTAGTCTATGGGACCACGTTACGTCAAGGCTCCTCGACATGAATCCAAGGGCTGCATTTTACAAATGTTACTTCACTCATACTGGCGAGGGTTGAAGGAAGGAAGATCATTGGTATTGAGCAATATTTTTTGTAAATGTACACACCAGCTTGGGGCGTACACGGGTTGCAACGTTGCAACGAACCAGAAGACAAGACATTTAAACGCCAGACCTATGCACTGCCATAAGCGCCAATTCCGATACAAGATACTGATACCACAAGCAGATCATTCCCCATCGGAAGAAGCTTCCTTGGACTTGCTCTTCTTCTTCTTCTTTTTCTCTTTGCGCTCGGCAGCCTCGTCGGCGTCGACATCCTCCTCGGCCTCGCGTTTCCGCTTGCTCTTCTCCTTCTTCTCCTTCTTTTCTTTCTTCTCCTTCTTTTCTTTCTTCTCCTTCTTTTCCTTCTTCTTCAACTTTTCCTCGAGATCGGCCGGCATCGCCTCCTCGGGCGCAATGAAATCCTTCTCGCGCTCGCGCATCTTCTCGTCCCGCTTGATGCGCTGTCGCTCGACAACCTCCTCCTTGTGAACGCGGTCCTTGGCCTCCTTTGACAAAAAGTACTCTCCAGACTCGATTTGCAAATCGACCTTGCTCTTCTCGGGTGCAGGAGGGAATGGCGTGTACGTCTTCTTCGCCTTGTCGGTGACCTTGAACGGCACGTGGCGCTTGGACAGCGTGCGCTTCTTGAAGTTAGGTAGGAACCGGTCCCAGGACTCTTCCGCCAGCGTCGGGTCCTTGGCGAGCTCGCGCTTGATCATCAACTCCTTGATGTGGTAGATGGGGTGGATGTTTGCCATGCAGTCGTCGATAATTCGTCGCACCTCCTTCAGTCCCTTGAACGGACCCATCACGGCCACTGTGTTACCCTGAACCAGGATGTATGTGGAGGTGAGCAGCTCGAGTGCCTTGAGGGTTGAACCGTTGGGGCCGAGAATGCGCTGTCGTCGCTTCACGAATCGCTCTTTGTTCCGCACTTGGTTGCGGATCTTGATCACGTCGCATGCCACGCCGTCTTCGAGGATCTTCATCGCTTGTGTCACCGGTACGCTTCGTGCAAGCAGCTTGATCAGATCGCGGGCTTTGATGATCGCTGCTGGATCGTACGTCTTCCGCGTCGTCTTCACTGTCATACTACCCTCAACCAAATCCAGTGTGCAGGCGATGCCCTGCTTCTCCAGCGCTCTTGTGATCACCGGCCATGCTTCCTTCAAGTACTGTTCACGGTATTTGGGGAAGAGTGTCATGAAAGACGACTCCTCAGCGAAACTGCCTGCGGCATTGTGTTCGGGTTTGAATTCTTCGATCTGTTGCGGGAATCCGTCAGTAAGGATTTTTCAATGAAAAAAAGAAGGCAGTTGTGTGTATTGGCTTACTCTCCACTTATCGATATCATCTGTATCCCAGGCCTTCTCCTTATTGTGTGTTGAAGGCATCTTGTTGGTGACTTGATCGCAAGGGAAAAAGATTTGGCGACTGTTCCGGAGCTCAAATGAAAATCCGCGCCAACTTTTTTTCCTCCCCGCTTTCCCCGATTGGGTAGAACCTAATGCCTTATATTCCAGGCAGAAACACATCTAGATCAAGGTCAAGCCTGTACGTATCTTCCTCTTGGCTAGCTCTTACACTAATATTTAGCTGTGTATATACAAAGGTGGCTGAGAATAGTTGAAGTTGGGGGCCAGGTATTATCGGCGTAGAACAGAGGTACTTTGGTCTCAGGTACTCTGTACATGTAAGATAAATGAATTGGAGATTGCGGCAAAAGTATTCGGCAATTTTCACCTGTATAAATTCATTGTAGACTTTTCAAGCTTCAATATCCCATGATTACTCGGTACTAATCGAAGCTACGAGCTATCTAGTCCGAGTTCTTCCTCGGAGCCCCTGGAGAGCAACCACTCGGCACAGTAGGTACGGCTCTCGGCTAGGTCTGTGCCCAATGATCACCTCAAGGCCGCTCCCTAACATACTCATATAGAGGAGTGTGTATCTGATGCATTTCAAGCTCCTGTGTGTCATTTCAGCAATCGAAATAGTCTATCTCCTCGGGATAGCGTCTCTCTCGCCCAGGGGCATTCCGGGAGGAACTCTAATGAGACGCTGAGGGAGGGCATGACCTCTTCCCGAGTAAGGGGGAATCAAATAAGCAGGTCGACAAGGATACCGCACTAGTTATATCCTATTATGCAGCTCTGCTCGTGTAAAATCCCCAGTTGTTGGTGATTTGGACGTTGTGATTGGGTACAAGATCCGTACTGGAAACACAGTGAATTATCAGTGCTCCTGCTGGATAAAGAATATCGGTAAAGCACTTGTGGACGAGACTGGACGTTTACTATTCTGTAATAGATGTTGTGGCTGCTCATTGAGGTTTTAGGGGAGCTCGCCGCCGCTTGGGGGTATCACTCTCGACGTGAGACGACGGGCTGCTCCAAAGACGCGAAAACGCGAAAACGTGAAGGCGTGAAGGCGTGAAGCTGTCAAGTTGTCAAGCCGGTATGAACATTCTTATCGGTTGGTATTGGCGAGGTCAGTCAAAGCGTACACTTTCTGAGATCACATAGCGTAGATCATGTGTTCCTGAAAATCGGCAGTACCCTGTCCCGTCAGTTCGGTAAGCCCCCCCGGTTTCATCTTCCACTATGTTCTTCATCCTTTGTCACTTCATGATGCTACCCAGGTGACCAGGTGGATCTGGAGTGTGATGGGGTCGAACACATCCTTCTATAAGGGTAAGGTCGGATCGGAAGCCAACGGTGTCGGGTATCGTGCACTGGGCACGATCTCAACAGCTTAATCTGCGCCCCCAAGCTTCCTGCTCCCTAAAGACCTTCTGCTTCGTTTCATTTTACCATTTTGTCTCGCAATCGACTACAAGTCCAACTTACCCCGGGCAGCCACAGCGATCCCTTGACCCCGAGTTTCGTTCAGTACACCTTCGCTTTCCCATTGCGTTTAGTAGTAACTCAACAGCAACCCATCTCGAGTGGATACAAGGCTCTTTAGGGACGAAACTTGAATGTGGACTGCATGTGGGCATTGCTAGCTTGTGCAGAAACGGTGATGCGCACTGTAGGCTATGAGCATTCTCTCACTCCACTCGCCGTTGGGTCCCACTCATTCTCCATGCGACCATGCAGTCCTATTTCGATTAATCATACCGAGACTCCCAGGTCTCTAGTCGACTTCAGCAGATATACAGCGACGGTTATCGACACGGATCCCCTTTGCGTTACAGATGGCAAAAGGAAAGGACTGGCGTAACCAGAAAAGCTCAATTGACTAACCATCTTTTTGCTAATGCAATATGTTTATGCAAATGGGATGCGAAGAGCAGAACACCAAAACCTGTAGAATATGCTGGATGTGGAATTAGGGAGGGATGGCATCGACGACTGGCCCACTTGTCTTGCGAGCTCTTCCCCCTCCGGCAAGAGGTTGCCCCTATCAAACCGTCACGCCTGCCGATTTTCCCATATCGATGCCTTCATGGCTTTCTGCCAATGCACACATATCTGCTCTGTCAGCCTTTGTTTCTCGGTTTCAGCTTGGGAAAATGCCTACAGTGGGAAATATGCCTTCAGTGCGGGGTCTGCCGCCTCTTGCTGCGCTTGGTCTACCAAAGAATTGAAAGTTTCCGGGGACATATGCAAGCGTTGAGTCAATGGGTATAGTGCAAGTGCTCGGAGAAGTTGCTGCATGTTTGCACGACTGTGTCGGCCAATGTCTCGCATGCGTTGGTCTGCGTTGAATCAATCAGCCTCATTCGTTTTGTTGTGCAGCCAAAGACCTACCAGTCGACCACGCAGACAGGGGAAGAGGAATCATCTTCGTATCCACCTCGACAAACCCCGCCTCTGTCATGAGAGTTCTCAGCTTTGATCCGATCCGAAGATCTTTCCTGTCCTCCAGAGCACGCAGGTATTGTGTGCTCCACCTCCTCAGGGCATGCTCATTGGTGATTGAGCCATTGTCAGATTGCACATTGAAGTATATTTCAACCATTTGGACCCAACCTCCTGGCTTCAGGGCCCTTGACAATCGCTGATGTTAGTCCTAGGGTTTCAGTTGGGAGAACTCCTGCCTCTTAGAGTGACGGCAAGGCCAATATGCTCTGAAGGATTCGCACCTGACTATGTCATGAAGATAGGATGGCCATCGGGATCGGTTGATGCCGGTCGCAAGGAGTCTAGAGTGGACGAGATCGAAATGGTTTGCAGGAAAGGTGAAACGGCGGTTCAAGTCATCGACCTATTCAGCACATGTTAGCGCCTGTTTGTCAGGAGGTTACACACCTCAAGAGGACTGTTGTTCAAGATTGACGGGTCACACAAAGGTCCCGAAGCATAAGGCATGGGTCAAAGGCAGTGTCATGGCCTTCTCGTGGTGTAAACAACACCGTCCCGCATGGTGAAATTGTGAGACAGGCTGACTTACCTGGAGCCATAGGTTGTCAGGCATATCATCTGGGCTCATGTGAGGGGCAATGTCTACACCAATGACCTATGAACCACCAAATATTAGGATGTTGTCGGACACAATCAAAGGGACACGTTACTTCGCAATCAGGATTCTGCTCAGCAACATCAACCGCCCAGGATGCGGATCCATGCCCACAGTCCAAAACTCTTTCCAGTCGATGGATCGGTGGGAAGATCAAACGATTATCGAAAATTCTTTGGAAAACTTGCTGCAGGCCTTCGAGTCGTTGTGCCTCTTCCTGGTTCAGCTGTCAGTGAGAAGTCAATGATGCAACGCTGGGCATCTTACCTCATCGACCGGTCCAAAGTACGTACGATGATCGATCGAATATTTCTGATACTCACGGCCCTGAACTGTGACCGTATCGAGATACTCACGATCTAATTCTACCGTCTGTGAATCTGGATTCCTAGCGGCCATCAACGTCAGTTGCACTCGACCCGGAATAACAACGGGGAGAACTAGCATACGCCATTGTCATCGTGAATCAAGTGGTGTTGTGGACCAGGGCGGGGTTGAAATCTCCCAGTCCAAGATCTTGCTTCCAATCACAATATCCGAAAAAGGAGTGAAATTGGATGTGTTGAGAGTTTCGTGGGAGCGATCGGGTGCCACTTGAAGACGTCGGCGGCACCCTCGGAGAAGATGGCCGCTCACACGAGGATCATTCGACCTTGGGAGTCTGCTCGCGAAGGCTGTATGGAGGGGCTTCCAATTATACAGAGGACGTACTAAAATGTACGAACGGGGAAGCCCAATCGGTCCACCCAATCGAATTGCCTCTTTCAAAGATACTGGATACGGGAATAGATTTGTGAAGACACGGGGTGCTTGACGGTCGAAGATTTAGCACGGACGGGGCTTGCGTGGGTGATAACCAAATGCGATCAATGCGGACTTCCAACTCCCCTCCGGATCGTTCATGTGGTTCCCTGGGGCCAACTCCGAAACCTCTCTCACATCCTTGCTAGCGGGATTACTCGAGACGACCTGAGACGCTCCTCACAGGAGGCTCTTGTTCCTACTCTAGGACACTATTACGTCAACCAGGCTTGGAGAAAGAAAAAAATGTGGGCCAGTTGAGCTGAAGAGTGATTCACGAATAATTCCGGACTATTGCCACCAGAATGGGGTAAGGATCAGAATAGAGACTGATTTCCGCTGCTTAAAGCCAAGCTAACGAACCTTGTAATTTAGGCGGTGCCGTTCAACTAATGCACAGTTCGCCGTCTCGCATAGTACCTACTTCCTGGAGGGTCTAAGGGCGCCCGACGGTGTGGATCGAATACGAATCCAGCCAGGGTGAATCTGACGGGGATCTCCCCCGTCAAAGAATCGTTGCTAGACTAAGCATGAGTAATTCCCCCACTGCCATCAATTAAAACCTACAGAAAATTGAATCACATCCTACTCCGGCTGCTCACCGTGATTCCACAAGTGTCTGGAGTCCACCGGCGAACAATGATGTAACGAGGACTCGATGAAGAATGGAAGGAAACAACCCATCAATTGAACCACATTATACAGCATTTCGCGATGAGGGAGCCCCTGTGTGTCGTGGAAACCCATACGGAGAAAAGAAGCATCAATGAATTGGTCATGATGAGCAGACTGAGGTGAAAAAAAGGCCGGGTTGGAATTTATAACACTTGCGTATGTACGTTGTACGGGCCAAATGAGCCCTGTATTGCCGGTTCCAAAAGCATGACAAGGGATCACCGTTCCCGCTGTCACTTGGAAAGAAAAATGAAGAAGCAACCGAACAGCTGACGAGTTTCCAACCCCATAGCACTCCGCACCATATCCTCCAATGTGCATGTATGCCAAGTGGCTTCAGCCCGGTCTCACCAAATTGTCTCCAACCGCCCCTCAACTTGAGTGGGGTTCGACGGGCAGGATCAGCAACATCCTCGTTGGGGCATCCATTCCCTCGGGATTTCGATAGTTTGGGGTTTGGGTTTTATTCTCGCCCCTCTTATTTCGCTTTCTCACCGCTTGTCTGGAGAGTTTTTCCAACGAGTGGATGGAGATTTGCTACAGGGATTTTTTAGCCTGTCTCCGGATTCTCCCAACGACAGAAGTACGGTGCTGTTTTGCCCCTCCTTTTTCCGGACACTTCTTTTTGTTTGGCTCATGTACGGCGATTTGCCTTGTTGCATGGTGCATACTGGGCCGAGTGGGCAGCGGAAAATATATACCGTGTGAATAACGTGGATATTATTCATTGCCTTTGAGAGAAGGTACTCCGTACCCAGTATGCGATTACAACAATGTCAGTAGTATCCACACCGGTCTCCGTATCCACCGAGAAAATGCCATTGAAATTATTCCCAAACCACCTAGCTCCTGATTTTTCTCAATTCTCCGAGGAGATCGGGTCCCGCTCCATGGCCGCATCAATCTCAAATGCAAGAACTTGGTGCCTGCCGTTGCAGGGTATGCCCAAGACCGGTGCATAATACTTCTCACATCACAGTTAAGATATGATTATGTGACGGTCGTAAAGCAGGCAAATGACTTCCTATTACAAAACCTGGGTCCATTTCTAAGATTTAGAAGAATACGTGGAGCCTTTAAGTTCAAACGCAAAAAAAAGACTTTAAATCTGAAGCAAAATAATCCGAGTTGAATACGATATATACGATCCGTACTGTCGGGATTTCGACAGGGCTTACCCGTCCCCCAAAACCCAGCGCCATGGTTCGTCTCGGGTAAGGGGGCCACCCAACCTTTTTGATTCCAACGACGCTTTCGATCTATGTACTTACTACGGAGTACGGAGTGTTTATATTTCTCTTGTTTGAGGGAATATATATTGTACATTGTCGGAATATAACGGGTAATTTAGGTCATCTATTCCTTTTTCCTTAGCGTATTCAACCGCCCCTCAGTTCTCCATATACACACCGACTCAGCCTCGCCCAGTCATTTGCAGTGAAACATGGTAAGATGAAAGCGTAAGACAATAGTCACTTGCTCGGTGAACATGGGTCTTCTTTGTCTACTAATACTGATCACTCTGTCGGTTCCGCCATATGCATGAACTCGCGCTATATATTTATACGCAGAGGTGTCTTGGTGGTACTACTACCTGGCTACTGACAAGTCCCAAACATTACATGATGATCGGCAAATTCTTCGGCATAGAACTACACATGAAACTCACTAGTATTGAACTATATATTTGGTCATGACAAATACTATGTATCAAGTATGTCGTAGGACTCCTTCACCCACCCCCTTCTCAGTTCGTAATTTTAGGTTGCTGCGAGTGACTTCTGGTAAAACACACTCCTGCTACGTCCTCGGTCCAAATGACACTAGTAGCTTATATTAACTCGGTTTCATATCCATAGAGCCAACCTAGGGCATTCGCTCCAATGGTTAGTTTCGAACATCTTGAATGCGGAAGCAAGCCTTTTGTAGTTATATGTTAGTTTGCAAAGATGGAGAAGTTGATATCAGACTTGTCCTTTTCTATTTGCAGCTCCTACACTGAGAAATCGTATGGATAGTAGATCACCGTCGGGCTTGAGTGGGCGTGTAAGAGAGAAGTGAGGCATTACTCCCTACCTGCAATATCAATAACAGAATCTATCCGTGTTCCCTGTACTTGGATGTGGAATGTATACTGCAGTCCCAATAACGCAAATGTACTTACGATCTGATCCGTACGTCATTAATCGGGAAAGTATTGTCGCCATTGCTCGTACATTAATAAATCGAAGAGTGGGGTATATAAAGCTACACAGAAAACAGGAAGAAGCCAAGCACAACGCATACACCAGAAGAATGCATCTACCTCAGAACACCAGTACCCCTGCAAGCATAAGGTCAGTACAAAAAGCACTCGCGGACCTACCGCACATCCTCCCTCCCCGTCATAAACTCAACACCCGCGGAAACAATCTGCATAACCGTTTCGATCTCCGCTTCCGTCCGCGGCGCATAGATCAAAACATACTCCGCCGGGATATCAGGCCTCGTGCCTAAAGAAAGAAACGTCATCGCAGGTGCACCGGAGAAAGCATGACGCTGGCCCCAACCAGCTTCAATAACCTTGATGCCTAAGAAGCAATGTTAACACCCAACCACACCCACCAAACAAATAAAAGAAAACATACAATCTGCGGGCGCAAGAATCACATGAACAGAGTGGTCATTTCCCGAATGAATGTGCGCAATCTCACGCTTCATAGCTTCCGCAATCCCAAAGACAGGAATATAATCCGCAACAAAGAGCCCATCAGCATGTCGTTCGAGATTCGACTTTTGAAATTTCACGAGATGATGGTTCCGATGTCCGAACGCACTGAACGCAGTCCGGAATTTCTATCAAAACACAAATCAGCATATAGCTCTTAAATCCCCCACTTGCCTTTCTAAAGAAAAGTGACACATAACATACCTCCATAACAGCCTCGTCCGGTACCTGCGTCAGCTGCCGCTGCGGTACAACATGCGGTCCGACAACAGGTCTCTCTTCCCCACGTCGACTCCCCAGCTGTTCCTCGGATAACGATAAAAACCCATCATTTCCCTTCCCGTGACCGTCAGCTCCCTCAATGCGTCTCACGTACTCATCCGTGCTGAACATCTCGCGCCCGAAAGGCTGGAACAGAGCGCGCACGAGAACCCATCCTAGCGCGTTATTCGGTACCCCGCCCGGGCCGTAAGATATGAAGAGTTTGTAGTCGCGATAGGCGGCGGGGAGGATGAGGGTTGAGACGACTAGCGCTGCGGCGCTGAGGGCCAGGGTTAGGCGGTCTTGGGTTGTGTGGGGGTGTGGAAATGACGGAGGACGGAGGTCAGGGTTGTTATTGGCATGTTTGTGATGTTTGTGTCGATTGTTTATTCTTAGGAGATTGGTTTTTGTTCTTGGCTTTTTAACTAAGATATGAGGGATTCTCTTAGAATTTAATAAAAATGGCTGTCTCCTAAGGCCGGATTTGGAGGCTGACGTGAGAAATGGCTTGCTGACGCGATCCCGAAGAATTCGCGTGTCTCCGGTTCTTTTATAGTTAGGGCTATATATACAACTTCACATTGTAATCGGTTTCGTTTCGCTATGCTACTCGTATTATCATTAATTCCGATGCCTGGCATGACTCGGTTCATGGGTCTAGGTACAATAATCTGGCGGATATCCACGTCCCCACAGGCGAGGCTTGATAGAGTGCGATATAGCCCGTTTGGACCCTATTTTGAAGGGTCCGGTGACTCAGTGCTGCGGTGTTCGGCAATCCATAATCCGAAATCCGTGGCACATGTCTCAACAACACCGAGTTTCAGGTAGCAGCTAGCAAACATCATGGGTCTGAAGTGCTTTGCTTCTGGCCATAGCCAGCGCATCCAACCGCATCTCTGTCGTGGGTTGATCATGTTGATAACGATATCAAGTGTAAAAGACACAGGGCGAGGGATTGCAATCTTTCAATCCTCTTTACTCTCCTCTCGGCTAATGGAGGTCAAGGAGTGTGCAAGTTTCAGGAGCACCACACTCTCCGTTGCGGCGAAGTAGTTCAAGCTGTGGAGTCGCGTCAGAACACATAATTAAGTGATGTGGATGTCCAATAATGTTACTCACCTGTCCATCAAAATCCGGAGATGGCGCGAGAAATGGTCCTCGTATCTTTTTAGCGTGTCCTCAAGTTTTCCAATCCGCGTTGGATCATATCCTCTGGCATCTGCCCCAGGGACCTTTCCTCCAGCCAAGTCGGGATCAGCTGAAGCCAAGGCCCGTGAAAGTGAAGCCGCAGTCCAGGAAGCAAACATGGTGCAGCATGTCACCAGTTTCGAATGGATCTATATAGTTATTAGTATGAATACCACCGCCAGTATGAATAAACATACCTTCAACAGTTTGGCCTGAGTGAGCATGCACTCCTTCAAACATGTATCTAAGAAATCAACATGATCTTGCATCAGCTCATCAACCGTCCGGTTGGCCTGCTTCATATCATTTTCCTCCACCTCGGACGCATCGGCGTGAACGCTGTTGACACGATCCATCAAACCCACCCAATTGGGCTCAATGACCTCAGCTGTGCAAAAGTACAAAAGTTGCTGGACAAACACCAACATCTTCGCGCGTAGGTTCCACGCCCGTCGCTTCCATATTTCAAGCCGTCGGTCGGAGGATTTATGCCGCCAGCTGGTGGTCTTGTTCTGATCTGCCCAGGACGTGACCAGTAACGTCTCAAGATGGCGCAGCGATAGAAGGTGGCGGAAAATAAGTTGGTACCGCAGAACAGTTTTGCGACTGATGACCAGTGACAGAGGGAACGGAACCGAATAGTCCAGCTCAAGCGCATCGAATCCGAGAATATCTTTGTCCTCCTCGGCGGAATGGGCAGCAGAGACTTGTTGTTTCTCCGCTTCTGCGCCCTCTTGGTTGACCCCTGAAACATTCACGACTTGCATCAGCCACTTCGTGAGGCCGATCTTGTTCATCCGCACCTTGACATCTTCCTTGAACGGGTCTAGTGCTGCAACACTGCCAGGCTGTCGAAGGACAATGTCCAATAGTGACTGAAGCTTGCCCTCGTTGACGGCACGCGCCGGCTTTCGTAGCTCAGAAGCACCAAGTTCGAGGAAGTAGGAAAAGAAATCGGAACGATCCAGGAAGAAGTAATGTTTTAGGGAGCGGAATCGAGTGGTGAGGGAGTTTTTTGTGACAAGAAGATTCAACAAGGAAGCATTGGCGTAGGTGTAGGCGGAGTTTACATTGTCCAGGAAGCGTGGATCATCGAGCGTCTTCGGGACATCTTTGACCTCTTTGCTGACGTCGACACCACCACATTCACGTACCACGTTCAGATATTTTCCAGCGAGCAGAACTTTGTCTTGTACGCTCTTCAGCTGAGGCGGAACCTCGTGTTCTCGAATTGTGTAACGTTTCTCCCAATACTCGTCCGTGTAGTCCTCCTCGAGTTTCTCGCGTTTGATCCATTTTTGCTCTTTGACCAGGAACTCGGCGTGGGGATCCTTGATACCGCCGTGGTGCAGCCATTCGTTCAACATGGCCATGTAGGGCCTACTGGCGTCACGCAGTAAGCTCTGAAGCAAGGTCTTGGTGATTGGATCCCCTGAGAATGAAGCCAGACGCCCCGTTAGGAGTCCGAGAATATTGCCTCCTTTGCACATTTTCTTGCGGGCCATAGACCCTGGTACTAAGTCTCCCCCTTCTTTGAGTTGTTCAAGTATATTGTCAACATCCTCATCGAAGTCGTCAATCGACTCCTCGAGGTCTTCGTCTAGAAGGCCATTTTTGAGCAACAGTTCCTGGCCCATCGAATATAACTGGGCTAGACATTGACTGGTGGGCATTGTGTGGAGATGAAGAAGGTGCAAGGTAAATGTAGGATTGTTCAGCAGCTGGCCTTCCAGCTGCGCGATGAGGATCAGGTAATCTTTCATAAGCTTTCGGATAGATGCGCACAGCGAGTGACTAACAGCTCCACACTCAGCGCGGCTTTGTATTTCCACAAAAGCCTCCATGGCACTGTAGTGTGTCGCCATTTTCAACATGGACTGGATGAGATCACGGAGGGTTGGATCCAGGCCCGGGGCTATCTGGAAGACAGGGCCCGTGAGGCGGTCTTTCTCGATTGATGGGTCGTACGAGCTAGCGTAGTGAACATATTGACCTTCAAATCCCATAAACACAAACAACAGATCCTCTAAGATCGCTGCTTCCTGGGCATCAGGCGAGAGCTCTCGGAGTGGCCGAGGGTGAAGCACCTGCGGGACCGTTGAAGCTAGAGGGGGAATGGATACGCGACATGCGAGAGGAGCTGTCGAGCGAGGAATCAATGACGCTTGGGGATTCCATGGTGCTGTAGAGGAAAAATCACGGTCAGCAAATCTATTGCACTGCACGACAAACTGCGGCGTAGGGATTACTCACAATCAGCCAGGTCCTTCTCCCCAGTCCGGGCACTAGGATTTGTGTTATCAAGTTGTGCAGGCTTCCTAGGCCGAGTCTTATCCCAATCGCCTCTGTTGGCCGCACTGATAGATTCCTTAACAGGGTTCACAAGGTTCCTTCGCATTGCCTTCTCCCGTGATGTAATCACTATCCGTTCTGAGCGCTTCTCCGGCATGCTCTTCTGGTCCCGGGATACTCTGTGTTTCTGGCTCGAGTTGCTGTGGCGCAAAGGGTCCTTGTTCTCGACTTGTAGCGGCGACGGTCCGCGAGTTTCGGAATCGACGCGATTGGAGACGGCGCGGGGTCGTGGAGCGCTCATGTACGCGGCGCGGTCATTGGCAGACATAATCCCGCGAGGGCGACGTGTAAATCATGCAGCATAGGATATTGAAAGGCGCGAAATTGACGAGTCAGCAACAAAAATAGCAGAAGCAATGTATATGGGGAGAAGATGCAAGTATCCAAACAACTCCACTTTGGCTTGGGCATAAGATATGCCTCAGGCACAAAGGCAACAACCAGGCACCTCCACCTCTTGCGTACGTCGAGAGCTTCCCTTCCCGAGCTTCACTTAAGACACCCACCTCTGCTCTTCTTCCGTTCCAACTGATTCTCTCCTCCATCGTGATTCTATATTGTTTCATTGCTTCTTTTTTGACAAGTCACCCCCGTCATATCAGATAATCAAATATGTTCATTGCACGATCAGAATATGGTAAGCTTCGTCAGGGTCTCCCCTCACCGCGAAATCAACTAACAGCTCTGGACAGACCGTGGAATCAAGTACGTTCTCTGGGTTTAATCTGCATCCTCAAATAGACCTGCAGCCTGACAATGTTTCCTCCGCAGCACCTTCTCCCCCGAAGGTCGTTTGTTCCAGGTCGAATACTCTCTTGAAGCTATCAAACTAGGATCTACCGCCATCGGAGTATGTCATGCCACACAGTTCCTCTTTGCTCTAAAATTCCACATACGGCCTTAAATCACCACAGCGAGCGATTCTCGTATTGTTATCGGAGCGCAAAGTCAAGGATAATGCGAAAATGGAACCGTCCTTTCTAACACTCATCTAGGTAGCAACCTCCGAAGGTGTGATCCTCGGTGTTGAGAAGCGCGTCACATCCACACTACTCGAAGCGTCATCCGTCGAGAAGATTGTGGAAATTGATCAGCACATTGGCTGTGCCATGTCCGGTCTCCAGGCCGATGCCCGAAACCTGGTCGAACACGCCCGTGTCGAGTGCCAAAACCACGCCTTCCACTATGCCGAACCCCTGCGGGTCGAGAGCACTACGCAGGCAATTTGCGATTTGGCTCTGCGATTCGGTGAGAGCGGTGATGACGAGGAGAGTGTCATGAGCAGACCGTTCGGTGTTGCGCTGTTAATCGCTGGTTATGATGAGGATGGGCCCCAGCTGTGAGACACGCTGTTTCCTTTTGTCCCATATATTTACTGACTCCTTTTTCTTGTTAGATACCACGCTGAACCGTCTGGCACATTCTACCGGTATGACGCCAAGGCCATCGGCTCGGGAAGCGAAGGCGCACAGGCGGAGCTGCAGAATGAATACCATCGGTCCTTGACTCTAGCAGAGGCTGAGACATTGGTCCTCAAGACGCTGAAGCAGGTCATGGAGGAGAAGCTTGATTCGAAGAATGTCCAGCTGGCCAGTGTCACCAAGGAGAAGGGTTTCCGTATCTACAATGACGAGGAGATGGGCCACGCTGTCACACAGCTGGGTGGCAACCAATGAGGGCAATTAGTGTCGAAGATATCTCTTGAGGGGGCTCCTTGGACTCGATTTGGAGGCTAGTATCTATGTCGGGAGCAATAGAAAAATAATGACGATGCCGTCCAACGCTTACATGATGGCCTAACTACGTCGTATGTTATGTAGAGCAACTTATGGATGGTCCATAAACATAGTAGTCATGCATGCTAAGTTTTGGTTATGTACAATGACATGCAAACAGATCCTTTGCAACCTCTAGCGGATCTTATAAACACATGGCTTCAGGACCTGAGCCTCCTGCTCAGCCGACATGCCAGACTCTGAATCAGGCTTGCGGTCAACAAAGCGCTTCTTGTTACCACCAGGGGCAGGCGCGCTGAGAGCCGAAGCGTGCTTCCCCTTGGTGGGCGCACCACCCTGCTTAACAAACACCATTCTCACAAACATCTTATTGGACTTATCCACTGATTCCTGGCGAAGCATGAATCCACGAGACCGGAACACCTCCACAAACGCCGAGATATCAGTCTCATCCTTATTATCAGACGGCCGCACATCCTCAGCAAAGATATCACCCTCATCGTCAGAATCGTCGCCGCTCTTCTTCTTGGGCTTCTTCTTGTCTGCCTTGCTGCCGGGCTTCTGCGCACCGATCTGAGACTTCTTGCGATGGACCTTGCCAAATCGACTTTTGACCTCACTGACCCAGCACTCGCCCTTGCCGTCGCCGCGCAAAATACGCCATGCCTCCTCGACGAACGAAACCCAGTTGGTTCCCATCAGGCTCAAACAGAAAATAGCCACATCCGCTGCTCCATCTTCCAAGGGGAGATTCGAGATATCGGCTTTGGTGATCAGCGCATCGGGCGCTGCCAGATCGTAGCTGTTGATCTTGATTTTCAGCTTCTTGGCGGAGGGGGTCAAGGCGCGTGCGAGCTGTGCATCACCGCAGCCCAGATCGGCAAATGTGCATAGTCCAGTGGGACGACGGGGGAGCGGGTATCCCTTAGCAGGGTTAAGGGGATTTCCTCGCTTCGGAAGCGGGATTGCACCGCGGTGGCGGATGGTCTTGATGTAATCGTCGACGGGGTTGGAGGGCCAGGACTCTTTCACCTGTCGCGCAAATCCAGCATGGTACTCGTCGAATAGTTCCGGGTTGGTGCTGAACATCTCGAGTGCCTTCTCGGAGGGGGTGGTGTAGAGAGTTTCGTTCAGGTGGCGGAACCGGGAGGAGATCAGCTTCTGTCGCATCGCCTGCTGGAGAGGTGTCAGGTTGGCTGTTGGTGGGAGTGCAGGCGCAGCGGGAGTAGGAGCAGGAGCTTCTTTGGCCGGGGCAGTGGTAGCATCATCTGCCTCAGTCTTGTCCTCTGCGGCGTTGTCCTTGTTCTTCTTGTTCTTCCTTTGTCTCTTCTTGGGTGCTTTCTCCTCGGTTTGGTCTGCGTCTGCATCGGCGGTGGTCATAGTTTCGCTAGTGGGCTCCTGGGTGGTGGTTGTCTCAAGTGTTTGCTTCTTCTCCTTCTTTTGCTTCTTCTCTGACTTCACGGGAGCCTCTGCGCCGGGCTTTCCACCCCTGGTGGTACCCTCGATATGCCTGCGGTACATCTCATCCACATTGCCCGCGGTGACACGGTCATTGGCACGCTTGCGCTTGTTGTTCTTCCCATCGGAGTTGGGGGCATCCTTCTCCGGCTGGGACTCGTTCTTGGGCTGCACAGGCTGAGTCTGTGACTGCAGAGCAGAGCTCTCAACGGACCATCCTGGAACAGCGAACATGATTAGTTCTGAAGGATTGGTTGTAAATGTCCAATTCCTTTGAGGTAGAGAGAACGATACCTCAGAAAAAAAAAACTCCAAGTTTCGTTATCGGTAATTTTACTATCGATTACATACACATAATTGCCTCAGGCACCATACCGGGGTAAATCTCGGCTAAAAGCCTATGGCATGACTTTGTTTGGGGGACACAAAGAGAACGTACAATGTTCACCGGGGGAACTCCGTACGCTAAGCACCTCGTAAGCCATAATAAATGCCTAAGAATATTTAAGTCTGACTGTGCACTTAAGAACCTTGCAAATATGTACGTGATTATATATCCCCCCTGACGAACCACAGCGCGGGTGATCTGCGGTCCTCGGCAGCTTTTCCCTCTTAGCTTTCTTACGGAGTACTTATCTGATTATTGTGCTTTCTAGCCCCACAATGTTCTCGCACATGCCCACTCTGCAATCTTGAGCCATGGCTGACGACCTTCAGGATCAGCTGGAAATTCCAGCAGATCTAACTGTTAGGGGTGTTGCGGAAGCATCAACTGCACGATCAGGTCCCCGCAGACTTCCAAAGAAACGAACTAAGACCGGCTGTTTGAGTATGTTACAGAACGCTGGAGAGAGAGTCCCCCGGTTGACTAAGTCTCATAGCTTGTCGAAAGCGCCGGATCAAGTGCGGCGAAGAGAAGCCAATATGCACCAACTGCGTGAAATCGAAGCGAACCTGTGAGGGTTATGCCCAGCGAGTCGTGTTCAAGAACCCTATAGGCATCTTTGGGTCTTTCAGCACTGGCCACGCCCAGGACCCGCAGATAGAGCAGCAGCAGCATGTGAGAGTGCCGATATACAATAACTATGGCACTCAACTCCCTCCCCAACAAGCGGCGGCCGCTGCTCAGCACCCAATGTTGGCTCCGCGACCTGCTGATCCAGTGATGATGAGATATCACTCATTTCCGTCCCAAGTCCCTTCGCCAACTCACATCGAGCCGATTAATGCACCTCCCTTCTATTATCCAGCAGCTCAAGTGCAGCCGCCAACCCATACGTGGGACATTCAGCCGATTGCCCAAGCAGAGAGCAGCTTGGTTCCGTCAAATGTGACTGACTTCTCACAAGCACAGCAGTCAGTTCAGCTGGGTCAAACGAACGCTCCACATATGCCCCCTTCAATCATACAAATTGTACCCCAGATCACCAGTCCCATCGGCCAGACAGCTGAAGAATACGCCTCCAATCTCTCCCCGGTGCCAGCTCTCAATCCAATGCCGGGAAACAAGGAGAGCGAAATCAACAAAGTTCTTCAGGTATGCATTGCCGTGGTCTCTCTGTTTTCGCAGCTGGCATGCTGAGTACGATTTCTTAGATTACGCAGCCGCTGCCTACGATATATCATTATCAGTCACCACCAGGGCAATTACCGCAACAATTACGATCTCACGAGCAGTTTATCCCCCGGATACCCCAACAAACACAAGTGATATACATGGAGGATGAAAGCGAAGATTATTACGACGTGGACTCGGATGATGAGATGGTGGATCAATCGCAGGCCGAAGGCTTCAATCAGCTGAGTCTCATCATGGCCTCTGCTAACCGCGATGAAAGACAACTCCGCTCCTTCACCACTTACCTGAACGAGCCCAATGTACTCGCCTCATACCGTCCTACACTTGGCTCTTCTCCCTTAAACAACCCAAAGACCGCCCGCATATTTGCTCACTTCATCCACTCAACTGGTCCATCCTTGTCTATATTTGAACGACATCCTACTGACTCCTCGATTGTTCTGGGGGCGGCTGTCCCATCTGCACAACAAGGATTATGGGTCTATACACTTGCCCTCAAAGCTTTGGAGCATCCAGCCCTCCTCCAGGCAATACTGGCTGTCAGCAGCTTACATATTGCATATTTACAGAAAGTTCCCACAACGGTATCTTTGAAACACTATCACTACGCCCTGAAACGAGTTGGCTCCGCAGTCGGTCTTCCCCTCCGACGCAAGCAAGTCGGGACCTTGGCTGCCACTCTGCTCCTAGGCTATTATGAGGTGATATCTGCCGACCACTCGAAATGGAATAATCACCTGGGTGGGTCCACCCATCTTATCCGGGAGATCGACTTTGCCAAGACCACCAGAGATCTACGGGCCCATCGACGTAGAGCTCATGAGCAGCGACTGCAGTCGGGTTGGACAAGCTCATGGTGGGGAATGCCTGGCGAAGTCTCTGAGGACGATCCCTTCTCTGAGAAAGAGGACAGCATCGATCAAGATTTTATAGGCGCTATTATGGGACGAGCAGTCAACTATGACTATTTTGGATGCATCAACGAGGAGAGTACGCCGCTCGCCAAAAAGCATTTCACCCGCAAGGACATTGAGGTTTTCCGGATTCAATGCGATCTGTACTGGTGGTACGCAAAGCAAGATGCACTTCAGAGTTTTATTGGTGGGAACAAATTATTGTAAGTCTACCCGTACGGCTACTAGCAGACATACGATTTGCTTATTCGTAAACCAGAATGCCCTACTCTCAATGGGGTCAATGTCCGCCTCGAGCAGGCATTGGCCGTTTAGATGCCATTTATGGCTCCGCAGATCACCTATGGCTCCTGCTCGCCCGGGTCACAGATTTTGCCTTGCGTGATCGCAAGCGAAAGTTGAGAACACTGAAGGCCGGTGGGGTGGACTGGAAGCCAGGCCCTGAGATGTTCCAATTTATGGGTCGATTCGCTGGTGGCCCTCCTGGTCAACGACCTGGACCACCTGGCGGCTTCGGTCCGGGGGTCCCCCTGGCCCTCCATCTGGCCCGCCTAATATGCAGCCTGAAGGGTACCCCAAGGCCCCACCCATGGCAGACCCTGCTGGGGCCTCTCCTGCTTCAAGCCCCGGACCGACCTCGGCCGATAGTCCTCCAATGTACGGAATGATACCCCCTCAACCACCTGCACGTCTTCCCTCAGGATTCCAAGATCGACCGCTTGAGCCTCGTTTGTCACCCGATGAGGATGACCCTGCCCACGACATGAGCTACAAGGAAGCAGAACACGAATGGGAAGAGATCCTGGTTGCCATGGGCATATTCTCCCAAGCGTTGGGCCGCGATTTCCAGCCTTTGCCAGCGGATGTCGCACCTCCAATCTCTACACCGTTCGGTCCTGCCCTCCAGTATCGTACCCATACCATCGCCGCGATTTGGGCGTTCTACTATGCCGTTCGCGTTCTGCTGAATCGGATTCACCCATCCATGCCACCGGCCATCATGATGGCAGCTGGGGTAGCTGCTCCAACCACGGCTGGATTTGCACAGACTATTGGGAAGATCATGGCGGGTGTCTACTATCCGCAACGCTTTAATCTCGAAGCTGGAAGCTTGAGTCCGAATTTGGGTTCTGGCTTGACTGACATGACAGTGCCGGTATTCTTTGCAGCTGTGCAATTTGTTGATCCCGCGCAGCGAGCTTGGACGATTTCGAAACTTCGCGACATCTCTCGCTTGACTGGGTGGAAGACCGCGGATGCAATTGCAGGGGGCTGCGAGAGATCATGGATAGTCGCTGCAAAGCAAGGTCGTGGGCCACCCTATCAACGGTCATTTGAGACTGACCGATCACGGGAAAAGGAAGAAGAGCGTGAGGTAAGCGTGTCTATTGGATATCCTTGTCCTATACCATCCATGCTAATGTATGCGCCACAGACTGAGGCTGTGCTGAAGGAGGTTGAAGATCGTCGATTTGTGACAGTGAAGTCGGATCGATCGCATTGGGCTATGGGAATTTTGGAAGAGGACATTGCAAATTTAGAGGTTTAGGATTGGCCGAAGTATACGTACAATACCCCAGTCCCTACCTACATACATAGTACATACATTAGGTACGACATACAGTAGGTATACAGTAGTGCCCGTAGAAGTTGTGGCGTAGGTTGGTAATATCTTGTCATCTTTGGTGGGCTTCTTGCCCTCTCTCTCACGCATTTCTTTACCCAGCGCGGATTCAGATTGGTCCACACGGGCAATCTTGAAGCCCTTGGCCACAAATTGATTCGCTCAGTGGCCTAAACTCATTTCGGGAAAATGCAAATACCTGCCCAAGATCGCGGAGTGGGTTAAGGCCCACGGCGGCCAAGGCTCAGATATTATCCCCTTCTCCGTCGAGTTGAAGGAGAAGCTGTGGTCCCTGAGGGATGACAAGCCAGCGCTAGATGCCTTCATGGCCGAGATCAAGGTCTAGAACCGCCTGGGAAAGATAACAACCGAAGGTATGTCCCCCGATACTCGCCTCACGCATCCCAAACTAACAGTTATGGCAGGCTTCACTAGGCTGGGACTGCATTATTACTTTACCGCCGGCGAGAAGGAGATCCGCTGCTTGCCGATCAAGTGGGGAGCACTGGCTCCACAAGCCGCTGGTGTCATTCAAGGCGACTTTGAACGCGGTTTCATCAAGGCCGAAGTTGTGGCGTACCAGGACTTCCATGACCTCTGCAAGGGCGAGAAGTCGATGGGACCAATCAAACCAACGGGGAAGTACAGGGAGGAGGGCAAAACCTATGTCGTCCAAGATGCAGACATTATACACTTCCAGTTCAACGTTGCACCGAAGAAGAAGTAGAGACTCTTCAGAAAAGGTACTTTTGTCAATGATCGTCGTTATTATCGTCGGAAAGAACTGGGGTCCATGGCTCTTAAGATCATCGTTTAGCGGACAACTACTACCTCGTGTTCCCCTTGACAGCCGCTGCGATCTCGCCAGCTAATGGATCACTGCTGTGCTCATCTTCTATATGCGGTAATCCCCGGGACGAATGTAAGACACAACTCCGTCAACTTCTGCCATGGTCATAGTAAAATCAGCATTTCGATTTTCCCCTAGCCTTAAACTAGCACTGATTAAGCTACAAAACCATGGAAATCAAGCACCTTGCTGTTGACGCCCACATCACCTGTTCTTCGCCAACGAGAACGAATGAACGTGAACCGATAGAATTATACAAAATAGATGCAGACAAAGATTGACATAAGAATAAATTCAATTGGAAAACAATTTGGCTAAGCAATAAAGTGGGCGATAGCCGCATAGCCAGTGGCTAAGCGAAGAATTGGAAACTGAAAACAGCATTGGCTTTCAAGTGAGCAAAGGACTAAGTAACGTCGTAGAGGGGATGGAGGATTACTGCGCAAGATCAACAGAGACAGGACCTCCAACCTTCTCTTCGATTGACCTCAGGATATCGGACATGCTCGAGGCCAGTCCAACATTAAGATCTTGATATACCACTCCTCCCCAGAGCAAGCCAGTTACAGCCCCATATGTATTGAGAATAAATGAGCCTGAATCTCCATTCTCGCAAAAGGCTCGGCTAGGGTGGTGTAGGTCCGATTCCTCAGTCACAATGATGAACTCTTCAGTTGCCGCAGTGTCCATGTCCACTTGGACCCCACTAGGGTTGTATCTACTGCTGGATTCCCACTTGCAGTACGCTTTTGGTCCGTTGCAGATGCCTGCAGTAACCCCAGTGGTCCGGCCATTTTTCATGCAATAATCCCCTGCCCTGAGTGAGCCGAATTCATTCAGAACACTGTGCTCCTGGATAACCATAGGAGGGCAAGGAGGTATGAGCTCCTGTGGCAGAAAGGTAGAAGGGATTGAAAACATGCGGTTTGGTCCGAAACATTGTTCCTCGGCGTCTTTGGAGAGTTGAACGAAAGCCCAATCCAGGACTTGGCTATCACGAAGTTGCTGTCCGGACACGAACTTCACTTCTCCCAAGACGTGTGGCATTCTCTCGACTGCTGTATGCTGGGGCAAAAGTTTCTCCATGTGAGAGTCGTAATTTGCTATCCATTCTAGGAGGCGGCAATGCGGAGTTGCTCCAATCAGTTCTCGTTCTTGCACTTTGGCACTGAACTCAGAGTACTGCTTGCGCAAGGCATTCAAGAAGAAGTCAAGCCTGGCAAGTGTAACATCCCTGTCCATGCGAGCCAGGCATTCAATTCTAATCACCCGTTTCAGACGTCGAGCGGGAGATGACCCATAACGATCGAGGTCTTGGAGAAACCGGGCGTTGTCTTTAGATTCCGAAGGCCTGATAACATGATAATTCGTGAGAAAGCCTCTACGAACAACTCCATCGTGGGTCAATGTGACAAATCCGCCTAATGTGCCTACATTGTTATTTCCTTCAATGCCGACCGAGTAGCCCATTCGAGGAACGGAATTTGGAGTGAGTCGGTCCTTGAACGAAACGGCCTTGGTCAAAAGTGACAGGCCACCCGGCAAAAATTCAATATCAAAGTCATCCGTGTTCATGTGAGGTGCGAGTTGATACATAATCTGACATCGCAGTTCGAACCAATTTGTGCGTGTCCATGGCTCCACAAGTACAACGATCACCGGCTGCGCCTTAGCTCTCATTGAACCAACATGAAAGGGGCAAAGCAAGCGCCACTTATTGCCGATTGCCTTGTTGAGAAGCTTGACAATGTTGAGTTTGGTTCGTTCGTAGGCTATCACAAGAGGATGGGTTGGGGCGATGAAGAATACAAAGGGGTGATGACAGTGCTTGCTGCTAATGATCTGAACATGCGCGTTGACCCTGTGCTGGTGGAAGAATCTTACGATGTCATCTTTGATCGGGCCGAGATGAGGAATGTTGGGGTCGGTGTTGCTGAGGTAGATTGAGAAGAAGTCCAAAGTGATATCACCGCCAGGATAATTCGGTTTGCTCATCTTCCCACATTGGAAAGTTGTGAGGACATTCAGGTTGCGACGGCGCATGATAGCTCTGATTTCGGGGTAAAGTGGACTGATTTTCTGTTCTATTGCAGGCACAGTTTCCATTTTCACCGGTAGAGGCAGTGGACTGGTGACGCTAACCGATCGATAGATCTCAGAGGAGTGCATGTATTGTTCCAGACTCATCTCACCCTCTGATTCTTTAGATTCACGAAGAAAACGTCGCCTTTTGCGGGGCGACAAAGGAGGCGTGGGATGGCCCGAAGGCCAGAGAACAGGAGTTGGATCAGTCATCACCGGTAAGCTTCAAGAGAACGATAAAAATCTTTGAGAAGTGGAGCTGTAATGCTGTTAGCGGAGGTAAGTAGGGTCGAGGATAGATAACAGCCGTATAGGTTGTAAGAGGGACGAACCTTCCGTGAGCAGAGGTGATAGGCCGCCGATTGCAGAAGTGTTGTGAGGATAAGAAGAGCAGATAGGTGGAAGACTGCAGAAGGTCGAAGAGAGATGGATGAGGAAGAAGAGAGAGAGAGAGTAGAGGAATGAAGAAGAGAAGAAAGAAGACTCATACTCCAGAGGTACCAACCTGATACCACACTGATCCTGTGATCTCATTGGTTCCATACTTCCTATAGGTCGTTCCGGTATTGTTCCATGGTTCTTATTGATTTCTGACCAAAGAGATCACGAGAGCACCGGAGTAGAAAACAACAAATGGAGTAGTAGCAAATCAGTAGTTGTACGAGATTATATCGAGGACTAAGAGATCATAATGAATAGGTTCAATTGGATTGTAGCATACAAAACTAAGGTGGGAATCTCTGCCCCGAACTGGCTCATAGGGTCATAATGGAATCCCATTTCATATGTAAGACAAGCAAAGCATAATTGTGTGAAGAGACATCAGATCATAGTTCATCAATAGGGAGTGAGTTCTGGCAAGGGTTTCCAGGTTTGAGCTTGAGCAACCAGGTCTGGATGGGATTGAATCAAGTTTTCGTATCCTTCAACTCGTAGACGGAGAGCCCGGACTTCACGACTGAGCATTTTATTCGTGAAGGCGACAGAATTCAGAATTGACATTTCCATTCGTTGGTGCTTTTCATTGTTCAATTTGGATTTGGAGATTAGTTTCGGCCGGGGTGGGCTTCTTGGTTGGTTGAGACTCCTCAACCGGACTGGTTGGCCTGAGATGAATAACTGAAGGCTCGGGATCAGGATCCCGATCAGCGAGCTGGTTGTGTTTATTGAGTCTAGATCCGGAATCAATATGGATAGATCCCTCTTAAACGCCTCGGGTAAGATATCGTCCCACCAGACAGGGTGCTGAACCCCCTGGACCAGCCATCTCACCTCCTCTAAACATCGTAGTACGGCCAAACACTCCATCTCAGTAGTGTGGTAATGAGTTTTCGCATCAGTCAAGACTAAGGACATGTACATGATTGGGATCTCATCCTTGGTTGTCGCCTTGCTTGATTTTGTACCTGCTGGCAGGGTTTTCATTTGAAATGGCACTCCTCCAACCCCTCGATTGGAAGCATCCGCTGTTAGGTGATATTGTAAGGAAGGATCCCCTCCACCAACCGTGATCTTGGAAATACTGCATTTGACTCGGTTAAATGCTTTCTGCTGGGCGGGGCCCCATTCCCCATTACATAAGAAATATTACTGCTTAACTAGCTAGTTAGCTATTTAGGATTGATAAATCCTCCGGTATCCTGGCCTAACTACACTGACAACCAGGACGTAGCTCAGCTGACCGGTATTCCGATTAGTCACGTGATTTGGTCTTATCTCCACTGTAAGGCACTCAGGCATCCAACCCCCCAAATGGGTCCTGATAGCTACCGCTTCGTACCCGTGGTTCCTCGAAAACCCCACCCCGGTTCGGAAGTCAGCCGTTCGCGTCATCCACGGTTTACCATTATTTTTTGGTGTAGAATCCGGTGATACCACCAGAATGTCACGGTATGATGACTACCGCTCGTCAACAGGGACCCTGGACTCTCGCGATAGATACGATCGATTTTCACGGGGTCCCCCAGTGGCCGAACGACCCCGCCATGCTGAAGAGCGCTTTGAAGCACGCCTCCGTGGGGAAGACCGATATGGACCCCCTGCGCGCGCACCCGGGAGACTCTATGAAGATGACCATCTAGACCACCCATCCCCTGCCAACTCTCTTGTGGCGCATGATCGAAGTCGACGCCGTGATGACAGTCCCTCATTCCGACGTCCCCAACTTATTAGGCGGCAGTCGTCCTTGGACACTTTCGACCGCATACCCCGGCGCAAGATGGAACACCTTGATGCCCGAGATCGCGCATCGCGCGCTCCCCGTATACCTGTCGTTACTCCGCCTCGTCCACGGTTCTCTCCGGGCCGTTATCGTGAGCGAGAAGTCTACGAGGATATTAGGATCGCCGAGCCCGACTACTATGGTGACGAAGAGTTCAGAGATATTCGTGATCGAGATATGGTTGGTCGCCGCCGCCGTTCAAGCAGTACTGTTCGCAGGCATGAGAAGCCTTACCCGCGCAAAGGGAAGACCCGTGTTCCTCGTCACCTTGCTCATATTCATGCCATCATGGATCTAGGGTACCCATTCAAGGAAGAGGTTGGTGTTCTGTTTTCCAATAGTGCTGCTGTCACCTGCTGACCTGAGTAGGGGGATGTGATTGTCATTCAGAAGGCATTGTCCAAGGAGCAGATCGACGAAGTGCTTAGCTTGAGCCGCGAGTTCAGGCGGCCCGACCCCGTGGAAAGTGAGTGGCATCCGCATCCGCATTCCCAAGACCTTATGAGGAAGAGTCATACTAATGAACATTTTCAAACAGCTGAATATATTGCCTTGGCCCCATCTCCTCCCCCAAGGGAGCGGCGGCCACGAGAGCAGGTGACAGAATACCTACGTGTCGAGGCTTCTCCCCGCACCAGCCAGGCATTCATTGTGGAAGCATCACCGGCCCGACACAGATCGCAGTCGCGCCACCATGTGGACCAATACGAGGAGATTGTAGAGAGACCGCGAGTGCGGGGAGTCTCCCGACGACGAGCTGTGTCAGTCCATGATCATGGTCCTCGCGCCTCTCCCGTGCAGTATATCGAGGAGCGAGAATCTACTGCTGCTAGGGCGGGTCAAATGGTTGTCGTTCGTCCACGGGATAGCGATCACGACGTGAGAGATTACGTTCACGAACTGGAAGAGGAGATGAGGCTTCTTCGTCTGGAGAGGCAGGGTGGAATTGAGATCACTCGACAACGCGAAACAGATATCATTGATGATAGAGGCAATCAGGAGGAGGTTGTTGAAACCAGTACGCAGGACCGCACAGGTATGACGCCCTATATTACTATATCGTTTCGGTGATTCTGACCTTCTTTAGAACCGAACTCTCGCATCATGCGTGCTATGATGGCAACACTGACCTAACCTGATGTCCTTTCTACTTTCATGCTTGACTTGTGAAGCAGAGAATTACGACGCTATGATTTTAACTTGATTCCCAGTTTCTGGGTTCTGGATGGGGATTTCCAGATGTTTTTTTATGTATCTTCTTATTCAATTTGCAGATTATTTTTAGGTACAATATTGAAGTTTTAGGAATCTGCGCTCAAAGGAGGCTACTCCTAAGATGGACCATGAGCTTGACATACATTTAGAGGTTATTAATGGTAGAAAGAAAGACCAAAGATACAAACCCATTGCATTGTGGATGCCTGATATGTTGATATGTGGCGTAAGTGAGGCGGTGCAAGGTCGAGGCTTTGTCCCGCCCGCGTAGCACATGCAATGATATCCCATCATCACTCCCATCCATTTCCCATTCTCTCCCCTTTCTCTTTAACTAAAACGGTCAAAACTCACCAATCATGGATCGAATGCAGGCATTCGGAAAGAACTTCAGGTGAGTACACCATCATAGGCCCCCTATCCCGCGGACCCTATTCCATCCCCCTCGACTTGTGATCGGTCACTTTACTAACATCTTCTTGCCTTGTGGTTTTCTGACTGGCAGTGCGAACTTTACGCCTTTTGCGCAGCGTACCCAGCAAATGATCAAGGAGCAGCTGGGCCAAGCCGACGACAAGACCCAGCTCCCCGATGAATACATCGAACTTGAGAAGCGCGTCGATGCGCTCAAGCTTGTCCACCAGAAGCTGCTACAGGTGACGTGAGTAATCCCTGTTACTTTCTGCGCTATCGATGACTTCCCCAACAGGTGCTAACCGGCGCTACCTTGCGCGAACAGCTCCCAGTACTCCAACGAGGCCTACGACTACCCTCCCAACATCCGCGAGTCGTTCAATGACCTGGGCCGCACTATCAACGAGAAGGTCCAGCTCCTGTCCCAAGCAGGCTCACCCGCCGAGGCACAAGCTGCCTTGACAGCTCCGCCTTCCGCAAAGCCCCAACCCAAGACCTTCAACCACGCGATCGCCCGTGCCTCCCTTGCCGGCTCTCAGACACTTGCGCAGAGCACCGAAGGTGAGGACCCTCTCGCCAGTGCGCTAGAGAAGTATGCCCTGGCCGAGGAACAGGTTGGCGAGGCTCGCTTAGCCCAGGATGCTCAGATTCAGTCCCGCTTCCTGGCTGGCTGGAACACCACCCTCAACACCAACTTGATGTTTGCTGCCAAGGCGCGCAAGAATGTTGAGAACGCCCGCTTGATGCTTGACTCCATCAAGGCTAGCAAAAAGGCCGGTGCCCACGGTGACCTGGATAACCTGAGCGAGGATGCCCGCGCAGAGATCGAGCAGGCCGAGGATGAGTTTGTTGGTCAGACTGAGGAGGCTGTGAGCGTGATGAAAAACGTATGTTCTGGTCAAATTTCTCCTTTTGCGCTCTTGTTGGTATTTGGAATAAGCCTGGTACTAACGTCGCTTACCACAGGTCCTTGATACCCCCGAGCCCCTGCGCAACCTGGCCGATCTGATCGCTGCCCAACTCGAGTTCCACAAGAAGTCATACGAGATCCTCAGCGAGCTTGCTCCGACTGTAGATGCACTGCAGGTCGAGCAGGAGGTAAGTTATCGGCGATTATCATTTTAGCCGTTCATCACATCTAACCACGTTTTTCTTAGGCTAGCTACCGTAAAATCCGTGAGGGCGCTTAAGCGTTGTTTTGAAAGCCATGTTTCTTTTGTTATCCTTCTGCCTGGCTTCGATCTTGTCTGTTATTCTGAGCCATGGCCTTGTGTTTTGTATCTAAGCGGCTTTGCTTCTGCTGAGCCAACCCAACAGACCATTCAGTCTGGGTTTTTGGACTTGAAATTCGATCTTCCTATCTATATCCTCCTAAAAGGCCATCTTGTAGTGGAAATGTAGAGCAGAAGCCACCTTGGTGTATAGATGATTTATGCGCCGCCCTTCCACCGCCCGCTAATTCTGCCTCAGGCGTCAGCATCCCGCTAGCTCCAGGAGCTACGACATCTACGGAGATACTCCAACTCGCCAGGTCGCCTTTTTCAGCTCGCAACACACCTGACCGCTGCATATTTTTCGAAGAGAACCCGCGATATTTGGTTACTCTAACACGTACGCAAAACATCATTGAACCGATCCCAATCGTGCCACGCTGCACCGAACAATCGATTACTTGTCCGTCCACCCGCGCCGTCAAAGGATCCGGGCGTTCAAGAACACTCGTGCAGAACATTTATACCCTCGACTAAACGACTAGCCCCTTTGTGATCTACTCCATAGCTCGCTCGCTCTTCGTCAACACATTTACATCACACACCGAGTGATCTCCACTCTGGGTTGTGCTTTACTCCGACGAACGAAGATATTAACAAAATACCGGCAAAATGGCAAACGGGTATGTTTCCTTCTCCCTTGGGGTTGTGCAATAAACAGCACATGCATATCTGGAGCCGTGGGTTGATGATTACCTGGTTACGGGTGTTTGCATTGTTCAATCTATCCCGCTACGCCTCGCCCTCCCGATACTCTACTCGATGGATACAAAACTACAGTAGCTAACGTGAAATTTGACAGCTGGAGCATTCTCATAGGCCTGGTTATCATCGTCGCTCTCTCGACAGCAGCGTGGTTCCTAAGCCCGAAGGGCGATAACCAAACGTGAGTCCATGCTTGCATGCTGGGCGTCGAGCCCAGGGCCGTTCCTTTTAAAGTTCTAAGCAACTGAGAATTCTAACTCTGCTATCTTCAGTCTCTTCCGTAGCACGCTCATCCTTACCTTCGTTTCCTGTTACTTGATGTGGGGTACGTTCTTGTTACACATTCTTTCTATCCATCTGTCTCCGTGAGATATTTGCACTACATAAAAGATGCTAACATGTTCAATCTAGCCATTGTTTTCCTCGCACAGTGGCATCCCCTCATCGCGCCGAAGCGGTCAGACATTAGACCTGATCGTGTACCGCAATAGAGGCATTTGCCCTTTTGGTTTCGTGTGTTTTTCGTCAATTCTGTCAACTGACAGTTTGGGAGAATGTCGGTTGCGAGATATTGTCTCGTCTTATCTCGCCGTGTCATAGTATAGGATGGAGTCAGACATATCCCATCCCACGCTGCGATGTGCGTGGGTTAGCCGGGAATGAGGACTGCTTTTCTTTCCCTGTGCTCAGGCTTGGTAGCGGGCTGCTTGTGGAATTGGCCTTCATTGCGAACCTGTATGGGTTCGTAGTTGCTTTATGTTTTTGTATAGTTCTTGTCCTAGATGGCCTTTTCTTCGCAGCGTTTTAAGTACGTTTTTTTCGTTTTAGTTCAGTTTTGGTAGTTGCTCCGCTTCCTTTACTATGGAAAGTATTCATATCATTTTCGGTCACTCTACTAGATCAATCCTACTAGTGCCTACAACTGTGTTTATTAATCAAGGATGCCGAGTATGGATTCGAGTACCCAGTAGACCTAGTGATATGCATATTTAAGCAAATTGGACGCTGATAAAGTTAAGATGGATTATTTTTTGCATCAACTATCTATCCAAGTCTTCATTGGAAACACTCCATTAACCAACTCCCACAGCACCCAGAATCACCCTTTGTACCGCCCACCGGGCGGTTTGACCTGCAACAGCAACGGCAACAGCACGCAGATACCCACACCCAAGTAAGATATACAGAGCCTCGATATTGCTCAGAAGCACCAGATGCGTATCAACAACACCAAGAGAAAGCAACGAAGATAGCAAGTCAAAAAGCCCCGTCAGATAACTCGTCGGCGTAGAAGTGTGAAGTGAAGAAGTCATGGTAGTCAGCCACGATTCCAGGAATGAAGAAGAAAGCGCCGAATCTGAGGGCGGAGATGATATAGCTGCTTTCGTAGAGAGGAGGGAAGATGTTTTCGTCGCTGTAGCGAGCAGGGTTTGTTGCACCGCGCTCGGAATTGTAGCCGTCTGGGACCGAACATGTGCTGCTGTATGACTGTGCGCTGGAATATCCGAGAGGCTGCCGTTGCCGTCAGCGCCCCAGATTACTAGCAGTATGGGAAAAAGCTTTGCACAGCTGCTGACTAGCAGAGCGGTGCTGATTGCTGCTGGGCTCGCGGCTGTTGGAGGGGGCAGGGGCTGGATATTCTGCATCGGAGCTGTTGATGTCCGGCGTAGCGGCGGCGCAGGTCGGGGTGGTGGTCCCATTGATGTGCCTTGCGGTGGCGGTGATAGCTCGGTTGGGGAGGTGACCTCGCTATTTGAGTTGGGGGTTGGGCTTGGGCTTGGTAGGCTTGCGGAGGGGTTGGCGGGGGTCTGGGTTTGTGGGCTTATTGGCGCCGTGGATGGCGAAGGATGCGTTGGCGTAGGGGGTCCGGAGGGGAAGGGGGTGGTATCTTTTGTCGATTTTGTGGTAGGATTGGTGTTGGCGTTGCTGCTGCTGTCTGGTCCGCTGTACCGGCGCGACTTCGGAACAAGGATTGAGGCCAGAAGGCGCACGGTGAGGTGGTGTGCGAGAGTTGCGGCTCCATTCAAGCTTAGGAAGAAGAGGTATTGGACAATGATAGGGGCGCGTGACAAGAAGGTCGTTGCGAGAGATGGGTCCTTCTCAATGCGTGCCCAGGTCAAGTAGACGTCGAAGAGAAGTAGAAGCACTCCTAGGCGAATTATGGACCGCTAAAATGAGACCTTATCAACAAGTAGCTCACAATTGTATAAGATATTGATAGTGTACCCACATCGAACTGGTTGTCGTCTCGCCCGAGCCGATTAAAGAGGAGATGTCGGTATACCTATTCCCAGTTATACCAGCCAGGTCGCGTGCTTCAAGGACATGTATAACGCTTACCTGGGGCTTAATGAGCACCAAGTCAATGAAGAGCACGACAAAGTCATATTCAACGTATTTATCGGCAAACCGCTGGCAACGCGGGCATTGCGTTAGCCGCACACCCTTGCCTTGGGACCGGTCATCGGCACGGCTGTAGGCGCTGTACAGGTGAGAGACCGGATAGGAGCACTCGATGCAAATAGGCATTGTGTCACATGCATGGATCTGGAATGTGCAAGGATCCAGACTGCAGCTCTCCTATCGTGATATTGAAGGCGGTGAACCAAGATAATACTCCCAAGGCTGTACCTGCAGGGCATAATATGGTAGGTAGAGGCATCCTCAAGAAGGGTATAACTACAACTTAGGCAATTCTCACCATATCACTTTCACCACCAGTCACCACTTCAATAGGTCAGTCAATATACGAGATAACGAAGCATTAGAAATGAGAAATGAAAAATGAATTTAAAAAAAGAAATTGAACTCCGATAGGGGGAATCGAACCCCCGGCTGCCGTGTGAGAGACGGCGATGTTAGCCACTACACCATATCGGACAGGGACTGCGAATTACCTTCGCAGGTTTAGTTTTAACCCTTTAAGCTTAGCGCACTTAGTCCTTGTGCAGATCCTAGCATTAGCACCTTAGCGATTAGCTTGCATAGCAACCAGGACCTATCTCGCCCCTTCACTCTTATTCAACGGTATTCTTGTTCGAAGCATGGGTGGGTGTCTCAGGCATCCAAACCTGGGGTCACATGACTGCTTCTCTGCTTCTTCCCCCGCTCTCAGTCCTCTTCTCTTCTCTCTTCTCTCTCGTCCGCGCCAGTGTTGTTAGTGATCAGGCTAGGTAAACGCGTTCCAGTCTCTGATTCTCCGATCCTTCCTTCTCTCAGGTTCTGAGCCCGAGTCTTCTCTCAATTCTGCTCGGACCTGCTAGATAGCAGTCCTCACAATGAATGTATATGTATAATGTGTCTGAGGTAAAGAATGGACTGACAACGCCCTCAAAAGGACAATTGCTATTTTTGTTAGTTAATAGGTCAAATGGACGTTTTCACCGATTTGCAAGTGAGCCTACCTAAATAGTCTTGGAGGTATGCTGAGGTCTATGGATTTCATCTAGGTTATACTAGTCATTCAGAATAATCCGAGAAACTCGCTTAGGCGCGAGCGAATGATCCAAACCTTTTTAGAAACAGGAAATTTTCCAAGCAATCTTAACAATCTATAGAGCTCTGCATTGGGATGAGCTTTCATTGATACCTAATGTTACGTGCCAGGTCAATCAAGAAGAAAGAGTGCATTCCAACTAAAAAAGCAAAGATGGATAAGATGTAGAAGAGAGAGAGAGAGAGAGAGAGAGAGAGATCCTGGGGGTTCTTATAGTAAGAGGATCTCTGCAAGCAAACAATCTCCCCTTCCCAATCAGGCTTAGTAGCAATCTGGAGAACAAAGAAAGAAGACAAACAAAGGAAACAAAGAAACAAACTATCAAACGATCTAGTGTAGCATGTGATCTACATGCAGATCGTGATACCTAGGTCTATAGGAATCGATTTGTCGAGAGCAATGGAATACAAAGAGATTTGTAGATCGAAATCTGTTAGGTATCCCATTATAATGATTGTTGTTCATACCTAAGGGATTGCCTTCTAAGGTTATAGGGCTATCACCTATTAGCTATATTATAGTAGATTGAAATATATCAATAATAGCGCATTATGATTAATAGCCTGGGATTCTATAAACATTCAAATTAATCCATAGGCCAATTGAATGATTATACTGTCTGAATAAGTAATTTCCTATTCAGCTCCCAAGCTTCAATCTATTCTATATATAAGTAGAAATATATACATCTATCTTCGTAGGTAGTTCCTTGAGTTAGTTTCGTTCACCTTACTTTTTTTACCCCAAATTTACCAATCGACAGTGAGGATCTTGAACATTGGGAGCCCTGGATACTGAAAAGTTACTAACTCGGTATGTTAGTCCAAAATGTCAACTGCGCTTTCCACAACTGGTGGCGGGGGGGACAACGGCCACAAGGGCCAAGGCAATCACGGGAAGGGCGCTTCTAAAAAGGTATGCAAACCGGCAACGACTCATATAATATTGATGCTAATTCATGATAGAAACGCAACCGGGGTCGCTACGGTGTGTGCGGTGTGCGCGGCCACCGCACCCACGACCACTGGCGACATGCCCAAGGCAGCGCCAATGCCCGGCAAGGAGCCCCAGTCATCAACATCGCTGTAAGAAGCCCTTCTTTGACAAATTTAAACCCAGAAGACTCATAGTGACTGATGGAAATAGGGGTCGGTTTTCGGTGGGGTCGCGGGAGTGGGCTCCACGACCACCAATTTAGCCTGGGGCCGGGGCCGTGGCGGAGGCCAGAACCGAGGAGGGCGGGGCGGTGGGTGGGGAGGAGGAAGAGGAAGAGGACGAGGGGCCCTGTTGCCAAGGGCCAATGCAGACCACCCCGGCCCGCTGGAACGGCTGGAGGCTGCATTGGCCCAGCAGCAGGAGACCATTGCTCGCCTCCAGCAGGAGAATGCCGAGCTGTCGCGCCTGCGACTCCAAGAGGGGGGCGCAGAGCAGGTCAATGAGGAGCCGACTGCTGCTCTCTCTATCGCAGACGGCCTTGATGCCGAATTGGACATCAACATGTATCTCGACTCCGAGGGAGAGGAGATGACGAAGAGTCCCTCTCAGTAGATGTATCGGGATGTTCAGATGAATCATCCTTTATTAGTGCATATCTCCAGGTTCTGTAGCTTCTTCTTCTTTTACAATCATCAGAATCTATTCAGTATTTTGATATCCTTTCGCATATCGTAGATCCTGACACGGGAATTGAAACTTCCATCTTCGGTGTAATTTCTGGTTTCTTTTTTTCCATTGATCTTCAATGTAAGTTCGATATAATGACCAGTCGGTTATTATACGCGGCCTTCTTGGTAAATGCGCACCGTGGGGCGAGGCATTAGTACGAAGTATCGATTGTGGATCTGGGACAAGTCCAGTTTATGATTAGGACACCATTAAGTTCACGTAGACTGCGTTATCGAGCTCCTGGAAACTGGCGCCTGGCAACCGCACGCCTCTCCCTCACTAGATAGATCAGACGAAAGCTTCGGGAGATCAATTGCCTGGTCGGAATAGTTATTGGAGGATCTCACAAACAACGCCGTGGATTTGCCTTTAGATACGCTTTTACACCTCCTGAAACGATGTTCATTCTGTCAGCTTATGGGTGCATCGACGAATACGGTCTCTTTCGGGGATAAGTGAGCTTCAGTGCTGTTTGTTTTCGAGTTGAAGTGCGTAGACTTGGGCAGGGGGTCGCAGGAAACGAGTGGATTTGTGGCCTTAATATCGGTTGGGTGAACGAATTGGTTGTCCCTGTATTCGGTGCTGAGTATACTTATGCAGTGTGGAGAGTAATTGTCTTCAGCAAACAAGTTGACTCACTGGTTGGTTCGTCGGAGAGATTGAAAGCCTGGAATCTGAAAATGCGAGGACTGAGGCACGAGGAGAGCCCTCCTGCCTTCCTAATTTTCTCGCTTCCATCTCATCTTTCCCACACTTTCATCTCACTCTTCGCACTTCCGAAATTACCATCAACAGCATTCGCCTACATCATGGGTAAGCAGATCCGCGTGCGTGAGACCGTTAACGAGGCTCTGCCTCCTCTACTGAAGACAGATTTCCATACGAATGCCAATGCCGTACAACGGCTTATTTACAACGGCGAATTGAATTATTGGCCAAATTTCTGTCAAGATATACGAGCAACAACGGATAACCAACATTGGAGCAGCAGGGTTATCGGATACACCCTGAATACCCGCGATCTTGATGATAATAAGGTCTTTGTCGGAGATGAGACAGTTGTACAGGGAAGGTTCCAACAGGCGATTGGTCAAACACTTGGAAAGGTGTTTGAAGCTCAAAGGCTTGATATCCAGTTTGCCGATTTCAAATGTCTTCCTAATCTAGGGAACAAAGTCCCTGATTGTGTTATGAAGACATCAAGAAATGAGTTGAAGCTTGTGGGTGAGTTAAAGGTGCCGTGGGTTATCCATCACCGTATCAAGGATCACCTAGAATTGAGGCCCTTTCGCCAAAAGTCTTATTTTCGAGTCTTAGTGGGCCAGGTTCTCAGATATATGAAAGAGTTGGGGTGTATGTATGGCTTTCTCTCGAATTATGAAGAAACTATCTTCCTCCGACAACGGAATAACGGTACGACATGGGTCGTGGATTGCTCCCCAGTGATTCTGGCGTCTAATGTCTACACCAAAGGATCTCCGACGGTGACCGTGAGAGAATGCTTTTTCTACATTGCGATCCTGGCGCGTCAACAAGGGAAGGTTGATAACCAACTACCTCGAAAAAGCTGGGTGGAATCAATAATATAGGGCACGAGGAAACTCCGCTTCATTTATGGAGCTGTGAGTAAGCTCCCCTCTCCTACTAATGTAGAGAGGTGTGGGTATCTCTGAAGACAAAACTCCTTATGCGAGTGGATCCCTCTCCTTTGTTGAATGCGTGATCAAATGTCTAGAGGCCTTGACTTAGCACTTTATTCAGTCTCCAATGAAACTTGTCAACCTACTCAAATTTCCTGGTTGCTTTCAATGTAATTGACTATCTGGAGTAGTTGTGAACTTAGGGAATCGTCAATCACCCTTGTAACTCCCTGAGTGTGCTCCAATTGTCTTTACGGGGGGGGGGGGGTGGTGAAGTCGGATGACGGCCATATTTTTGATGCAAGCTTCAAATGTAGTTATATGTATACAGTTTGAATGATCTACAAACTCTCTTCCAAACACAGATATTCTTGGCCGACTACAAAGGTTCAGAGCGGCCCTAGGATCAATGACTAATTGTCAGCGCATAGACTACTAGGCTTGAGCCCCACTTTGTATTTAACCCAGTTTTTGCCCATTCAATACAACTCACCGTTTTTGATCCCTGACTCTGACACTAATTTAGTGCCTGAAAATGCCTGAAGATGCCTGATCTTCTGCTGGCAGAAAATGAATATACCTGAGAACAAAGCAGCTTACTGGAGGAGTACGCGGGAACGTAAATTCGGGAGATCGTTAAGAACTAGATTGATCACGAAGCAGAATCTTAGAAGACACTAGACTATTACTCGCACCTTCAAAAGAGGGGAGTTACTCCAATAAGGAGCTCGTTATGAGAGATACTCACACCTCAACAAAAGAGGGGAGTTTACCTTCGAGGACCACTGAAGCGGCACCTGGGTGTTCTCCCTGTCACCAATAGAAACCTGTATCACCACTCCCATTCATAAAGGTTCTCACAAACGCCGGACGCGGGTGGCTTGATCAAGCGGTAATAAGCCAGAATGCAATCCTCCCACTTTTCGTTAGTTGGATACGAACTGCGAAACCCCGAGATCCATAGATCGGCGGATTCTTTGTCCCATATAATCTTTGTGATATTCTCCCCTCCTGGACCCCAGCCAAAGGACGACATTTCCCTGATTTTGCGTTAGTATGATCTTATGGACTTGACTCCGCACTTACTCATATGCAGCCCGGAACTTTCGGCGAACAAGATCACGTTTTGGTCGCTCGAATGACCAGAATATCTCCGGAGTGAGGACTTGTCCGCGGACCTTTTCCCAAACAAGATAGGTTATATATCCTCCAGGTATAGGTCCGTGTTCCCCTTGCACGGATTGGCCATATCCAAGTAGTGAAGGTACACTTTTGCATCCACCTTGTCTGAACTTCTTCCGAGCTTTAGCTTCCTGCTTTTCAAAATGAGGATTTGCCTGTTGGGCTCGAACTTCCGGTAGAAGGAATTCTGTTCCCTCATCAGGACCTTGACAGTAGACTCTCATAAAGGCTTGATTATATGGGAAATGGTGATTGTGACATAGATACTTAGCCTCCCAACCGGATGGTTGTTCGTCGGGATCAGAAGTAGGCTCACGCACTCCATCGATTCTATTCTCATAAAGCTTCTCATCGATCACCCATGTACTCGCGTTCAGCTGGAGAGCTGCGGAGCCAGGAAGGGCGATCTGAGTGCCTTTAAAAATCTGAGAGATATCAGTCATCTTGAATGTTGCGAGGATACAAAGGGAAGAGAGTTCTGAGAGAACAGAAGAGGAAAAGAAGGGAAAGTTTTGAAAGAAATGAAGGGAGATGGACTTTGTGGGCCAAATGATCATTTGGTGTCAAAGTCCGAGGTTGAATACATGGATTTACATGGTATTATACCTTTGAGATCATGTGACTTTGAGTACCAGGCATACCATATATTACGTTTAGTCATCATTACCGCTCAGATTGTTGGAATAGCGGGTTTTGTCATTTTAGTTAGAAAGAGTTCTTAATAACTATTGGTTTTTGTACCATACATTGCAATACGGTCAGATTTCTGTCATTTGGTGGTCATTGTCACGATCTGCATGTTGATCACATACCACACTAGATCGTTTGATAGTTAGTTTGTTTCTTTGTTTCCTTTGTTTGTCTTCAACCGCCTACGGGTTAGGCAGCGTGCAAGAGACACCCGTTTGCCTTAGGGTCATTCATGAGATCTACGCAGGCCTAGCCCCCAGTCACCTAATTCGCCTGATCAGCGCAACCATCGATCGACCTCATAATCGATTAGTACAGAGGATGAGATGGAGGGACCCGGAAGTAGGTCTACTGTTACAGCATCGGTGTCACGCGGACTCGAGACGACGTGGCTGCCTCTCATCTCCGGTATAGTGCGCTAGTCTCGTCTCGTCTCTGGCCTATGATCGAGGAACGACTGGCAAGCAGGACCCAGTCGGCTCGGTGGAAGAACAGTGCGCTCTGGCCTAGCGCAGACATGCATCGCCTTGCCAATAGCAACAGCCTGACATATCATGATTGATTACTCCAGTCCGAACACTATGAGGCAATTTTGCCTTTAGTCCGCTTCGTCGACCTACGACCTGCATCCTCACACGCCAATTCGCCGTTCGATTGTCACCGCAGTGGGTCCCCAAAGCTGCCTTAAGGATGCAACGGCCGAATGTTAGAACAAAGCTTATAACCAAAAGACAATGATTACCGATGCGCTCGGACCTTCCTTAGAAGAAATATTCAACCGATCCAATCGATACTTTGACATGCCGTTAGTGCTAGAAGTTGCAAGTCAACTTATATTTCGACTTAAATGGATGCATTCCCATCACATTGCACATGGTCAGCTTAGTCCATTTTCATTTGCTATGGGGGCCTCCACATGGCAGGCACCATAAGTGATTCTTGCAGACTTTATAAATGTCAATAGTTCTCAATTTTTAACAAAGAAGGACCTCTAAGCAGTGGCGGACATACTGGTCTATATCGCTATAGGGCCACTGTCATGGGATCTATTCTAGGCGCGAAAGCCGGGTTTGGCAGAAATTCCGTCGCCTTTGAAGGGATTTATATCAATAATCTCCGATAGGGAGATGAATCCAGCCGACTATATTATACTTCGGAGGTACGTCCATACAGCACGTCAGAGTTTACTAGGGCGAACTATTCTTAGTGGGCTGGGCTCCCCATAGGGAGAAAATTTATCTTTAAAGTCTCTTATAACCAAGAGTACTGGGGACCTGTTCGAGAATCTCGGTTCTAAATTATCTACTGTTAGGGATAGCGCTGGTGATCTAAAAGCACCGTGGGGCCGAGAGTAAGCGAAATTCCTTCTGGGATCTCTGAATGAGATAATGAAGATTTATTTTGTTCTTTTAATGCGGGAAAAGCCGTCTTAAAAACGCAGACGCTATCATATGGGCGTATATCATCTTCCTAATAGGCTGTGGAGAGACCTTCGTTAGTATTTATGCATGGCAAAATGTGGCTCCCTCCCTTTATAAAGACTTATCGTCCTCATAATCTATAAATATGTGGGAGTCTTACTAGAGGTGATTCCAGTATATAACAGGTACTAGACCAAAATTTTATCTGATGCCGCCTACGAGTAAATGAAACTTGATAAGGACTCTTAGCGGATGTGGAGAGACGCTTAGATGTACTGGAAAAATTATGCTAACCTACTGATGAAGAAAGATTGTAATTCGTGTTCTATTTAATGTTCTAAATTAAAGATCCGAACTTATTATATTATCACTGCCTTATTCATAATTTTTCATTTTTCGATTTTCCACTTCGATGAGGAGATATTGCTAGTCTTGCCCAAGAACACCGGTGGATATTCATGCTAATTTAAATAAGCCTATCATGCATGCTGCAGGGTTTTATAATGAGAATCGAATAAGTAGTATCTGATATTAAACGTGGGTAAAATAACACCCCTTTTATCGAAGGCTTGGTAGCTATAACTTACGGATGACACAGAGTATTGGATCATCCGGCTCCCATCTTTTACGACTAGCCCATAATATCTCAAATCTGACTGATTTCTTCTAGTTTGAGGAAATAGGCAGACATATGAGAGTTCTGTTTGATAAAAATATAAGACTCTAGTTTACGGGGATCATTTCTGATTTTATAAAAATAGAAACGCGCTGTAAGTCTTAATAAAAGATGGCAAGTACGGTATTGTTCGTTAAGGAAAAACCGTTACTCGAGGTCGAAAGCGTGGTTTCCGAAAAAAGCGTGCCCCAGCATCATTTATTTAAGACGAAGCCCAGTCCTTCCTACTTCTCCTTCTATTCAGAGTCAGAAAGCAGCACTAAAAGAAAAACAGAGAGAAATATATCAAAGAAGCCAAGTAAAGAGGCGAGGGCCAGGGGACCTCCCGCCTAGGTGGAGCCCGAACCTACTGCACCTTCTGCGAAAGCATAACCCTCTCCTGCTTCAGAGTCAATGTACCCTGCTCTTCCTTGTGTCTCGGAAGAGTCTTCCTCGGGGCCATCTACTCAGGATGTTAATAATAAGGATGCTGACGGGGATACAGACATGGGATATAAAGACTTCAGAAATAAGGACTCCGTGAAGCTGGTCCAGGCGATCCTCAGTGCTTAAAAAGACCCATCCGAAATTAGGCGTGCGTGGGAAAATGCGATGCCTTAGAATACGAGCATCAAATACAAGGAACTGAAATTCATTCGTCATCCTGATAAGTATCCAGATCCAGAGATAAAGAAAAAGGCAGGTGCGGCTTTTAGATATAAGTGACTAAATTATTCCACGGCGCTTTTTAACAGAGTACCAGTGGTATAGTGGGCCGAAATAGGGTCTGCGCGACTCTTCCCAGGAGAAATCAATAAGAACGACTAATTCTATCAGGGAGCAGCTGCAGCTAAGCTACACTTTGAAGGAGAGCTCTCTCCTTATCATAAGAAGCTCCATGCCGATGTAACTAGTACCGTAAGAGTCCTTTATTCCGGAGTATAAGAGGACCCAAGACTTAATATCAAGAGCGTAGAGAACATCAAAGCTTCTGTGAAAACTCTCGACGATGCGAATGCATACATGAGAAAGAAGAACATCGAGGGAGGAAAAGATACAGACCTTAGGATTATTCGTTATGACAGCTTACTAGGGCAATGGAGCGTAGCCGCTCTTTAACCAGAACTAAAGCATGTCATGATACAAGCCGTCGAACAGTTCTGCCAGACGTAAAGATACCCTAGTGAATGGGCAAATTTATCTCGTACAGCTACTAGCTCGGCGGAAGGTTCTCAGAGAGGACCAGCACCGCCAGCATCCCAGTCAGGATCGGCAGCACAAGCATCTCAGCCAGGATTAGTACTACCAAGATCTCAGCCGGGGCTGGTGCCCACAATCAACTAAGTAAATGGGGCTTTAGCTACACCATACATCTGCAGGAGGTCTAACACGTACAATTATATCAATACTACGAAAGGTCAGCCGTTTGATCAATCCTGGATATACCTACACCGGGGAAAGAATTCAAATGGTGCAGTCTCTTAGAATGGTTGGCGCACAGTTTATGACCGAGGATATAAGCGGCAGAGTACGTCTTATGTTAAGTACATCAGCTAGAGGCCAAATGGCTGTTAAAGGGGCAAAATCTGTCGGTGTTCCTTACACCATGAGGCGAAGAAGAAGTGAGGGACCTCCGTGACCACATTCAGAGTAGTAAAAGATGTGAGTATGGCCTAAAGTGGGTCGCAGTTAGGGAAATAAGCCCTACACGCGATAAATGTCTATATATCCTCGTTAGATTCTATTATCAAGGGGATGACGGGACCTTTAAGGGTCCAGTTGGCCTCTTAAGATCATCACTAAAGAAGGTTCTCTCGGTAAAGGAAGGGGACAGAATGATTACGGAGGCTATGGGCTTTAATCCTGATGTCTGCTTAGAAGATTCTATATAGGGACTATCTGGCCTGACGTTAAAGCCCAAGAGATACCAGTCACAGCGTGGGATATTGGGCTTACCTAGTGCGGGAGATGCCAACTACTTCCCTCGCATGCCACAATAAATTAACGCAGGTTCCAGCATGTCCCAGATGCCATAATTTCAGCAATTCGGACATAGTAATTCGCAAAATGGTCTGCCGATGAACATACAGCAACCGCTTAATATGCAGCAATTTATGTAGCAGCTGAACATGCAGCAGTCAAACATGCAGCAACCGAATATGCAGCAGTACCCGTTCTAGCAGCAGCAATTCCAGCAGCAGCCAATGCAGTATACGAATATGCACTATTTGAATATGCAGCAGCCAGGCAATAATGATAATTCGGAGGAATTATGATGGATTTAAGAAATATTATTTGCTTATCATGTCTGCGCTTTAGAATGACAGAGACTTGGATATATAACACTTGATTTAGCTCAACCAGAATGAACGATGCAATTGCAGGCGTGCCTAGCCAAAAAATGTTGAGATGGATGCAGGATCCATCGTATGGTGCCTTACATTCAAGGTATCATTCTGATGTATCAATTCAGATGCCTCACATCTCTTTAGGTCAACATTGACACCACCCAGTTCAGTACTAGTGCGACCGTATATATAGCAGATCTTCCAGAGAATCGGGATAATGATCAATTCAACGACAGAGCAAATTAAGTACAAAACAAAGTCATAAGCATAAAGCAGATCACGGGAAGCTTTAATCTCGTCCAGTTATTGCTGTAGTGATGCTGAGGTTGAGTTGGAGCCGATGGTACCTCGTCATGTCTCATATATATCATGAAGTCTATCCCTACCCCCAAGCGTTTCTATCTAGACCCCAACGCATTATCTTCACTTTTGAGTGGGCCCAAGTTTCCATAAGCGTGAAACAATGTGCCCAATCACCAGAAACTTCCGTTCAGCGGAGAGACATACTCCGCCAACAACCCACCCGAGATGGCGACACCAGTCATCCAGAACCCCTGCGAAAACCATGACCAGCAGCTCGCCGGGTCCTTGAGATCAACGAAGAAAACCATCGCCCCGACGGAGAGGAAACATCCGCCCATCGCAATGGAAAAGAAGGCCAGGCTCATGTTGGCGTAATACCCACAGGCGAAGAGGCATGCACTCATACCCAGGTACAAGACAATCAGAAACGGACGCGCATAGTTCTGGAGGAGAACCGCGGTGCTTTTCACGCCGACCTTCAGATCGTCCTTCAGATCCTGATGGGCATAGACCGTGTCAAAGATGATCACCCACAGAATGGAGGCCATCAACAGGGACAGGGTCGATTTGTCCGTCCACGGTTCGGACACCCCCATAGCCGAGCTTCCAATCATGATCCCCCATGTCAGACAGAATCCCAACACCACCTGTGGGAAATGGGTATGTCGCTTGGCATAGGGGTAGTACGTGGTCCCGATGATGGTGGGCACGGTAGCCAGAGTGATACCGCTGGGAAGGAGCAAGAGGAAGGATGCAGCGGCGACGGCTTGGATGCAGGTGAAAATGAATGCGGCACGGGGCGTAATGGCTCCACGAGGGATGGGGCGTGTGCATGTGCGTGAGACCAGTTTGTCCACGGGAGCATCTACGAGGTCGTTCCAGGCGTGGCTGGCGTTGTTGCAGAAAAAGCTCCCACCCAGCAGGATGAGGGAGACACGCAAAACATCTTCGACAGAAGATTGCCGTACGCTGGCAGCGTGGACTACACCAAAGAAATGCGGAAAGAAGATGATGAAGAGGGCGGCCGGGGGACTCAGACGACAGAGCTGGATGTACGGGACAAAGGAAGAAGGAAGGTAGTCCACCCATCGTCCGGCATGAACACCACCGTATTGTGTGGAAAGGGAGGACTTAGGCTTGCCGTTGGCTGTGCCATTGGGCTTCTGTGCTACTTCCATGGTGAGGTCGATAGAAAAGATGGCACTCCACTAGAAGAGAGGTGAAGGGAAAGCTCTACTGAGCCGCGGACAGACAGCGTGATTGAGAGCAGGATGAGAGAGATGGGACACGGTAGATTTCTCGATGGCATTGTGCTGGCAAATTTGTACCCAGAGGCAATCTTTGTTGCCACTGCTGACGTGGATCTATACTAGGCAAATCTATACACGGGGCTCGGATGGGGACGGTATCTGACCGACGAACAGTATCCTCCATCGTGGCCTTTTAGTAACAGGATTCGTCCTCTAGACCCAAAGCTGAGGATGGATGAGGTGCCATCGAAATATACAGATCTATGAGAAGTCGTTTCATACGTGAAATTCCGATACCGAACAGTCTTGGTACGAGAGTGTATGGATCTGCAAGTCAGATTTTAGTCAATGCCCTAAGATAACAGGGATGTATTGTAGGTTCTGGTCCGGATGCACTCAGGTAGCTGAACGTTCTAACTTATCGCCTACTCTGCATTGCCAACACCCAAGATAAGCGAGATCTCACTCTCTGCGACTAGAAAGGTCTGCAGGAAGTGAGATTATAACGGGTGGAGAGGGTTACATCGGCAATATACAACGGATGAAAAGGAATCTGTCGGTTTCTCACCGGAGAAAAAGGCACTCCTCAAGCGAGTTTAAAAGGAAATACCCACATTACATCCTGCAAAGCGCCTCATTGTTTGTTCTTGGAGGTGACCGAGGTCGTTGCAAACATGATAATGCCAGAGTCTGTCTCGACCAGCAATCCCACAGTTATCACAGTGGTCATTGTAGCATGCATTGGTACGGTAGTCTACTGGGTGTTCCAAAGGGCATATCCACGGCCATTCCCCGGCATCCCGTATAACTATCATGCGACCAAAACCATAATGGGCGACCTGGCCGAGTTGGGGGAGAGGCAAAAAGACATACAGGGAATGCGCCCGTGGTTCCTCGAGCAGGCCCGCCGTCACAACTCAGCCATCACCCAGATCTTCCTCGGGCCGTTCGCGAAGCCAGCGATTCTGCTCTCAGATTATCGCGAGGTGAATGACATCCTGAGCCATCGTGATGCGGTTGATTTCAAACGAGGGAAAAAGGTCGACGTGTTCAGTGGTATCCTTCCACATGCGCACCCGGCCATGGAAACCTTCGATCCACGTTTCAGAGAGAGTCGTGATCTCGTCCGAGACTTGATGGCGCCGTCGTTTCTTTATACCGTAAGACTATTTCTTCCTAGGCCTCTTCAGAAAGCCCGGACTAACGGATGACAGGTGAATGCACCTCACACCTATGTGGTGGCCTGCAATCTGCTGGAGTTGTGGCGACTCAAAGCCCAATTAGCCAACGGACGCCCGTTTGACGTCGTCAATGACATCGTCGAATTCTCCTTCGATTCTATCCTGAGCGCAGCGACAGGATTAGGCCCAGAAGGAGGAGATATCAAGCGGCAACTATCATACCTGCACCGTCTGGAAGAAACCGGCACTTGCACCTTCCAACCCGACAGTATCAATGGTGAAGTGACGGTATTCCCATCGGCGGGTACATCCGCCAAGCTGGCTGCCCTCATAGTGAATGAAGAATCCCTCTGGAAGGGCTTCTACATGCCCTGGCCTCGTCTCTACCACGCCATCAACAACCTGCGGCCCTCGGTCCGACATGCAGGCCAGACTCTGAGAGGATACATTGAATCTCAAATTACCAGAGCCCTTCCACGGTTGACCAAGGGCGGCAGGCCGGAATGTGCTCTTGACCATGTCATTGGACGCGAGATCAAGGCCGCACAAAAAGCCGGCCGTGAGCCAATGTTGGATGATCCGCGGATCCGAGATGAGATCTGTGGGTATCTGATTGCCGGCCATGATACATCGACCGGGTCCTTTATCTGGCTGATGCGTAGGCTTCTGTCTCATCCGGAGGAACAGACCAAGATTCGTGAGAACCTGCGAGAGACATATCCTGCCGCGTGGGCCGAACGACGTCTGCCGACCGCGGCGGAGTTGATTAAACACGCCCCCTACCTAGACGCCTTCTTGGAGGAGGTGCTGCGATTGAACTGCCCAGTCGTGACGATCATGGTTCAAACGAGAATGGATACCGTTGTGTTGGGTCACGCTGTCCCCCGTGATACCCAGGTGTTTTTGAACCTGACAGGCCCATCGCTCAATATGCCGTCCGTGTCAGTCGAAGAGACCAATCGCAGCAAGACATCGCAGACGCACAAGCCGGCTCGCCACAATTGGGATGACCTCGATCCCGAGGCTTTCCTTCCTGAACGCTGGCTTCGAAAGGACGCGGAGGGAAGATGGGTCTTCGATGCGAGCAGTGGTCCAACCCTCGCATTCAGTGCAGGCAACCGAGGATGCTGGGGAAAGCGTTTGGGACAGTTGGAATTACGAATTGTTTTCACGATTCTGATATGGTCGGCAAAGTTTGATGTCCCCGAGAAACATGTTTCATGGGAAACGTACGATTCATTGGTCACGGCGCCGAAGAAATGCCTGATGTCTTTGACGGAAGTTCAGTAGATACATTCTTTGTAAATATAGGTAGTGCGGATCTCTATTCTAGACAGACTCCTCCATGAACCACCCAGAGTATTGAAAGATAAGAGCCTATTTCCTCCCGTAGACCTCCATTAGTCCATCAATCGAGAGATGTTAACACCATCCCATAGCTGACACAGCCAATTCTCCAAACGTTCACTCCCAGCCACGCCAGTATTAAATGCCCTGAGAGACTTCACGTCCTGGGACTTCCAATATTGAGCTGTGTATTTCAGCGTAGGAGGTCACTCGCTCGCCGACCTTCTCGTTGGGATAGAGGACTGGGACCGATTCCTTCGGATATGACACCCGAGCTCCATGGATAGTAGAATCTGGAATAGATTCTGCTGCCGTAGAGGATTTCGTCGACCACACTGAGGGCAGAGCATGTGACAGAAGAGTGAATATTGCATCCATATTGTGATCTTTGGGAGTTGAATGAGCTGGAGGAAATTGCGAAGACAACCCGAGAGAATGCTGTTTATACTAGGCTATATACACGGCTGCATTTAATGTTACCCTATAGACCTTTTGACTGCTTAGAGCCTACGAAGTATATACGAAACACTCACCATTCTCGGACACTTCACAACACTGCCCCAACACATGACATGATTGCACCGCTATCTCTGCTGAAGCAAAGTATAAACCACATCAACCCCTATAGGTACACGAGCAGTCTCTCTTGAAATACCGTATCGTGGTACGAACAACGAATTACCAGCTGTAGCCTGGCTTCACCTTGGAACCTTGAGACATCCAGGATTGTAACGTGGGGCCGGAAGGATTTGTGAATCAACTCCCGGCTCATGTAAGGCCCCCGCGATAGCCTATGCGATTGGACACGTAGGTCCCTGAATAATGTCAGACTCGGTTCGGGAGGGATCTTTCTCGATAACCTAGCCTGCCTAATAAGGTAAGAGGGCGGAGCTAGTATTAAACCGACACGGCGAAGAATTCGGTAGACCATTTAGCCGGTATCGTCGACGGTCTGGATCCTATAAAAGTTTCATTAATGGATTTTACGAGGCACAGAACAAAGCGAAGGCTGGATCAGTCGGCATCTCCACTGCCGCATGGACAATGCTGTTACGTATAGAGTAGACAGAAGGGAAAAGCGATTGGTTGATCTTTTTTCAGTAAAAATGCTCCTAATTGTATACATCTTACTAATAATGTCGGTCTAATTACTGCTATACGATAGCGTAGACTGAGACGGACCGGACCTCCTCCTACACCTTCGAGAGCAGGAACCCATTGTTCTGCAACTTTTGGAGCATCTGCGTGGGGTCGTATTTCTTAGCAGTTGACTTCAGCTTCTTCAAATTCGTCGCCCCATAGGATGCCAGGGGGTTCTGGTCGCGGGAGGCGTCGTTCATGTACGTAAAGGACACATCCAGCCCACGCTCCTTGGCTAGTTTCTGCCAGTACTTTGTCGTCTCGATGGAAACGGATCGGGCGGCCTCGTCAATAGCCTTATTCTCCCAGTTCACAATGGTGGTCCACCCTGTAGCCGACATTAATATGTCTCCGTATCAGGAGAAAGGGCAGCGAGTCTTACATTGCTGGGGACCGGATCGGATATTCAGGGCATTTCCACCATTCTCAATCCCTTTCTGGATGAGGTTCTCTCCCACGTATTGCAGAGCAAAGGTCTGGTTGACCCCGGTGGTCTGGTGAGCTGTCTGGGCCTTCTCCAGCCAGTAGTCGTAGACATCCCGGGTCAATTTGGCGTCGATGCGGGTACTGCAGCCGCGATAGTCGTGTCTAGAGATGAATTAGTCCTGTCTAAAGAAGAAGTATGATTTAAATAATCACTTACCGACCGCTCGCGACAGGAAAGGAGGATCCCAGGAGTTGATCAATGACGACAAACGTGGTGTTCATTGCTGGGACGGGAGTCGCCAGCGGTTCCAGATCATAGAATGGCGCAAATGCGGTGGGATTGTTGGCTGGCTCGGAGTAAACAAGTCCAATGACTATAGACGTCAAGGAGATATCAATGGCCACGGTCGATTTGACATCCGAGGCTCCGTTGAGCTGCCACTCCGTAAAGGCATCTAGAACGGCGCCGGCTTGATCAGGGGCGTAAATCATCATTTGCGCCCAGATCTCGTAGGCCGGCACGGTGTTAAGATCATAACGAGAGACGATGCCATAGTTGGGGCCACCGCCCTTGAGGGCCCAGAATAGATCATTATTCTGCTTTGCATTGGCGTTGACAATGGTTCCGTTTGCCAGAACAACCTCGAAATTCTTCACGTTGTCTGCTGCCAGGCCAAAGCGATTAGACATGTGATGGTATCCTCCTGTAATTCCTCGTTAGACACTTCTTTCTGTCTATAATTAAAGACATCTTCATAACTTACCTCCGAGAATCAGACCACCGACACCCACCGAGGGCAATCTCCCCCCGATCACCACGGCCTTCTCAGCGTCTAATGCCGCCGTAACTTCGCCCCAGCGAAGACCAGGACCGACACTCGCTATCTGGCCATCGGTCGACAGGCTGACAGAGTTCAATCTAGACAAATCGAGCAGGATACCTTGGCCACCGACGCTGGACCAGCCGGGGTTCGGCGAGTGTCCGCCACTGCGCACTGCAAATTTCACCTGGAAGAAATTGATGACTTTGACCGATGTGGAAATATCCTGGGCTTCCTCGGGCTGAATGATGCAGTGGGGCTCTGCGACGCATGATTCGGACCTACATGGTGTGGTCAGCAAGAAGCCCGAACATACACAGGTCAAAGTGATAACATCCTACCAATTCGCATCCACAGTAGTCTGGTTGAGGGGCAATGTATCGACATTCTCGGTGCCAAGAACGCCCTGGGCAGTCAAACAGGCAATGTTCAAAATAGCAACGGGGTCCCCAGCCTTTGCATACTGCGCCGCCAGGGTACGGGTATTGGCAGTGGACAGCCCGAGGCGCTGCGCAAAGGAGGAGAATTTAGTCACATCGCTCGTGGAGGCTGCTAGAGCCCCTGCTGCAGACGCCCCAATCAGGACACTCAGCAGCTTCATGGTCTCTGTAAGTAATCGATTGTGGTTGATCCCCTCTCGGAATGCCTGCGAGATGACGGCCACGCCGCTATATACTTGTCGCGATACAATCTTACGGTCTGGATTGGACGATAACTCTGTCCAGGTCCCGAATCACACATCCGACAAGGCTGTTACATGATTCGGGGCTGAATTACCCGACGCTAGCCTTCGCCCTAAGAGCAATCTAAAATCTGACATGCATGGAAACTTCCTATTGTCGATTTGGGTAAATCGACCTCCTTTATTCCCCTCCTTAGGGACTCTCCTTTGATATCCCACCTCATCAGTTGAAGAAATGGGGACCAAATTCGACGTGACTCCAGAAAAGCAGGCCAGCGTGCCTCGCTTCTTCTACAATCAGCTCACCGTCAAGCCCGTCATGGTCCAGGGCGTCAGCCTTGCGGGCAAGACTGCCTTGGTTACCGGATCCAACACGGGAGTGGGCCTGGAAACCAGCCGGCAGCTCCTCGACCTGGGACTGAGTAAGCTCATTCTTGCAGTCCGCAGTGAAGAGAGAGGTCAGACGGCGAAGAAGAAGTTATCTGCTGGCCGGAATCTGTCCGACGATAGTATCGAGGTCTGGAAACTTGATCAGTCCGACTATGACTCTGTCGTCGCCTTTGCGGAGCGCACCAAGAGCCTCCCCGGCTAGATATCGTCGTGCTGAACATCGGTCTCGGCAATGCGACACGAGTCTTTAACCCTAAAACGGACCATGATGAGATGATCCAGGTTAATTATCTCTCGACAGCCCTACTGGCAATTCTACTGCTCCCGGTGGTTAAAGAAAAACGCGCCGCGCAAGGGGGTCCGAGTCGAATTACGATCGTCTCATCGGAGGTCTCTGCGTGGACAGCCTTTAAGGAGAAGAACAGCTTTCCGCTGCTGGCATCGCTCGACCGGAAAATCGCTAAGGTAGACCCCCTGGATCGGATGATGGTTTCTAAGCTGCTGGGACAGTTCTTCCTGTCATATTTGGCCTCTATTATCCCTCCTTCTGTGGTGGTCATTAATGCCGCGTCGCCGGGCTCTGTCTACGATTCCGAGTTTAACCGTGAGCATGATAAGACTTTTTCCGGAGCGATCGCGAAAGTCGTGATGCGCCGGCTGGCTAACACCGCTGCTGTTGGAGCCCGAATGATCACCGATGCAGCCGTTAAACATGGCCAGGAGACGCATGGCGAGTTCCTCTCCTTTCAGAAAATTGTGCCGTGAGTTACTTCTATATGTATCATGACTAAATCTGTCGCTAAATCTGTTTATAGGTTGGCACCGATCATTTACACTGCAGAGGGAAAGAAGATCTCGGAACAGCTCTGGAAGGAGACTAAGGAAGAACTAGCCTTTGCAAATGTGGAGGAGATTCTTAAGACTATTTCGGAGTAGATAGCCATGATTAAAGCAGCGGATAATTCACGTTGTGATTGAAGACATGTAGGTAATTTGAGGAGGACTAGTTATCTCATGAGCCGGACAGTTAGATGAATCAATTGCTATATCAATCCATCTTTTTCGACCGATCGGCAAATCGCCGTTGAAAGAATGAAGATTCCATCTTTTGGCAAGCCAAATCCCAATCTGAGGTCCATTTACGATAGAAAGGCTGATAGCCCAGTAAACCGCCCACCCATCGTCCCACGACGAGGCCCATAGTGCGTGAGACGGTCTGCCCGAAAGGAACCCACCACGGGAGGGAGATGTACGATCCACCGGCATCAAATGTCTGTATCCATGGGTCAGACAGGAAACTGAAGCATTCAAGGGATAGGAATGGAAGGAGGACATACGCTAAACAGCTGAATCAGGTCAATCTTAGCCCCATTGACAACCACATCATCCTGATACCGGTACCAGTTCTCAAAGAAAACCGGGCTCAGTTCAAACACACTGTCGGTCTTCTCACCCGATAACAGGAACTTGACCACCGTATTGCCATCTTCTTGCCGATCCAGCGAAAGAGGGTACGATCGATGGTCTTTGTAAGGCTTGATGCTGTAAGGCCCATCACCTGGCGTTAGCACCACTTCCCGGCCGTCAATCTCCAGCGCCAGACGGCCTTGAATGGATTCGATATATTCTTCTTGAACGTGGAAGTGCACGGGCGGTTTGTGACAGAAGAACTCGGCCCCCTTCACCAAGTCGAGGGTGACTTCGAGGGCAAAGGAGCGTTCAGGATGGTGAATGAGGCGTCCGTTCACGGCATTTTTTAGACTATGAAAGGTACAATAATCTTAGTTGAGTCATGAATGGGATAGTAACGATACTCACACCTTGACCTGGGTGTCGGAGTCCGAATACACCATTTTATCTGCGTCGGAGGGTGCCATGGTTGCAATGTCTTGTTCCTATGTTCTCCTAGCCTGGGAATGGCGTCTCCAAGATCAATAGAACGGCTGCAGATGAGGTTTAAGTCCAGTCACTCAACGGGCTACGCTTATCCATTAGTTTGGCTTCCTCCATGAGCCCATATCGGATGTCACCTCCCCCATCACTACCGAGAGACAGCTCGCTTGCAACCCACTCGCCCCTATCTCTACTGTATTTGGTATGAGACTGTAGCCTGGCTCCACCTTGTACCTTGAGACATCTAGGATTGTAATGTGGGGGCGGGAAGATTCATGAATCCTCGTGGCGTTATTGTCGATCTTACTCAAATACGACTAGATTGACTCCACTGGCTAATGCAAGATGTGCTCTTTTACTAAACGAGGCAACCTAAGGCTAATATCACCATCGACCGTAAAATCCATTAACGAGGCTATTTCTAGGATCTAGACCGTCGACGATACCGGCTAAATCATCTACCCGGTCCTTCGCACGGTGGCCCATGTAGGGCCCACACGATAGCCTGTGCGATTGGGCACGTAATCGTGCCAAGCGCCCAATACACCGTGTGGTGTATCGGGCGCCATAGGTTTGGTGTTGGGCGCTTGGCACGATTAGATCCCTAGATAATGTCAGATTCGGTTCGGGAGGGCCATAGCGGAAATCCGAATGGAGACGCCCGAGCAGATTCGTTCTACGGAATATGGAGTTACATGGATCAAATGCATGCGCTTGGGCCTGGATTCCTTTGCAATTTGTTTCTTTCCCCATCTTCCCTTTCCAATTTAGATGCGGAGTGAATGGCGATTTTCCCGTTTCTTACGGCATCTTTCTCGACAACCTAGCCATAGACCCCTGTCGAGATGTAAGCCGTAGTGTTGAACCACGGCAATGCATGGGTATCGCATTGCCGATGCATCTATTCCGGGATTGTTCCATGATAAAAGCAAATAATTATGGTGCACTGCGTAGGTACAATGCGGATATGGTCTTCATGATGAATCTGAATTGAATCGTTGGGCTTCTTTCGGCGTTGTTTCCTCTTTCTTGGTCATAAGTAATTTATCCATTATGGACACCCTACATATACTTGCTGCGCACGTAGCAGAGCGGCCAACCATCCTTGTTGCTGTCGCCTTAGTCGTGCTGTTATCAGGGCTTCTGCGGCTATCCTCGCGCGGAAAGCAGCCGCCATATCTCAAAGAGAGGATTCCATATGTCACCAACACCATTCAGTATCTGACAGACGTGGGGACATTCTTGAATCGAGTAACGTAGGTTCCATACATTCATTTTGTCCTTCTTTCCCCCCAAGTCAGTAGCATGGCCTGACAAAATTCAGAACAACGTTGGAGAAAACCAATAGCAACATAGTCAAATTCCATGTCGGACCGATACCAGCATACATAGTCACCGGCACAAAGAACGTGCAAACGGTGTTTAGTTCCCCGCACATCCTGGACGGCAATTTCCTCCAGCTCATGTTGATGGAACGTCACTGGGGAATGTCTAAAGAAGAAATCGCTAAGTTCGCAAATGATAAATCCGGTCGACTTAAGACCCCAGCCCCAGGAACAGAGAACACCCCAGCGGAGAAGCGATTCTGGCGCGGTCACGATCATCTATATGCTGAGTATCTCAGTAACCGCACGTATGCGGATGCTCTGGCCGACTCATTCTACTGTCTGTTCTCGGAGCGTCTGGATCAGCAATCGACGGCGGAATGGGAAACCATCAATCTGTTCGAGATGCTGAAGACCTCTATGGCCGAAAGTGCCATTATCTCGCTGTTTGGTTCACGGATCATCGATCTAAATCCCGGCTTCGTTGACTGTTATTGGGAGTTCGATGAGATTGCCGGGACTCTCGTCTGGGGACTTCCTAAGTTCCTGCAGCGACGATCGGTAGCGATAAAAGATCGTCTACACGCTATGACGAGGAAGCACATCGATTCCGCGTGGGAACACTTTGACTGGAATGGTCCCGATGCAGAGTCCAAGTGGGAACCGCAATTTGGATCTCGTTTGTCTCGGGAGACTGCAAAGTGGCTGTTTGAAGGGGGTTTCTCGAACCAGGCGGCCGCCGGACACACATTGGCCTCGTTATTTGGGTGAGAGCTCATCGTGATATCGGAGAGTTGAATTGCGAAATGCGCTAACACCGATCAGCCTCAACGGCAACACAGTCCCTGTCACTGCATGGGCGATGATCGAGCTGATCAAAGACCGGACTCTCCTCGAAGCTGTGCGCACAGAAGCCGTGGGAGCCTATATAACAGATCCCACCACCGGAGCTAGACGGATAGACGCACAAAAGCTCATTAATCTCCCTCTGCTGCAGTCTCTCTACATTGAGATCATGCGCCTGCATGTCTCTTTCAACGTGACACGCAAGGTTATGCAGCCCGTCCAGGTAGACGGCTATATGATTGAGAAAGGGGCCCTACTGCAGACCTGCTCGCAGATCGCACACTACGAGGACGCTGTCTGGGCCACGCCAGAGCACCCTGCCTCGGATTTCTGGGCCTGGAGACATGTTCAATATGTAGATTTGCGAGATGACTTAACCGGGGAGACGATTCACCGGCCTCAATTTGCCATGAAGGGTAGACCAAGCTCATTCTTTCCATACGGTACGTTTTTCTACTTCTATCCCACGATACCAGAACTATCGCTAACGGGTTTGTGCCAGGCGGCGGATATGTGATGTGCCCAGGGCGGCATTTTGCCAAGCAGGAAATTATGCTGGCCATTGCAGTGCTGGTGACTAAATTTGACATTGAGTTTGTTGAATGGGTGCACTCTACTGGGAAGCCGTCGGAGAGGCCGGCTCAAGATGATTCCAAATTTGCTGGCTTCATCGCCATGTCTCCGGACCGGGAGATGAGAATTCGGTGGAAAAGACGGTGGTAGTATAAAGATAGGGAATTGCGGCATACTGGTCCAAGTAGCGTGGTCGAGCCCGTTATGTAGAAGCTAAATCATGTCCCACATACTCGTACTACAAATTGAATGCTGTGGCCGGCTGGGTATACGTCGCGTACATCTAAACCGAACAAATAAAACTTCAATCTGCAAGTACGTCGATTCCATGGCGCAGTAAGGATTTCTCCAGCCGAGTAAGCGGTAATATAAGCGATTCCAGGGTGTTCTAGCTCGGTGTCCAAGAGAGCCCGACTCCATTTTTCGTGTATAAATACAACATGCCCACCTCGCAGTAGTATCTCCACTACACAAACTTTCTCCATTTCCATTTACTTTAGGTAGCAATCATGCCACGATTGTATCGTATCCTACAATACACTCTGGCCGCAGCAGGCGCGATGGCCACTCCTGTACAAACCTGTCATAAGCTTGGTGCGGCTATTGATAACTCCACCTTCCTCCGGGATAGCGACGTGTACACAGCTCTGGTACATAACCACTGGTAAAGTGCCCAATATTATATTATTCTAGCCTATCTACTAACGCGAGCAGGTCTCAAATCGCTTGGAAGCGTCCTACCTGCATTTTCCTTCCATCCACCGCACAGGATCTGCAAGTGGCCGTTCCTATGTTGACTGCAGCAAAGACCCGGTTTGCCATTCGCTCTGGGGGACACATGCCCGCCGAAGGTGCTGCCAGTATTGATAACGGGGTGCTGGTGGATCTGTCTAAGCTCACCGACTTGCGCTATGATGGGGATGCCAGTCATGTTTCCGTCGGCTCTGGGCTGCGATGGGGAGAAGTCTACAGCCAGCTGGACGAGCATCAAGTCACCGTTGTTGGTGGAAGAGTATTGGACGTGGGAGTTGGCGGTTTGCCCCTTGGGGGTGGTCTCTCCTATCTGTCCGATCTATATGGTTTGGCTTGTGACAACGTGGTTAACTTTGAGGTACGCGCCCTCTCTTTTCATCAGAACAAGACAACTTAGTTTCAGATAACAGGTCATTCTCGCCGACGGATCACTGATCAACGCCAATTTCACCTCTCACCCCGATCTGTTCTGGGCATTGAAGGGCGGTGCCAATAACTTTGGTACGTTTCGATTGTTGGACACCCGAACTCATCAAGTAACCCAGTGCATCAGGTATCGTGACGACATACACCCTGAAGACATACCCCATTTACCAAGTTTGGGGTGGAAGCCGTATAATTGCCTGGGAACACGCTGAGACCCTCATTGATGCCATTCAGCAATATCAATCCCTTCCCAACAAGGACCTCTACGCCAACATCAACTTAAACGCAGCGGCAATCAACACCACTGACGTCGGATTGATCTTGCAAATGGTCTACCTCAAACCTGAGGAGTATCCAGTGGCCTTTAATCTATTTTCTGAGATCCCTACTCTCTTGGATACCACCGGTCTGAAGACCTTGTCAGCCATGATGGGCGAATTCCCCACGCCAACCCTTCCCCGGTAAGAAGTTTGCACAACGTGTAAAGGTCACTCACTAATCATATATAAGGATTGATCACTGGGTATTAACCGTTAAGCCCACCAAGTCTCTATACGACGTGATCAAAGAGCAAATGCTGCGTTCTCCGCACCTCGACGACATCCGCTCAGTCACCGCTGGCTCCGTCTCGTTCAGTTTTCAGCCAATTTCCTCCTCCCTAGTAGAAGCAGGCCAACAAAATGGAGGAAATGCCTTGGGATTGGAGGCGGTTAATCAGACTTGGTTCCATATTGATTCGGCGTGGTGGTGGCCTGAGGATGATGACAAGGTTCTGGGGGCATCACGCGCCATGATGGATGTTATCGAGGAGACGGCGAAAGAGGAGGGCAGCTACCTGTCTTACCTGTTTATGAACGATGCCAACCGGAGACAAGAGGTCATTGCGCACTATGGCGAGGAGAGTACGAGGAAGCTGCATCAGGTCCAAAGAAGATACGATCCTAGCCGGGTGTTCCAAAAGCTGGTGCCTGGAGGATTCAAACTTCCCAGGGGCCGTAACTAACTCGGTGGGGATGAAAGGATGTTTATGGAAGAGCAGGGAGCCATACTGAAAGATGTTATAAGCTATTTGGTTTAATCTGGATCCGATATATTGGGCAGGATATACATCGAGTAGATATTTGATGGTGGTTTGCTGCTTGAAGACCATATTTACCGGTGCCATTTTTTATATAATAGATTATGGTAAGCTCAGTAGAGGTACAGGTGCGATGGAGGTCAGATACAAAGACGAGGGTGAAAAATTCGTGTTGTAGGAAACGACAAGGTCATGGTCGACTTGAGGCGTGGGTAACGAGGATGAGCGGGAATGGGAGGTGGAAGGACACCAAGAGGGAGGGAAGACTATGCATTTTATAGGCGCTCAAATGGACTGGGTGAAAAGAGAGGGGACTTGGATTTGGCTGAAGGGGAGCCATTTTCGGCGTCGTTTTGGTCGCCAGTGGAAACGAGGGGAACAACCGTGTAAGTCGAGTGTCAACATCAGGACCGCAGAATGACTAACAGTGCTGAGCAGCTGGACGTTCAAAGTTACTGGTGGAAAGGCGGCCGGTTCTGGCCTCAAAAGCGGTCATTTTCGGCGTCATTTTCACAGATCATCATATTCTAGTTGTAAGTATTGAAACTACTTGTAATATCCGTCAGTTGAAGGCGTAAGTTCTGCAATGAATATTTCTTTCTATATAATTCACATCATGAACCTCACAAAGGATTGAGATGGTATATTGACATCAATGTTTATTGAAGAGAAGGACTGTATCTCTAAATACATGACCCCATTAATTTGATATTCTAACAGGCATCTTTGTGATCGGGAGAGTAGCATAAGGTCTGCTTGTGGCATTTGTATGGAATAGAAAGGTGTATATCGACCTAGGGGGATATATAAACCTTCAAGCTCCCCACGACGGTAGATAACTGGATTGCATACATCTATCGCCGAATCGGGAGGAAATTTCAACTCTGTCACATGCATTGAGCCGTGTTTCTGGCCAACGACAGTAACGTGTACTGCCACTAGGCCGAAGTTCCGATAGACGCGAGCGAGGAGGTTCAGCATTTTCATTCAATTAGATATGCTGTGAAATTTACAGACAAAGCAGCGAGTTTTTAGTAGCTAGAAAAAGAGCGATTATGAATATACAGGGAGGAATAAAAGCCAATGTTTCTGGGCTGGATTAGTAGATAGTTGGGGTAAAGGCTCGCAAGGGGCAAATTATATCAGTTCTGCAGGCAGCACAACCTAAGAGTGATTGATTTGACATGTCTAGAATAAGCCATCCAACTACATGAACTATATATATCAAGGTGAAAAACTGTAGAAAGAGCTGAGAAAACATTAGTTTGACACTGATTTCTACCACTTGATTTGGTTGATATGCCAGTTTACCAAGTCTTGTTTGCCGAGCTCAGATCATGTTTGTGAACTACGTATAGACATCTGATTTGTGTAGAGGTGAAGTTGTAACTCTCTCTCTTTTTTCCAAGGCTATTCTCCCCTAACTTTCCCCTATGACTTCGGAATTAACCTTGCTTCCTCCCCTCAACCACTATGGCCACGACTACAGCCACGCGTGTGAGCTTGAGTACCAGAAGAATAGATGCCCATGCCAGAAGTGTAGCCTGATAGTCAAACACATCATGAATTAGTATGCGACATGGCAATACAAAGTGGCATCCTGGATTTCAGTCGAACGCTCGTCTGATAATTTTTACTTAGATTCGAACACACAAGTATCAAGCACGACGAAATTAAAGTACACAATTGTATATAGAAATCGCTTTCTAATCAATACACGTTACAAACGTCGTAGTTCACCTTCTAATCCCGGTACGCCCGTGAGGTCTCTGTGATCTCCATTTCTGTGGAAGTATTGTCATCTGAACCGGGCTTTCTCACAGGGGATTTCAGACCAGACATTCCATAAATTGAGATGGCGACCATCCCCATGATTGCACAAATACAAGAAAATACAAGAGCGACAATTCCACGTGCAGTGAATCCATCCGGGATGAATCCGGGGGGCTTGTTCTCTCCCTTCAGGTTGAGGTAATCCTCCGCGTTGGCAGCGGCATTGCCCTCGTAAGGTACGCCGGCAGCCTCACAGACCTTGATGTGATCATCAGGAATGACGAGGTTATTTTGAAGCTCACGAGGAGCCTCGATGAACGTCATCGCAAGTCCTTGCATCATGTGCCAGTCAATGTGGCAATGGAAAAGCCAGACACCAGGGTTGTTAGCGAGAAAGCGGATAACATAGTATCCCCCAGGAGGAAGGACAAAAGTATCACGACGCGCAGGGTAGACGGGGAACTCGGTGTGATTGGAGGGGTCAAAGGTGGCGAACTCTATTCCGGCATCGTAATCGTAGAAATTCTCACCATACGATGGGTATCGATCCAACAGTTGGAATGCGTGGCCGTGCAAGTGGAAGGGGTGGGTGCCTGAGTCTTGGTTGCTGAGAATAATATCCACAACATCGTCCTTTTCGAGAACGACGGACTGAGTATACTCGCCGTACACTGTTGCATCAGTTGCGAGGTCACCGGCCGACATGACGGTGTACAGTGTGGGGACTTTGGGCTTGGTGTAGCTGTGGTCGTTCAGTAAGCCGTATCCCATGCCATTATCGAGATTTTCCATGACCAGAGTGAGCTCGATGGTCTGCTTTGGGTTCTTGTATAGCTCCACACGGTCATGTGGCACGAGGGTCATATCGTCAAAAGGATAGAGGTCCGACGATTCTTCCACGGGCATTGTGACCTCGTTATGAGGAGCACTTGGGTTGTACTCGAGCCAATTCGTTTGGTTGAGCAAGAGATCAGGGGTGATCAGATCAAGAAGAGATGAATCGGCTACCATAACCATGCCGTAGTTCTTTTCGGTGGAGTTTTTCATCGTAACCAAGACAGAGTAACGCTGGGCAGCAGAAAGGTATAGAATGTCTGCTTCTGTCTCATCGACATAGATACCATCAATTTCGACAATGCGCATTTGGTGGTCCTCAATCCAGAAATATTGACCCACAAAGGTAGCGATATTGATGAGTCGAAGAAGGTAGGTCTTGCCGGCCTCAACAGGATAGCTCTGGCTGACCGAATTGTTGAACAAGAAGGAGTTGGGAATAGGCTCAGCTCCAGTAGGGTTGTACAAGGACATGAAGTCAGGTCCAATGTCCTCGGTCATGTCGTGGTACCAATCAGTCATTGTGAGGACCATCTCTTCATCGTACTCATCGTAGAAGTAGGACTCCTCATCATGAACGATAAATGGCGCTCGGTAGCCATCGGGATAGCAGTAATCTGTGTGACAGTGATACCAATATGTGCCGTTCTGATTGACCGTGAAGTTGTAGGTGATGCTTGACCCTGGAACCACTGGACACTGCGTAACCATAGAAGGGCCATCCATGTCACTGGTGCCGTTCTGGTACATTCCGTGCCAGTGGATTGATGTGGTCTTGTCACCGAGACCGTTGTGCATGTTGACCACCACACGGTCTCCTTTGTTCACATCAACGGTTGGGAGAGGCCATTGATCATTGATGCCAATGACTTTGCGTTCAGCAAGGCCATCTGGATTTGCCATCACCCATGTCACATTCCAGTCAAATGTGTGTGTCACTGCCTGACAGCATCCCGCAAAGAGCTGGAAAGCTCCCAAAAGAGCAATGTAATTCCGCATTTTGAAGTGCAGACTAGAGATTGTCCAGAGAAACGAGGCGTTGTTCGGAGGAATTGTCCTGGATACTGGGTCAAGGCATAGCTATTGTACTCACCTATGGCTTTTTTTCGGCTCACTATTCAATCTAATTTCCCGACCTCTCCGGCATGGGTCGATTTAGCGAATTCATGTTTAGAATGTTAAAAGAGGCGTTGGACTAAATTAGCGTGGTGGAGTCCGATGGACTCTGATTGATATCCGGCTCTTGTTTCCTAATCCGAACAAGGGACTAGGAGTAATTTCTCGCAAAAGTCACAAAGTGGGCATTAATTACGGTCTCGGTCTCGGAACTGATTGATAAAAAAATGTCAACGGGATCATATTCCACCAGGCCCACTTGTTACCCACTCAATCCACTTTTACCCTTCTTCTTAACTCCGAGTTGTGGGAAAAGTTTCCATTGGCGAGACTCTTTTGCCAAGGGTCCATTCCAAGAAAATACACTCTGTCAAGAGAAGACGTTAGAGAGAAGAAGTGTATGGTGATTATTGAGCAGGGAAGAATAGCCGAGGTGTCAAAGTGTATAGGAAGGGCAAAGCAAAAGAATACATGCGAGGAAAATAGAAGATCAAACAACGGCAGTTATCAGATCTAGCGGGCACACTATAACCTCGCCAACTTCACTTTTCCCACATTCGGAGCCATTACGTTTGTGAGTCATTTTCACAGTTCCACGGTTATCATTGTTTCTCGCTCCTTTGTCCTGGCTCTTTGAATGTTGGTATCTTCGGGCCATACCGTCAATCTCTGAAGGGGCTGGAACAATTTAGATCACAAGAGTGGAGGCCGGAAAAAGGGAAATCGCGTAATGAGTTCCAACAAAGCTACGGTGTCAATTGGGAAAGTCCGTAATTTCCAGATGAAGATAGATTACTGACTAACCTGAATCAGAAGGTCATTTCCCGGACGGCCGTGGTCGTCAGACATGAATTGGCATTGTTCAAAATAAAAGCACTTGAAACGAAACATTCCTCGTTTTCTTTCATCTACTATCTTTCTACCCCAGTTGCACAATGGCAAACGTTTTTTCCGTGCAGGTGTTCTTTATTGTCTTTCGGGAATGTCTCGAGGCAGTCATCATTGTCTCTGTTCTTCTGTCTTTCCTGAAGCAATGCTTGGGTCAGCCAGGCCAGGATCAGGCGGTCTATAAACGACTGCGAAAGCAGGTTTGGATGGGGTCAATCATAGGAGTGATATGTTGTCTATGTATCGGAGCCATCTTCATTGGCCTCTTTTACGGCCTGGGTCACGATGCTTGGGCAGACTCGGAGGAGTTGTGGGAAGGTATTTTTTATCTGATTGCCACGGTATGTTTGACTGATATTTGAACTCATACCAAGAGAATGAAGCTGATTCCTCTACAAGATCATGATCACCATCATGGGCCTTGCTCTTCTACGGATTAACAAGACCAGGGAGAAGTGGCGCGTCAAGATTGCGAAATCTCTGGTCGAAAAGAAGGAAGGAAAGTCACGGTGGATGCGGAGTGACTGGGGTCGTCGCTATGCCATGTTCATCTTACCCTTCATCACAACCATGCGTGAGGGTGTTGAAGCTGTGGTCTTTGTTGGTGGTGTATCCCTTGGATACCCTGCTACTGCTTTCCCTCTGCCAGTCATTACTGGCATCATGGCCGGATTGCTCGCCGGTTGGTTGATTTACCGCGGAGGAAATGTCATGTCGATCCAAATCTTCCTTATTGCTTCAACCTGCGTTCTCTACCTCATTTCGGCTGGTATGTTCTCCAAGGCCATCTGGAGCTTGCAGTACTATCAGTTCGTGGTCGGAGTGGGCAGTGATGTTGGTGAAACGGGCTCCGGCCCCGGCTCCTACAATATCCTCCAGACCGTCTGGCACGTCAACTGTTGCAACTCCGAGATTGATAATGGCTGGGACATCTTCCAGTCTATCCTGGGATGGCAGAATACCGGTACCTATGGATCTGTCATTGGATACAATGTCTACTGGCTATTTATCATGGCTTGTATCGCCTGGATGCTGTATGAAGAGCGTACCGGCCGAGCTCCCCTTGCAACCAGCTTCTGGGGCTTGATGATGCATGTGCCAGGCTTCAAGAATATTGCCAATAAGAAGTTGAGAGCAATGGACTTCAATGATGATACTGCGGTGCGACAGATCAATTCGACGATGTTCCATGACTCCATTGTGGTGACTGAGACGGTGGAACCCAACAAATGAACCAAACAGACACTTCAATTTTGTGAGATACTGAACACTGGTGACCCGACACGGGGGTTGTATGAACGGGTGAAACTACGTAGTGTCGGTTGTTTCTCTTCGCAAAATACAGAATAAAATATTTTGTCACATGAATTGAGGTTGTGAACAAAATATAGATATACAATCAAAATGAGAGATTTTTGCTACGCGTAACATATTATTTTTCCGTGTATATACGACCTTGCAACTCCGTGAAAATGAGTCTTGTACTCTATGATATTATGACCATATGACCATGCCACGCTGCCCCATCCCTTTAGCCTTAGTCGCGTGCACTGTTGCTCGAATTGGGAAAAATCTTGCGAGGCCCCATTGTTATCTCCGATCTAGATGTATGAGCTCTTCCATACAGATTGACGAAGAATTTTCGATAGCATTGTTATTACCCCCAAAACTGCAGCTAACCGAGAGTCACATCTCCACAGAACTCGACTAGAAGGAAAACTCTTTAGCAATTCCACTTGTTCCCCAAAGTTGGGTCTAGCTTAAGAGCCCACTATAAACCCGACCTCGACATATCAGACCCGAGATACCCGAACCCGAGCCCTACTAGCCTGATAACCTTACGACCGAATGATCCGCGATAGCTCCGAGCTTCAACGCGAAAACAATTTGGATTTAATTGTCTAATTTTATTCCTGAAAAATCAATTCGATGGGCCAGTCAGAAATTGGCACAGAGAGACATGAAAAAAAATCACCGTCGAACCGATATCACTATACCTGGCGTTCCAAGGTTGATACTTGGTCCATGAAGGGATTTTTCAATATCAATGCTGTATGATATAGTACGGATATTACGGATAGTGCTTTTCTTTCGGGGGTTTTCTTTGAGCTTGTACGGTTGGGTAAAGCCTGCCGTGATCGAAAGTTTTCTGAAACTTCATTCTACAAGCCTATGACCATTCGTAGAACCGACTACCGGAAGCTCTCACCTATTTAAATTAACCTGTCCCGAGTAAATATTTCAACGACGGTCATGATTGACTTTCCTTTTGCGTGGGTTTTGATGTGGAGGTCTATCACACTGGTTGAACTGTTTTGGGGTCTTCCGTTATCAATTGGGACCTTGCTATTCTTTTCAGGGTACACAATGGGGCTGCTCGTCAATAATCCCCAATTCAAACAACGTACTAGCCTCGTCAATCATTCATGGGACTATCGGCTGGGACGTTCGTTCCCTTGGGCTGTCAAGGATCTCAACCTCGGCTATTACAGCCGTTTCTTTTAAGAGCCCCACTCAACCTTGATTGAAATCGGTCCGAGGTTTTTTTGTTATCAATCTCTACAGATACGCTAGTGCCATGGCACACAAGGGTCCCCCACTATGCCCGAAACTTTCCGAATCGGCATAGTTTAACCTTATACCTGCCCTACGTTAACACCGAGATATATTGCCAAGCCTCGGACTTTGTCGCTTATCCTCGCACGCACCCTTGACAGAGTACACTCTCAGCAGAGGAAGTAGAACGCGCAATCGCATATTGATGGGATTGTACTACACTAGGTGTGCCTCTAGGAAGCTCACGTTTATGCAGCAGCCAATCAAAATTATTCTCACGCTTTCACAACTAGGCTCAGACCTGGCTGCCAAGAGAACAGTCTGTGCGAGTTCTCGGAATATATTCATCAGTGTAGTTGATAACGTGGTGCATTCCTTGGTTCATGTCCGAGGCCATAGTTGGATGTGGAGAAATCATGCAACCCCGAGTGGACTTGGTAACGGAATTACTCAATGATTTTGATACATCCGAAGTATTCTCCAAATATTCCCTCTTTGGTTCGAGCCAGCACGTAGATGGCTAGGCACCAAATGTGAAAATGCCACTATTTTTGATTTCTTTCCAAAAATTATTCAACCACCGCCAGATATTTTGTCATATAAGTAGAGTCCAATATCGTCGGACTTTGGGTTTTAGCCCGCCTTAAAAATCAACACGACAAAATGCTCCCCAGAGCGGCTTTGGTGGCTCTCTTCTGGGCTAGTGCCCAGGTTACTGCACATAGCGATGGCGGCTCCAGCACAAGTTCGAGCCGTAACGTCGCTTCCAACTTGAAAGAGTACTGTTTTTACTCGATATATACCAGTTTATCTGCATACACCTTCGAAGGCAGTGTGACCGTCCAGTCCGCCAAAACTTCGTCTCATTCTCATGGGGGTTCCTCATCTTCCTCACATGGATCGTCGGATGCTTCCTCCACTGAGACATCTGAGACCCATTCACACGGATCATCTGAATCTTCCTCCGCCGTATCCCCCGACTCCTCTTCTGTAGCTCACACGCACGGATCATCCAATTCTTCCTCCACTGAATCATCTGATTCTTCCTACTCGGGATACACGCATGGCTCGTCCGATTCTTCCTCCACTGAATCGTCTGATTCTACCTCTGGGACACACACTCATAGATCATCGCGACGAAGTGTGAGCGTTGCAAAGCGCGCCCATGGTGGTGGCTCATATGGCTCATACTCTACCGGACCATGCAACAGCACCGTGGAAGTAACTTCCATGTATGCGAGCGCTAAGGCCTGGTGTTCCGAGAAAGACTTCAAAGCTGTGGTCCCATACTGGCAAAGTCTTTGCGCAAAGAACAGCATGGAACTCATGAACCTGGCTTCAATTGAACCCCTATTGACGGATGATTACATCAACTCACTTCCTCAAATTGACCCAGAGAACAATGTGACCACCTATGGGACCATCTACTCGCCTGTGCTGCTGACTGAAGAATACTACAAAAGAGCCTACAAATCTTACGTGAGTCAACACATGAACATTACATCTCGTTTTGTCAGCGAAACGCCGACTGACACATTCTTTAGGTGAGCCATGACTATGCTATGCCAAAAAACAAGCGATATGGATGGGGAATTATTGGCTACTGGGGAGCTGTACTAGTTTTGGGCATGATTTCCAAGGCATGGGCAGTCTTCTTCAGCAGACGGAGTGTACATGGTGCTTGCGATCCTGAGACTCGCCCTAGTCTGCAGAGTAAGAAAGGTCCTCTTACTTCTCTGTTCCATTCCTTGCGCACCCATATCGTTATGCCAGCCACCTTTGCCCCAGCCATCTCCAATCACCAGCAACTCTGGCTGTCACACGCTCTTCCAAAGAGAGTCGATACTTTGATTGTGCTTGGCTTTTGGATTGTCAGTATCGTTTTGAGTTGTGTGGGTTATGACAGTTTCACAGGCAGTCTTTCGTTAGTTCAACTCACCCAGCAACGATATGCTTTCTATATCATTTCCACATACTTACTTTTTGCAGAGTACCGAGCCTTTACCAACAAAATTGGCAATATACCTCTGACCGCACTGGAGTTCTTTCATATGCCTGTCTGCCAGCTTTGTGGCTTTTCAGTGGTAGAAACAATGTGTTTATTCAGTTGACACATTTCAGTGTTCAGTCATTTACAATGTTCCACCGCCACATCGCTTGGGTTTGCACTATTTTGGCCGTGGTGCATTCTATCAACTACAGCGTTCTCTTCGCAGAATATGGTGGGTTTATTGACGTTGAATGAACAAAAGGACACCCCTCACTAAAATACACCATAGTTGGCCGCTATTGGATTGCTTGGAAGGAAGAGTACTGGTATATGGGTGTGGTGGTGAGTCTGCCTAATATAATTGATGATGAAACCCACGACTAACGCACTATCAGGCTACAATCCTTTTGTGTTTCATGCTTGTACAGTCTATGACATTTTTCCAACGCCGTTGGTATGAGACTTTCCTCATGCTTCACATTGTCTTCGCCATCGTCGTGGTAGTTGCACTTTTCCAGTAAGTACTGCAGCCACCGGTGTTGGTCAAAAAAGCGAGTTTTAAGCTGACTGTTCATAGGCACACCAGCTTCAATGGTCGCGAATGGGTCGGATACCTTTGGACCCCGGTTGGACTTTGGGTCCTTGAGCGGCTTGCCCGCGTCGGTCGTGTCGTATACTGCAACCTGAACGCCCGATTCGGAAAGCAATTTTTGGGAACTGCTACGACCGTTACATACAGTGAGGCAAGTGACTTGGTCAGGATCGAAATGGTTCCCGGAGCCGCAAGCTTGACTCCCAGACCAGGTCAGCTTTATTATATCTACCAAGCAACCTGGCTCAAGGGCTGGGAAAACCACCCCTTTTCATTGGGTGCATGGGCACTTTCCTCCACAGCCAACAGTGAAAAATCCGCTTCGCCCTCTCAAAATGGGCATAAGCTTATCTTCTACGTCCGGCCTTACGATGGATGGACACGTCGTCTTCGTGATCAATGCCGCAAGGCAGGCGGAATCATTTACCCAAAGCTCCTTCTTGAGGGAGCTTATGGCCATTCCGAGCCAGTGTATGCCTACAACACTCTTTTGATCATCGTCGGTGGAACAGGTATTGCAGTAGCAGTGCCATACCTCCTAGATCACATTGCGCGCGTTGAAGAAGGTAAGACGAAGACCACCAAAATTCAGCTTGTGTGGTCCGTCCGACAAAAGGAGATGTTCAACGAGGTATTCAACGAGGAACTAGCGGAGATCATGCAACATAACGACATTACGATCACCGTCTTCTGTACTCGACTCTCTAAAATCACTAGTGATTCTGAGTCCGATGATGTGAATCTCTCCAAGGAACTTTCGCCTGGCGTTGCGCCGGTGATCAAGGCAACGGGCGCGGATTCTTCCACTAGCAACAGCAGTCTGCGGTTCATGCCTGGTCGCCCAAATATCCACGAAACAGTCATGTCTGAGGTGCAAGAAGCCCAGACTAGCTTGACTAACTTGGCTGTCTTGACTTGTGGCCCAGCTCAAATGGCCGATGAGTGCCGTGGAACTGTGTTTGAGGCCATGAAAAATGGCTTCCAGGACATTGAGTACTTTGAAGAGGCGTTCGGGTGGTAGATGAGAGCAAGGATATTTATAGTGGATGGACAGCAAGTTGTTATTTTATTTGAAGATGTTTGAATGTTGTCTCGGGATGAAGAGGCAATTATCCGTCGTGACCCGCGACAAGGCAGCATGTTGAATATATCTGCGCACTTGGATCGAATATAAGATTTGTCAGAATTTCTCCTATTGACACTAATTAGGAAGAAATAGAATGACTCTTCAGATGTAGAATACGAGGACCCGTTTAATCGCCAAAATAGCACCCATTTGAGCAATTGAGGCGGCTCCCTTCCGTAGCTAAATCTATGTCTCCTCTCTTCTAGCCTCGTACAATCGAACGCCTATGAGATGTTTCGTCTTCTCTGTCTTCCTATGTCATGGTACCCTTATATTCTCGCTACCTATCCCTGCTACACACGCCATAAGTCGCCCTTGGCCTTGGTGTTTTCGATGTCAACATTAATTGAACAGGGGACTTACTCAATCTACGCGGATGTTTCGAGGAATAAAGATGCACAATACATATATATTTACTAAACTTATGTGATATGTTACGCTATCTTCGGAAGACGGGGAGAAAAATACAAAGAGAGAGACAAGTCCCTTAATGCTAAGTACTACAACACTATTGAGAATTAGGAAATAATGCCTCGGGCCACAACTAGACAGAAACGTCTTACTTGTAAATGACAAGAATGTCTCTCTTGTACATTCTGGACACTCCTGGAGCCAACCATGTGAAGACTTTCTGGAGTGGCAAAGCTGCAAGCTGCAAATAACATTGGTTGAAGCGTGAACAGCGATATGCTTCTAACTGGCGCATCCTGTAGGGAATGCTCCTGCGCACTATGCGTCTCCCAAACCTTTGATTCATTGAGCAGTGATAAAAGTGGATCGAGGTGGAAGAAATAGTTGCACATTAACTCATCAAAAGTTAGCTTCCTGAGGGAGTCTCAACATGAAGGCTCAGTGCTTTAGCTTTGTATATTGCCTCCCATATATATCGGTCGGTCAGCGGTAAAATTTCTACACATTGAAATGGGAATGGCACGATGGCAGTCTGGCACAGCAGAAGGGTCGATATCCACAAAGAGCATACAAACAACCACTCCCCTGCTCGGTAGGTGTTGTAGAATGTGGCTGCTAATGGCATAGACCTCTCAGAGCCTGATACTGCGTCATGAAATCAATTATCCGAAGAGTAGTAGTCATATATGGGTCAATAATTGCTTATGAGCTAAGAATCTTTGAGGATGTTAGAGTTGACATGAGGATTGTGTTGGACAAAGAGATCCTCGCCGAGGACAGAGACTTTTTGATCTCTGAGTGGAAGGTGAAAGCAAAGGGTATGCCAAGCGTGTATCTTAGGAAACCCAGCCATGATCTACGACTTTTTACCTCCAAAAGAAAGCCTCGTCAAATGCTGCGCCAGATGTTCCGATGTCCCCCTTTCCGGCTCGATCCTTGCGTGTGAATCTGATTGGAAAGGTGGCAAAGCGTCACCTTCCACAAACGAAAGGCCGTTCTTTTTCCAAAATGTTTGTTGGCATCATGAAGGGGAGAAATGCTGTGAAAATTAGTCGGGTCATAGGTCTATGAGAAATCCATGCTTTTTTCTACACTCAAGTAGTTATTAGGCGCTTAATCCCTCAAGCCAGCCCCCACTTTCTTAGCGCTTGGCCGACTTGTTTGGCCCGACGACCATGTCAATAGACAAGAGCTTCGGAACATAAAAACAGATTCAGTCACTGTCCGGTCCAATCGCTGCAGTAAGTCGCTTTTTGATATTTATCATCCATTGAATGATAATCAACTTTTATTCTCTCCACATGCGAAGATGACGTGGATCCATAAACAGGGGTCGACTATGTAAAATCAATACGAAGTTTGTTGATGGCTGCAAAAAATGAGGCTTGATCTTTTTGTGTTACTCTTAAATTGTTGAGACTAATTGTTCTCCAAGCACTACCGATCTGCAAGTAGGGCAGTTACGGCGGTCACTAGGGCCCAAAGAGTCAACGACCCGACAAGCGGTAATTTTGGTAGCAGAATAGAATTCAGACCCACAATTACTAACATAGACATGACCACAACAAGTAATTATTTGAATATATCCTATCTTCTACAGAAAGTATCTTTTGCGTAGTGTAGCTGTGAGAAGGCTTTCGAGAGAAACCTAGGCACTGACCAATTCCCAAACCCCGGGGAACCCTCCGTCCATATCATATCTCTGGCTGGCGCTCTGAAGAGCGAACGCTTGACTTAAGGCTGGTTCATATCCTCAATAACAGATGATACTGTGATGGCACCGCCGCGTGTTGACTTGATGGAAATACTGATGAAACCGGCCTCGGGAAAATAGTTGATAAGAGCCCAAGTCTCCTTGGTTAATGAGCTGGCAGGTGTATCAGTCCGCTTACTATTCACCCACCAGTACCTGCAGGGCCATATTTCAAGCAGCAGCATAACACTGGGGGGAAATCTAAGATAACCGAGAAGAATATACAATCGGGGCTGTTTATTGAGAAGAAAACATGAAGGTGCACGCTTTCTATTAAGCAAAATAAAAAATTGATTATAGTTTTGTTTGGTCATAAGAAAGTTGAGCAGAAAATAACGCCCAGTTGGCCACACTTGGGGCAAGCTGGTTCAATCAGGTTCTGTCCTACACAGGCCCGTGACCATATACTGCATTTTTAGACTATAAGATTAAGTTTTTCTGCCCTCGAGATAGTGGCTGAAATTGGGGGCAAGTTGAGAGATGCTGAATAAGCGTGTCAAACCACTCCAAAAATTGGTGATGCATAAATTTGCATGGCAGTAATAGCTTCATTTCTGAGGTGAGATTAGTTGTTCCGTACCGAATAGGTCACAATGCACTGGAACATTATGCCTGGGGTCTAAATGCCCAAACAAGGCATCAATATAAAAAAAAGTGGCAAAAAAACACTCGCCATTGGACATCTGGGTAGCCGGATGACGGATGAAACAAAACTCCGATAGGGGGAATCGAACCCCCGGCTGCCGTGTGAGAGACGGCGATGTTAGCCACTACACCATATCGGACGGGTACGAAGAATTGCCATTTATAGTTTAGTTTCTCCACTTGTGGTTTAGCGCTCTTTTATCCTTGTGCGTCCCTGTGCGTGGTTCTATATAATCCCTCCTATAGCCCCTTCAACTTTTCGCTGTTTTTCACCCGCCCGCTCTTCCTTCCTCCTCGTCTTTGTCCGTGTTATGCAGGTGAGCCATTTTTACTAATGGTCCAGATCACTGAGCTCCTTAGCTTCACCACCGCCTTTTCCTCGTGTGACTGGTCAGCTCTTCTGTAATCCCGCCACTACTGTCTCTGCTGGCCACCTTCCTCACCTCTAACGATAGTGCTCGAGATAAGACTACCTTTTCCTCGCCATATATCATTCTGGGACGCTTATGCCTATACAACGGGGCTGTAAACTGGGGGCATCATTATCGCGAGTCTTTGACCCTATGTGAAGCATCCAAACAATTCCTTGGGTGCAAATCAAAAGCAGAAGCATCAATTGAAGTACTCTCGGTCGAAAGTCCGTTCGGATACAGAAACAGCTACAAGGGACAATCTCGAGAGCATGTCACGGCACTGCATTTAGCAGCATTCTTCGGGGCTGAGAACGCGGCACGCTTTCTACTCAATAGTCAGCATCCAAATTCAAAAGACAGTGCCGGCAAGACGCCATTATCTTGGGCCGTCCAGTATAGTCGTGAAGATTTCGTAAGGTTGCTGCTCGACCAGGACGATGTCGACTCAGAATCTAGGAACTGCCGAGGACAAGTGCCGCGAGTTCACGCAGCGTTCAAAGGGTATGAAGCGATAGTCAAAATATTCCTCGGCAGAGATAATATCAATCCGGATCTCAAGGACCATATCGGATACACCCCGCTATTATGGGCAGCGACACGGGGGCACTGGGATACTCTCAGCCTGTTTCTTAGGACCCCTGGAGTTGATGTTCACACCAAGAGCATACACTGCAAGACCATGCTATCACTGGCGGCAGAGGATGGCCAAGGACGCGTTGTTGAGCTCCTTCTCGGGACCGATAGAGCCATTCAATGTGGATGTTGCCGAAGAGCAAGAATCTTTATTATTTCTGCAAAAGACCAGAAATGGCTACGAAATGAATATAGTAGCGAAAGTAATACTCACCGTTACACTGGTTAAACCGAGTGTCTATTTGGGGGCTGGTCGATCGCAGTGATGCAAAGCGTGACCCTTGGGATATGATCGACGCGCAGCCAAGCTCTGGGCAAATTTAAGGAAAGAAATAGGGTCCAGGAACGTATACAATTAGCTAACTGGCTTCAATACACTTATACATTTATGTGAATCGATCTTTCTCCTCGCGGTCATTTTGGTTGGCACATTCCGAATTATCCCATTTCCAGTCTCAAAGTAATTCCGTAACCCTCGTAGGAACTTCAATCACATAAACCTTTACCAATACAGAAATCTTTCCACCATCAGGGCATCTCAAAACATTCTTTTTTTATTTGCTTACCATTATCTCTGTCACCGAAAGGTTCTAAGGTTTGGCAGGTTTCTTTTTAACTCGGCAAGTGACCAGTCTAACAGCTTCTACGCAAGCCCCATAACAGGCACACTATGGCCGTTCGAAACTCTCGGGAATTGACGGCTTGACCGACACACACTTATAACTCTTGTCTAGTCCCACTACCAAGACCTTAGCATCGATCATCTATTGAGCGACCCTTGTTCTGGGTAGCCTCGCTCTTGTCCAGCGACTTAATGTATGTTGTTGTTCACAACATGCAGATCCCGAAGTAACTACGCTATGAAGGGGTCTTTGTTCTAGGATCTACACTCTATGAGCTGATTGCTAGTGAGTTCCCACACAGTGAACCTTCCGGGCCTAAGATATCCTACAAGTTGAGAGCATGAGTCTGAAGACACTGGAGAAACCTGGTGGCATGATGCTTCTATTGACAGTTGTGTGCAGATGCAAAATGCCGGGCGTTCCAGGGGCAACAGTATAATCTAACGATATTCTGCCGTTCAGCTGAAGGGGTCAAAACAGTGGTCGCGCGACTTGTGTGATTCTCACCCAGATTTTCACCCTATCTATAGCGCATTCACCTGTATCACTAGACTTCCGCACGACCAAGGACCCAACCCAGTCTGGATCTGGGGTTCTTGAAGGCGAGGTTACCAACCTAATTCCCCTTAACATCCAAAACAACTTGAACTGAAGTATCCTTAACTAAGGCTTCGTATAGATAACATTCAGAAAGCCATCTACGCCTTTGATTTTTCCTTAGTATATAATTCTAGTTATCCACCGAGAGAAGATTCAGCAATCAAAAGAAAAATTCACATTCTGCGTCACTATAATAGCGTTTAACAAAAGATCTCATACCGAATCTTCCAAGTCCTAAGCGGACGTTCCTTCTACGTCCACATCTCAGTGTACAGAACATCCCATTTATCAAACCCTATTCGCCCTTTTCTCTAAGAAGGCGCTCTCTCTTAGACGATCAGTATTCGCGGCAATAGATTTACGCCTTGTTCCATTCAAAGACATGCGACCGATCGTGGGATTATTTGGTTTTGAATTGATCTCCTGCCCTGCTTGGATGTATAGGGGATGAGTTTTCGTCAGTTGAGTGACAAAAGTCAGAGGATGCCGTCTGCCGTCTTTGACCTGAGATATGCGCGGGAAAATGGTTAGAAGAGTGTCACTGGCGATGCCGTGGGCCGTGGCGTTCTTCTCGGTATTTTCACCGGGGAGATTAAAGGTGACCCATTCATTGTCATTCCAGTCAAGTGGATCGAAATCGGACTCATATTTTTGTTGAGAACGCTGTAGAGGTAACCAGATATCAATCGCCTTCTTGACGATGTTTGCTACCCTCTGTCGAAACTCATCATATTGCGCACCCGAAAACAAGTCGTGTACGCAGCTTGACACTTGGCGAAGCACATGTTGAATTCTGAATTGGATTGTCTCTTGCTGACTCTGTTGATCAATCGAGAGAAGCATTGATCGACAAAAAGATTCTTTATCGCTATCAGTTTCGGCAAGGTTGCTCATGATGTGCCGCAATTGAGAATCTTCTGGAATGAGATAATTTGGCTGAAAGATATGCTTGTCAATTTCCTTGGACAAGATGGTCAGAACCACAGCAAGTCGCATTCATTTGGCAGCGGGAGTGTTTGAAGCCGGCATGGGGACATCCCGAATCGAAAGGTTGCCCTTTTGAAGAAACCCTAATGATTTATTCTAAAATGTATGAGTTGAGGCCTATCAGGAATCTTATTCCATGCTTACATTTAAAGCTGCAGTATCAATGTCTTGCATCATTATATGATACATTTGATCTGTAGCATAATCCCAGAGACTTGAGAATCCGTCGACCCTAGAACAGTATGTTAGTAACATGTATTTATACGACTGGTTATGACTGACATAGAGTCTTCATCCATTTGGTGGCCACAGAAGCCATAGCCCTCCAGCTTTTGAAGTCGAGCTTGAGACTCCCGTATGATGCTTTTCAAAGAGGAAACCTCTTTTTCTAGCTCCTCATTTTTGTTTTTCTCGGAAGATAATGAGTTTGTCATTCCCAAGTTGGCGGTGCGAAGGTTGTTGATGATTGCATCCTTTTCTTTGAGTCTCTTTTCCAGCGAGGTCATATCATTAGAAAGTCCATTGGCTTTGGATTTCTCACTAAGATGCTCTAATTGAGCCTTTTTCTTCTCGTCTTCGATATTCTTGTTTTTCTGAGCTGATTGCGCCAGTTCGTTTTCCTTTTTCGCAATAGTTCCACGGAGTGATTGTACTTGCGCCTCACAGGCTTCGAATTTGCTCTTCTGTGTTTGCATTCCAATAAACCATTGATCCATCGCAATGTTTTGGTTTTTCTCCTGCTCTTCAAGCTTCTTGCGAATTTCTGACAGCTCATCTGACTTTCTCTTGATCTGCTCTCGTTGGTTCTGCATTTCAAGGATTATCGCCGATGCGATCTTCATCTCAGAGCTGGAAGCAAAGGTGCATATTTGCCTCACAGTAACTTCAAGAGCTTCGCTAGTGACTAGGGGTGCAGTGACACCTTGGCTAGGTGCGCGTGGAACTTGGGTTTCCGTAGACATTCTCAATAGATAACAAAACTTGACGAAATAAGAGGTGCTTCTTGAACGTTTTGGAGGTAAACGCTCCGAATTTATAATTTCTGTTGCCTGAGATTAATTTCCCATGCGGTGTTCATTATTCTTCTGTATCCTAATGTTCAATGTTCACGTCATGGGTAGCACTTCCAATCATGTAAAATGAAGCTACCAAACGACAAGGGTAAGGGCGTACAGTGCATGTTACGCTTCTAATTCTTGATTTCAGACGTTCGTAAACGGAGAAAATTTTGATTTTTAGCCTCATTGTTGCTGAAATGAAGCGGGGTGAGCGCGTTTATGCATGTAAGACACAGGGGTACTTTGCAACGTATTCTGGGCTGTATGGCTGCCCGCACTGTGGAAAAGTCGATGAGTGATGCGAACCATCCCACACATGTTACGTGCATACAATCAGTCGAAGGTTTTCCGTGAGATATGCGTCTCATCAGGGCGGCCTACGCCTTGCCCAATCGAGCCTTCCAGCAAACGCCTTTTCAGCAAACCTACCAACGCAACAATATCCCTATTTAAGCGACATTATCAACATAAGCTGCAGTGACAACGACGTGGCGGGTCTGTGATGGGCGCACGGAAAGAGATTGTGGTTTGGGGGATGCTTTTATTGTAGAATAAGCGCATGATATAACTCTCCATTAGCTACCAAGTTTTTCTTCTCTTGCCTACCATAAGATACCAAACACTGTGTTCGGAGTCAATGTCAGAACCAGATGTATGTAGCAGTCTTTGTTTTACTAAGACTGTTACCCTGGTCAATAGTACAAGTTTTGCGCCAACGCATACACGCATCAAGAGCGCGGTTGAAGCGCACATTTTTAAAATACAATAAGAACCCAAAGGGTTCTTGCATTTGTTAGCGCATGCGTGCGACAAATCAACAAGAGACGTTATAAGCCACGATTGAGTTAGTAATGGAGCGGGGTTTTGTTTCATGGAAACTAGATACTGTCTTGAAATATGCGAGGGCTCTAATTTGACTATCTGGACTCTACCAAATTGCTAGATCCAATATAGCACTCACTGAAGGGTAACTGGCTAACAGAACACAGCTTTACCTTGTGTAAGCTTCTCTGTCCAGCGGATTGCCAAAGACAGGTTCATGGATGTCAGGGTTATGCATTTGTTGTCCCGTATGCAATATTTAATCTATTGGCGCCCAAAAGTGCATGGATCTGTTAGCTTCTACGTGGTATTTCGAGATTGGTTAGACAAATGACAATCATATACGCGCTGTTGAATCCAGTGAACGCAAGCCGGAAAAGGATTACTGGCAGCCCTACGATGGTAAACCTCCAGAGCCTCGTTCCTTTTTCCGGTGGTCTATTTCTACCCTCTACCCCTCTCTTGCACAGCGAGATTTATATATTGATAGTTTTGCTTAAATACGACTACCACACTTTTCAAATTATTGCTATAAATCTCCGTTTTCTTCTGACATTTTGACTTTCTTTAACACACATCCTGAAATCTGTTATTTGTCAAAAGAATATCTTGGTTCTTTCATTCCGCCAGGCGCTCTAAATGCCACCAAAGATGGGTTCAACCAGAAGGAAGAAACCCATGGCCACATGGTCTATGTACCAAACTCTTCACGATGATGTATCGACGTTGTTGGAAGAGGAAGAGCTTCATTTTGAATTCCACGAAGATGATGATGACACGGGACACACCAAAATGCGTGATACAACCATCATGGGCCGCTTTGTGTGCCATAACCGAGCATGCAGAGCCAGCGGATGGTCAAGCAAGATGATCGCCGTCACAATTCGCCTATACCCAGGGCAAAAATATAATGCGAGGGTATACCACCAACGCTGCAAAAGTTGCAGCTCCATCAGTCGACCAGTGCTGGACCAGTCATACGCTGAAAGAATTGTCTACTGGATAAAACGATGGAACGGAGTCCAGGTAAAGAAGCCTCCATTTTCCGCCAACAGCAGAGGTCCTCATAACCGTCAACTTTGTGAGGGTTGTAAAGCTGGACACTGTTCCCAATCAAGGGAGGATTCAGAAGATGATTTCATTACACAACTAAAAAGGTTTGTCAATCTAAAATCAAGTAATGTTATTAAATAACCATGCTGACATGAACTCAGATTGACTCTCTAACAAACCCGAGTTCCAAGTGTGATTAAAAATTGAAAATCACAGAAGAGGAAAACGTTTCACTATGTTCATAAGCCCGTCCGCACAGGTTGGAAAAATAATGGATTCTGTTAATTTGGTTACTGGCGTCATATATATCTTCTATACCATACCTTGTCGTGTAGTTGTAAAAATTGTCTACTTACCTCCGTACTCGCTGGAGCCGAGCCTAATTAAAAAGTTTTTCACTAAGCTGAACAGATTCATAAGACGTAACTAGATCTACTAGGTAGAAGATCCAGCTCAGGGACTCAGTTCCTTTCTTGAATGGGGACAGGAGAGGAATCGCTAGTGGTCATTCTCAGCACGCAGGTCTGAGTATTGAAGATCTAGAAGAATGAAATTACTCTGAATATCCATAGCATAAAACCATGGAACCTACATCCAAACCCTACCAGGAATTTCATAGAGACCCTATAATGTCAATGTCTTTTACAAGGTATAAGGTAAGATAGGACAGGATGAGAAGTCCCGCTTAACGGACTGACGTCTGAGTTGGCAATTAAGTAGGTTTTCGCATGTAGAATTAAAGGATTTGTCGGCTTGAAAAAGATAGGTACTTTCATCTTTATAAGACTTAAGATCAATGGTCGCACCATCACGAAATAAGTACGTATAGAAATAAAAGAGAAATTAAAACCAGTATACAAGTTGAAATTAGCATACATGCTTAGAGGGGGCGGTGATAATGGCAGTATCCAATGGGAGAGTTATGGTATTTAGTCGGTACACGTCACTCTGGGCGCTAAACATGCATCCACTTTGCTGGCCAAGTGGCTGTGCTGCTGATTTCTCACTGACTCGCGTTATATGACTAACGATTGTGTGGCTGAAATGGTTGGTAGGTGCCGGGATTATGAAGCGAGGTTGAATTTGAGGGAAGAAAAGCGGCGTCCATCTATAGGCATCAAATAAGGAAGTGCGCAGCCCAAACCCCGCAGCGCTCTCGAACAAGTGCAGTGGAAGGCTCTTCAGGGCGTATCCACACACACTAGGTAGAACTGATTTGACTCTATTCAACTGCAAAAGTATACTGGGGATGGGCAGTATGAAGCGGGTATATAAAAATGGAAGGAGTATTCGAGAATCCACCTCTCAATTAGTTCAATATCATCATAATGCTTCGCTCTGCCATTTTATGCCGTTCGACAGACTCCTTTACAGAATTACGCGGTAGGCTGCCGCAAATATGATATTAGATTTTCAACTAAGTCCCTTTACGCAAGGTCTACCACTATTGCTCCAATGAATGGCAATGATGATGTAGATGAACTGCGCAACTGGACACCAAATCTGCCTCGAGGCCAGCCTTGGCTGATAGCACTCGCATGATTTTGGAATACCCAAGGCGGCCGGGAATCCTTATCCCAATTTTAAGATAGATCACTCGGTGAATAAAGATATAATGGAGAACGGAATTTGGAACAAATAGGAATATTACTTTATCTAAGATCCATATCAATTCGTCTCATCCACTCGTACCATAAGATCTCCACAAATCTTATTAGTGCCGGTCCCGCCGATGCGCGTGGCTTGTATAACTTGTCAGTTGTGAGCCTTACCTGTTGCCGTGCTGTGCCTAGAGACCCCTGTCACTGCGCTGCTCGAAATTGAGGCAAATGAAGCCCGGGATAAAGGCCTACCTACGTAATACATTGGATTGACTCAGGTATAAATTCCGCAAGACCCCTAGCTAAATTCTACCGAACAATCTTTCTCTACATCTACCTTGCAATTTCTACACCGCAGTCGAGTTTAAGATGGAGAACTCAAACTATTTCTCTCGCTTCCCAAACTTTCAAACTGCTGGATCAACTTCTGCAATCACCGAGTTTGATCGCCTAGCATCTGAAAGGAACTGGAGCCAAGGCTCGAAAAAATACAGAAGCGAGCGTGCGAAATTTCTCGTATCCGAATTCAATTCTCACTTCGGTACCGACGCGACAAAGCTAGAAAACTGGCAGGCACTATGCGTGGAAGTGAAAGTTCAGAGTCCAATCGAGAGTATTACTCAATGCCGAAAGGTGATAATTATATCTTCTATTATCCCCCAGATGTTATGATGCTGATCCAAGAAGGCTCTTGCAAAGGTCCACGTTAATCTAGTTGACTTGGTTGATTCCCGAAGATCAGGAAAGAAAGTCAAGCGTTTTTCTGGTCCCGGGGCATTGAGAGAGTACACTTTCAACACTGGAAAAATATTTCCCAAGTCTGCAGCAAAGAAAGATGGTTTTCTTAAAGCCTTACTTCGAGTGATTTTCTAGTCACTCGCGATCCTATACGGTCAGATGGATGAGACGTGGAAAGACATATATAAGTTTGATAGTCATGGGCATCACACTTTGGTGAACAACTTTCGTTGACTATACACAATTGCTCAGTCCATACGCTCTATCTGTGAAGAAGTTCTATAACTGTCATCGGCTATGACGTCTGTTTTTCAGCACTTTTGTATGTTCTCCGTGCTTGTGGTCAGGTCTGCTTTTATTGCATTTATTTTTGTATTGGTATGTCCTATGAAATTATATGCAATGGCAATTCCCCATCAATATTTGCAATGTTGGCATCAATTGCATTGCTTTTAAAAGCAGCAGGACATAATTTTCTCTCGCTTGATCAATACATCTTAGATTTTCTAATGACACTGCCTTGAATTCTTCGCATATCAGCCCTCCCAGGTCACCTCCATAATGGAGAGATATGATTTAGATGGCTGGGATATTCTCGTAACATTAAATCGCGAGTCTGTATCACTAAAAAGAGCTTTCCAATCACCTGGCGTGCGCTCTTGAGCATTCTGCAAACCAAGCATGTACATATCGTAGTCCCTGGTTCTTTTTATCAGTATATAGCCCCATCGTCAGTGAATATAAAGTTCGTACCGTGCTTCACGCTCTTTCAAGTAATGTGCCTCTCCATAGCCGGGAATGATACGATCATTTAGTACCACCTTGGCCCCGGGCTTTAAAGCTGGTATCAGAGCCTGCAGGATCTTTCGCGCGTATTTATTGGACCAGTCATGCAGTACATGACGCAATAAATAAACATCAGCGCCATGCACCGGTTGGTTTTGAAAAAAGTCATGGGCTTGGAAGCGGATACGATCCTGGAGGTCAATCGGCAAAGCTTCTTTTGCCTGAGCAATAACCTCCGGGCGATCTTGTACAATGCACTGAATGGTGGGGCAGTGATCCGCGAGCGCACGAGCAATATGGCCGATGCCACCGCCAACATCGACGACCGTGATATCTCCAGATCCGAATGGGAAGTGATCTACTAGATACTGCGGTGAGTATCCAGGTAGCTGAGTAAGCCAGCTCATGGCTGTAGCAAAGACCTGCGCACGTTCAGGCATGTTGGCGAGGGCTTGAAAGACCGGGAGATCAGTGCCATTTTGTATACTCCATCCCTGCTGCCATTAGCTAACTTGCATTAAAAAGTCACCGGGGATGATTACGCTATGTTGTGGCTCTTCAGAGTCATTGTGCTGCAATACAGCTTCGCCAATCTGGGGATATCAGCTTTGGTATGAACAGGAGCCTGGTATAGGTACATACTTTAAGGGCACCGGGCATGGTCTCGCCAAGTCCGACCAGCATCCAAGAGCGCATACCCTCATTCTCCGTTAGAACACGGGAGCCAGCTGTGTGGATGAAAAAATCAGGCTTTTCTTGAAAGAAGACATGATAGGTGGCGGCATGAGACATCAACCGGCGAACAATATTCTCATTGCGATCAACGCGCTGTGCTAGATCTTTAATGGTGGCTCCATCACTCGGAAAATTCTCAAAGATCTTCAGACGAATCAATGCCAATATACTCAAAGAAGGGTTACGCTAAAGAAGTTAGTTCGCTTGAAAAGTGTAATTTCCTCTTTACTCACCAATTCAGGGCTACCCAAGAGTGCTGGATCGGTTAAGAGATCACGTAACTCATCTAGTAACCCCAGGAGCTTCATGCGTGCGGCCAGGGCATTTGAATCTGGTGCATCGGTCTGCAGCACAGCGGGTAATCCATGTTCGAACGAAGGCTCGCGGACTCCTTGTGAGGACAGATCGCCTGCTAGGCTGCGAACAACCTCAGCAATTTCGGCGGCGCGACTGGTGAGATTTGCATGGTCCATCGAGAGCAATGGTGAAGTATATGTTCAAGTTAATTTTGCGAATAGCACTTTTCAAAGGAACCCACCACTTTTAAAGGGCTAGCACTCGCAGATAGCAGTTGGTTGTACCTGCTTGCTTATATTGTGGCATGGTTCTTTCGCCCCAGCCAAGCCCAGAACCCCTGTACTCGGTATGGAAAACGCGTGCAACGTGGTGAAACGACACTAGGGCTTTTATCTATGTTTGGCATGAGTCATCTCTCAAAACAGGTTAATATCCCAGCCATCTAAATCATACGCTGGGGCCCCAGCAAAACCAAACTTTTGGCGTTCATAAAGCTGCTAAAGAAGCAACATGTAGTATTATCTATAACCTATCAAATGTCAGATATGGCGCCTCGAGGCACCATATAGTTACCTTGGTTTTTATGTGGTCTAGTGGTAAAATATGCTGTATTTTTTCCCACATAACCCAATTGGGGCCCCAGCCTGGATTTATGCTGGGTCTGGTTGGGTTGTGCGGAAGCCTAACTTATATATCTCTACGTTAAGAGTGTGAATGGTTTAAATATAATTCTCTTGTCTTCCTAATATAAAATAAGTCCACCTTATAGCTAATTGAAGATATTTGAGAATAAAATACATTTCTTATAAGGAATATTATCCGTATATATATTGAAGAAGGGAACGCTCAAGGCTGTATGCTCTAATTACTGAGATTACTGCTCGGTCTAACTATATCTACTATTTACTTCTATATGACTATTTCTCTATAATTCATTATATTAATAGAGTATCCAATGAAATACCTATAGGTTAACGCAATAGCTGTAAAAAACAAAACAGAGATAAATAACCCATTTTTCCCAGCTAAAAGAGCAAAGACGTCGAAAAATTATATAACTGCGGGGGGGGTCATGCGGGTCGATGAGGGTTACAATCCATCGACCCTTCCGACCCTTACGGTTAGTTGAGGTGCAAAGGTAGTTCTACTCTTCTTTTCACCGATCAGTATGGGTCAAAAGTCACCGTGCACTGCTCCTGGGGGAGTAGAAAACAGAGTAACTGGTGGGTCCGACGTAGTAAAGGGTTCGTGGCAAGCTCACATGCAGTATTCGGTGAGAAAATTCTCCTTGGCTTATGTATCGTTCAACTAACCGTGCGTAAGACGCCTACTACAAGAGGGTTTTTGGGAGACGGAAAAACGTAGATCAATTCGATTCCAATTACTACAAAGACGACCCTGTGCTATTTGACCTCGAGAGCTACCCTAAGCAGGAAAATGTTAATCCGGGGACTGTCACCGTCGAAGGGTTTGGTTTGGAGGCATGGGAATTCGAAGAATCACACCACATAAGGGAGAAGACCGTCCTGGTGGACTACGCGGACCCTGGCAGTATCCCGGAGAGGAAACTTCTACGGAGAATCCACGAACTGCAGCAGCACGCTGGTTGGAGCCGAAAGCAATATAAAGCAGACTTGAAGGAATTTACAGGCAACATAGGGCTTCATTTTGCGCGCCCCTCGGATGGGGATGACGACATCTTGGTGTGCTCAAGCTCGTTTGCCTTTCTCAACCGCAAGGATATCTTCGTCAATTTGGGAAAGGATGTTTGCGCGCGGCCTAGGGCTTTGCCTTGCCGCTTTGTAGTTGAACCTCGATATGACCGCCGTTAACTATTACAGTCATCGTAAAAAGAAAATTCCAAATTTATCACTTAACTGGGCCGACTGAGCAAGAACCGGCTGACACGAATCACGGCTGAGACAGTCTGATCAGTCTATTAAATAAGTAATCTGATCCGGTCATCTTCGGTTCTAGATTGAGGCGAGCGCTACCAGCCAGGGTTGACAAGGCTCTCGCGCGGTGTGCCGGCCCTAAGCCAGATTTGCAGTCCCGCTGCATAGGAATGATTATCCTGAAAAAGTGTATGGCGAATGCACCTGCATGCGCAGAGGTCAATACAGGCCGGCCGATTGACATCTGACGCCATGATCATGGGCTGAGGAGGAAAGCAGGGCCGGACGAGGGAGGGCAGCTCGGATTGTAGACGCGGGGCCACAGACGAGTCATATAGGGAAGAGGGGGTAGCGGAGTTCAGGGGGCCATAAGAGAAATGCATGTCCAGATAGACCTTGATTCAACTTATTAGATTCAATCGCGTTTTGGTTGAAAAGAAAGCCATTTAAAAATGAATAGACATGGATGGGGTTGCCGGTTCGCTTGTGGTGGTGCAGCGATGAGCTTATATATATATGAATGCATAGCTACATCGAACGTAAGAGAGATGGAACACCAAGAGCAAGAACCTCCTGAAACCGAATTTCACATGATATGTTTCTGCTGGCTTCGACTTTAGACACTTGATGGGAGGAAGACAAAGTGGTCAATATTGGGTAGATGGGTATCCTATTCTCAGTTTTACATACCTAGACAGTAGAAAAAGATAAAAAGAAAAGGTGTGAAATAAGCCGCACAGAGGGCTTTTCTATGTATGTCAAGATATATATACAGAGCGCTTGTATTTTCAAGCAATAAAATACTCAGAGGCATCTTTACGGCCTAGCTTTCAATAAAAAGCGACCAAATCGCTTACGATGGCACGCGTGACCCAACACTTCTCCAGAACTCACAGCGCTTACCACGGCCACCTTCCCACTTCGATGCATCTGCCAGGCTGAACTCATTTGTGACACCAGGTCCTTCTTGGAGCCAGTAAGAGAGGCTATCAGTAACTTCGACGTAAACGGTTGTTCCGCCTGTGGTGTTCAGGTTCATTAAGACAGGGGATATGCTATTCCACTTTGGCCAGGAGATATCTCCGTAGACACCCTCAGGTACAGTGGCATTGTCTGCCCCACCCTTTGCGTCGATTATAGAGATGACTGGGGTATCGTTGATGATAAAATTGCCCCAAATCTTCTGGAAGGCATCGATCAAACCGCGAGTAGGCGTAGTCGCCCCAACCGAGAAGTACGCGCTCAAATCCGCCCCGTGATATGAAGGAGTGATAGAGTACTGATATTTCCAACTCTCTTTGGTATTACCTCCAGCGAAAGCATCCGCAAGCCAGTAAGAGGGACAGTCAAAGGATGATTCGGCATATATGTTGAAGACTGTCTGCTGGAGACCAGTTGCCATTTCTGATTGGTTCAGAGCGGTTGGACCACGATCACCCAGTGTGTCATATCGGGGCCCAGTGTTTTCGGGAGAGCTGTCCTGGACCTTGTATATATCCAACAGGCGAGAATAATCACTGCGAGAGAACAAGGGGAAAGCAGAGTGGACATAACTCAGGAAGCCGGCAGTGGTGTTCACAGAGGGCGGACTAAGTGGGACACCCTCGTTGGCATTGTTCTGGAAGAGTTAGCATAAAGGAAGCCTATATGATGGCACGGAAATTTGGCCAATGAACTTACCCCAGATAAAACTCGCTTGCCGCTCACTTTCTTTTCGAGTAATTGCTTAGACGGCAGTTTCTGAATAAAGTCGCCATCGACCACAGGTAGAAAGGCCCAGGTACCCCATTCTCCTGAAATGGAGACATTTGCACTGGCGTATTGCAAAGTGTCGGTGTCGGCATTGACGAGGCAGTCAAATACCGCTGCCTCGGACTGATCCCAATTGCGACACCCTGCTCGTGCCGCAAAATCTTCATAGTGACTTGTCGGCACTTTACCATCGTACTGATGCAAGGCCGTGGAATACGGGCTGGCGGCAATAACCTATGCAAGTTAGCTATACCGTCTGGGATTTCACAGCGCTGTAAATTTACGTTATTGAATAAGTTATCCTCGCGACCCCCGTAAGCCATCGCTTGTAGCATCACTGAGCCGGCCCCAGAAGATTCGCCGGCGATTGTGACGCGGGAGGCATCACCGCCAAATTTCTCGATATGCTCCTGAATCCACTCGAGGGCGAAACGCATGTCAAGCAGACCTGCATTGGTCTTCCCGTGCCTGTGCACGTCTTCTGATGACAAGAAGCCAAAGGCTCCGAGTCGGTACTGGATTATAACTGAAATGAACCCGTTGTCATTCGTGCTGATCAACTCACTAGGGTCGTATACGGCCCCAAACAATCCGTATCCACCGCCATCTATAAACGCTTAGAACGTTTTCTTTCGGTCGAATCCATTGATATTTGAATAGTGCATAGACTTACGAATCCAAAGGAGGACAGGGAGATCTTCCGCCCTGGGCGGAGCATATACATTCAAGAACAAGCAGTCCTCATTGCCGAGGGCTGAATTGAAGCCATATACTTCTGGAAGTTTTGCACCACCGGACTGTGGGCAAATTGGAGGCTGTTCAGTGGCAGGCTGGATAGATGTCCTGTTCACTAGAGGGGCCTGTGGCGCTTGCCATCGCAGCTTTCCAACGGGAGGGGCCGCATATCGAATCCTATCAAACAATAAGTAAAACAGAATGTTTCCTCAAGCCCAATGCGGTATGTTTCTCACCCTTTGAAGACACTGAGGTCATAGGTGTTGTCATAGTATCCCTGGTAAGTAGCATAACCTAAATCAACCACCGGGCTCGGTGTTTGGACAGGAGTAGCTATACCAGCCGGGGCAATGGTGAGAGCCAGAAGAACAAGGCTGCTTATCCCTGTGGAACCCATACTACTACTTTTCATGTTGAGATGGGCGAGGGTTGGAAAGAAGGAAAGAAGGAAAGGAGGTAATTCTATTATTTCTATTTGAGACGTGAACATACCTGGAGCCCCTAACGTAACTCGTAAGCGAGTGGATGCACCTGGGCGGCTGTCCCGGCTGTTATCCGAAACCACATTGTTCCCTCCACCAATTAAAGGGGTATCTATACAACATAGACATTGTAAATGTAAAACCACATACTATGAATGATTAGTGCTGTTAGTGTCAAATTTAGCCAGGACAATCCTAGTTAGTGTAAGCGATGCAAATTGTGATTGACCAGCCTTTATTCACATACGCAAGATATGTTCAAAAGTACTATCTGCAACACGGCACCACCTCGGAGTAACATGGGGGCTAAAAGTATACTCGGGAATAGTACGACTTGGGCACTAATGCAATAGGTACTCCATACACTCTACCGCGTAAGCGTTAATATTCCTATCGCGCATACGGTCGGAGTGTTTTAGGAACACTTCTCCCCAATTCCTCTCCATGGACTCGCCCCTTAGCCTTTCACTGACCCATGTCGAACCCGACTATAATGGCGGGGGAAGTCGACTTGAGTGCGTCGCGGGTCACAATCGTGACTGTGTTATATTCAATTCCTATTCCATTTATGATTTTGTTCACCGGGCTCCGGCTTTTCGTCGTACTACGACCCTCGTCCAAAAGTCCTATCAACTTTGATGATTATATGATTCTTTTTTCTACAGTCTGAGCCAACATTTCTTTTCCTTTCCTCGTTTTTCTTTTCTCTCCAATTATCATTTTCTAATACTGCTAGTGTAGGGAATATCGGTTGGGTTATGTATAAGTGGCTTGGTTTACGGTAGGTTGTTATGTCAAGATATGTATTGACTCATATTGAACTTTACTATAGGTCCACCCTATGGATTCGGTAAACACCAAGCTACTCTCAGTACCCAGGAAGTCGAGGGTTTCTTTCGGGTGATTTCAAAAATCTTCATCATACCAATTTACATACTGAACATGCTGGATTCTTTAGGGCGACTATGTCTTTAGTCATTTCTACGACTGGGCCATTGCATGCATTAAACTTTCGATTCTTGGACTTTACTATCGCATTTTCAGCACGGTTATCTTTCGCCGAGTTGTCATTGGCACCGCAGTCTTTATCATTTGCTGGCTCGCGACTATGGAGATCGGCTTAGGGCTTGAGTGTATCCCTATCGAGACAATCTGGGATCTCGATGTGACGGGCACCTGTATAGATCTGGTGGCATTCTCCTACTTCACCAACATTACAAACCTGGTCACCGACGTATGGGTGTTTCTTCTCCCGCTCCCGATTATCTTCAGACTGCACATTAATCGACGGCGAAAATTTGAGATCGCATGTGTTTTTGCCGTTGGTCTATTGTAAGTTATCCGGCCCGCTCTCCGAAAGTTTCTTCTAATGGGTGTAGCACATGCGGCGTTACTCTTGCTCGCTTAACCGTTGTGGTCTCACAAGGGTCGTCCGACTTCACTTGTACGTCCAAATGAAATCTCCCCACGATTCAATTCGCGAAGCTGATGGAAGATTTAGGGGCCGGTGTTCCCCTCGGAATTCTGTCTATATACGAGCCACTTTGCGGAATCACTTGCGCGAATCTCCCCTTTCTCTACAAACTAGCAAACGGACACTTCAAGAAATCTTCTTCTCGCTATCCCTCGCATACAGGGGAGTCGGCCTCCGAGGTTAAAGCTAGGCAAAATAGCTCAAAGAGACATAGAAGATCCATGCCTACGCACAGTGAAGGGATGATGCTCTCACGGAAGGGGAATGATTCGACAACATTTATTGTGACACGATCTAATCAGAATCCAGAGATGGAGCTATCGACGGTCGAAAGATCGTATTCCGGGTCTCAATCAGATAGCTATGAAATGTTAGGGAGGTAAATCAGCAATCACTCTCACATCGCAGCCTCAAAAAGTACCTACATTACGAACCCTCTCTCGCTTGGCAAACCTAGAGCTAACGTGGGCCAAGGTGAAGAGTTTCTCCAGTTTCTCCTCGAAATGGCTATCAACGGCCCCATAGGTTAAGTCTACCCAGTCTACCCAGTGGCAAGAAATACCAGCTTAAGAGCTGAAGATTGAAGTGATTGTCTTCCAACAATGGCAACGCTGCTCTCCCGTCCACACTAGTCCCCTTTAGGTAACACCCCTTTAAACGAAATATGTCGTAGGGAAAGCATTGATCCTTATTAAACCTCTGTCACTCTTTTATCAACACATTCTATAATTGTTGGTCTCTTTTGAAGTGTCAACAATGTTCAACCAAGTCCCAGGGAACTTGTGGGATGCTCTGTTTCCCTGGAGTGGGAGTTCATGCAGTAAAAGATATCTTCGAGATGCTACGCAAGGTTAGTCTATGCTCTAGTCTAATTCTACTTATTCTCAAAATGGACCCTCAGCTGACTGGACACCAACTGATCTAGAATCTATCCTCAAGGAACTCCTTGAAGCATTGAAGTCAAGAACATTGGAGCGAAAAATATCGGAGCGAAAACAATGGGAAGGAGAGTGGGCGGATGTAGAGAAAACCTTCCACAACTACGCCCATGAAGACCCATGCACCAGGAAACGATGTAAGGAAATAATTACCATATAATTTTCATTCCCAGATTTCGATTATATGAACTAACGGAGATTTTAGATTGGAATGAGGATAGCTTTAAAGAACATATGAAGCAACACATCCTGGCCTTGCAAGGTCTCACTTCACAACTCTACTGCCGTGGAGATCATTTCATTTCCATGCATTTCACCCATTCCCACAAGATTTAACAAATGGGAAAGTTGACCTGGAAGCGTTTCAGCGCGCCGTTCTGATACTCATCGCCCAAGGTGCTGATCTCTTAGGCCTGTTAGCAGAGATCGACGTCCACTGGCAGTTTTACAATGACGAGAACCTCATTCGCCAGGCTAAAGTAAAAAGAATTTTCAGAAGCATCGCAGTCCCAGAACGATCCACCGCCCTAATGGAGGATGAATTGAATTTCCTTGTGGAAGAGACTGCCGGTGGGCATGGTGCAACCTTGGTCTATGCCTAATGTTCCCGTTCCAGGACAAGTGTTTCCTGCTGCAAGGCACCTAGTTACCGGGGATATTATTCAAAGTAGACGTCGCTTAGCTCGAAAAGATTTCGTGATGTTACTTAGTATCCTTATTCGACTAGGACCACATGTGTCTACATCATTTGGCAGCTTCGAGGAAGTGGATGTAAATGACAGGCTACCCAACATCCTAACAGACTCGATTGGTGGTCAGGACCGAGATTATCTTGAATTTGATCAAGCTATCTTGATACTACATTTACTAGTGAGTATTATTTTTCAAACCCTCGTGAGTATAGCTCGAGATTCAGTTAATGTTGCTGATCTTTCGTAGCCAAATCTGCATGTGAAATTTTCACAAATGTGGAAAGTTTTCTTTCAGCCTCCCATGCCCGGACATTGCGAGTTTCAGCCTCACATACCAAATAGCATCTCGGATCAAGTCCTCGGCGCTATCTCACTATTTGTGCCTCAACCTATTACGGGCTTGAACGGGCCGACAGAAGAAGAAAGGTGGATTGCCCTCGAGTCGATCAAAGCATCACCAAAGGATGAGATACCAACGGTGATTGATATAGCTGAAGCTTGTACAAGTGATCCACACCCCCATGTGGTGCTTGTTACTGGAAAAAATACCCAAACCTCTCAATATACAGTAGTAGGGGCGTATCTACCTCCACTGTCACTGAAAGGACTCTCTCCGCGTCTTTTCTTCGAGCTGCAGCCCCAATTTCGTCTTCACCGATGGACCAGCTCTCGCAAAGAAATGGTGGGCATGGTTATTACGGACAAGGCCAAGAATAGGACTACAGACGAGAAGACTTCATTATCTCAAGACTATAACGCCGGGACCCCCTGTGATGACCTCGAATCTAACAGACCATTTTGGATTGGGCGCCCAGAAGGCGAAGGAAGTTGCATAACAAGCGACCCAGTGAAAAAGCTGGCATCTTTAGCGTGTCATGCTACGTATATTCAACTTACATTCAGTCACCTTGTTGTGTTCGGGGTTTCAGGGGGCTAGCCAACGGTACTTGCAGATTTCAAAAATACAAATACAGAGTGGGCAAAAGCTCTACCAGGGATCATTCAGGTGGACTCAGCGCCCAGAGTTCAGGGGAAAGGGCTCAAAGCACGAATCAGGGGGTTTGGTCCTAGTTGATCGATAGACTTTGGAAACTATCCATATAGCGTTAATGTAATTGCCGAGATGCGAGACCTAATTTAGAATACACCTCAGCTGCCTGTAGATGAGATGTGTACTACCAGGTGGGTATAGTTAATGATCAATCACTAATGGAATGCGAGAATGTAGATAAATTATTCAAGAAGCAAAGAGGTAGAAATAGGAGATAAAACAATACAAAAAAGGTAAAATGACAAGCCAAGCTTCATCCAGATCATTTGTCCTGGTATTTCCCATTGTTGATGCAATGACACCTCCAGCTGGGTGACGTTCATTTTGGTTTCTCGCCAATAAAGGCTGCAAGGCTGTTTCCTCGCACTAGACTCCTCGCACTAGACTTCTCCCACAACCCGTGTGGCTATTGGATTGCTATCTTACAATATCAGCTGGTAGTATGTAACTTGGAGCAAGATGTGGTAAATTAAAATCCAGGAGGAAATCTCAACTACTCTAAGATGAATTCTCATCACTCAACCCTAACCTATCTTCAATAACCTTGACTATCTCGGTCCATTCCAACATAGCGCCACTCCCCACGTCCCCACAAGCCAACACCTTGGACGACTGCGGTTGTAGAACCTCAAACCAGCCCGTCTCCTCTCCCGTATTCTCATCTTTTCGAACCCCCCATTCTTCCTCTAGCACCCGGATATGCTGAGCCGTCACTGGGTGTCGCCACATAGCCGTATTCATAGCCGGCGCGACTACAATTCGTTTTCTTTTCCCGTCAACCTGGCCGTATGTATCCCATGCCCGACATACAGACGTTAACAGATTATCGCTAAGTCCATTGGCGAGCTTGGCTAGGGTGTTTGCGGAAAGAGGAGCAATAACAAGGATATCTGCCCAGCGTCGGAGGGAGATGTGCAAGATGTCAACACCGCGGCGCCAGGGTTCTGGCCCCCACTCCGCGTCGTCGTCGTAGACGGCTTCCACGCCAGGGAGGGAAACGAGGGACGAGACGGGGGGCTGCTCGGCGGACTGGCCGGCTAGGAATTGCTTGGCTTTGGTGGTGAGGATTACCCTTATTGAGAGCTTGTGGGTATGAGGGGAGAGTGCGCTGATGATATTGGCTATTTTGATTGTCGCGACTGAGCCCGTTGCGGCAAGGAGGAGATGAATGCGATTGTCACAGATTGATGTCTTTGATTCTGTGGCTTTGTCTGAGGGGCCAGTGCCACTGCCGGAGTGGGTGATTTGAGACATGAGTCCGGATATAAAGTTCTCGAATGTTTCAACTTAGTGGCATATATAGCGAGTCGTTATGGGCATGAGATCGGTCCGTTTACGTTGAGAAAAGTGGGGTGATAAGGACTTATCGATAAGAGTTCTACTCTTTTAAGTTTCCGATGTAGCTTAAGGAGGTTGGTGATAGAATCCAGTATCTTTTATTTGTTTTTCGTACTAGAATGAACCAAGCTTCTTGGCGTAGAATACGCTGGCCATTGGTATCAATACTATTCCCATTAGTCCGATGAGTGTGGTTCTTTTGTTAATTACACTCATTCGAACCCTGCATTTTGAATAATATATAGATCACGCCCGAGAAGAAAAGTATAACTCTTGCATGCTCCCTATATCCAACAGCAGCAAACTGAGCAAATCAAGTGCTCTTCTTAGCATTCTCACGCTCGGCCTTGCGGAGAGCGCGCTTCCGAATGCTCTCGTGCATAGACTTGTTTTGCCCGAGAACAAGCTTACCCATAGTCCCAGAAACAGAAGTCAAGAACCAAGCCATGATACCATGACTCCAGTAGGGCGACGAGCTGTAAGCATAGGAAGGCGAACCACCGCTGCGACCAATCTTCGAGAGCACGGAGCGGACGAAAGCGCGCGGGGTGGGGATGGAAGCCGAGGCACGACGGATCTTGGACATGGCAGAGGTAATCAGGTAGGCTTGAACAAGTTCCACGTCAATGCCGTAGGGGGCCAACTCGCCACCAAGAGCAGTAGACCAGTGCTGAAGGAAAGCCTTGCTGCCGGAGTAAGTGGCGAGGAAAGGTGTAGGCAGGAGACCGCCGAAAGAGCCCATGGTCAGAATCAACCCACGGCGACGCTGCATCATACCAGGAACGATAAGCTGAGTGACGCGCAGCGTACCGGTGCAGTTGATGGTCACAATATCGGCCATCTCTGCAGCGGGGGTCTGCGCGAATGGAACGGGGATCGAGTGGCTCAGGCCGACGTTGTTGACTAGCACAGACACGTCCAGATCGGACACCAGTTCGCTCAGCGCCTCGAAGTCGGCATCGGAGTTGCGCGCGAAATCCATTGCGAGAGTCTTGGTCTGCACCTGCGGGAACTGCTTGCTAATATCCTCAGACAAGGTTGCTAGCTTCGAGGCGGTTCGCGACACGAGCACGATGTTGAATTTCGACTTGGCCAGTTGCAACGCGAATTCCTTGCCTAGCCCGTCTGACGCGCCTGTTACCACGGCCCAGCTACCGGGGGGACCGAACGAGCGAAGCTATTCAATTATTTTAGTCAGCTTCATCTTCTTAATGCGAGGACCTGGATATCTAATTTCATACCGGTTTACCCGGAAGCACGAACAGGCTGAGAAGCACCCGCACGAACGTCCAAACCTTGCAGGCAATTACCAGCCCACCAGTCGCCAGGAGGAACAGCGCTCCATAAGTAGGTAAGCCCGGGCCAATATGGCTTGGCCATTTCGAGATACACTCAATATGCTTCGAGATATCCATAATGAGCAAAGAAATGTGAATAGCAAGGGGTTGACAGAAGGGAAAAAAAAGTTGAGCAAATCAATGCGAGAGACTTGTTGGGATCAACGCCAAGAGTTCCGAACATCCTCGGTCTCTCCAAGTCAACAAGAAAACCACACTCCCTTCAAACCAAAACAAACCAAAACAAACCAATTCTCACTCAAAAATGGATCAATATCTCGCCTATTTTCCCCAGTCCGAGGGCCTACTTCCCAAATGGCTTTTCTTCGTAAGTTCTGCTCGTGTTTATCACTGCCACTCCGAACCCCTAACTACTAAATACACCCATTCGCCAATGTAACTAACCACCACCTTTCTGTATAGGTTTCGGTCGTCTCCGCTCTTAACAGCGTGCAAGCCTACAGTGCGCCAAAATATACCTCCCAACTCTACAGTAATGGCAAGGTCCCCGCAAGCCCGCTCTCCGGCCGCGTCTTCGGAACCTGGACATTCCTCTCTGCAGTCATTCGCATGACCGCTGCTTACAACATCACAAACTCTGTCGCATACGATCTTGGCATGTGGACGTACGGCATTGCGCTGGCACACTTTGTTGGCGAGCTCATCTACGGCGATGCCGCGATCGGAGGCCGGTTCTTGAGTCCTTTGATTGTTGCATCGTCTTCGTTGGCTTGGATGCTCACCCAACGTGCGGCGTACCTGGGTTAAAACCCTGATTTTGGAAAAGGAGATTATCTGGCTTCAGGGGATCGACGCAACATAATACATCGAACCAATAGCTATGGAGAAAAGTGAGCATTGCATGATGCGCCACAGCCATGTACAACATATGCTTCGGCACAAAATATTTGGCGGGGAAAATAATACATATGTATACTATAAGAGGAAATATCTTCAACTCTGGTATAACCCAATCCAGACATGATCACTTTCTTTTTTCTTTTTTTAATTCCAAGACACTTCACGAATCAATCTTCTTCCTGTACAACTCACCACCACAAGCGCGCAGCTTAGCAGCAGCTTGCTCAGGGGTGATATCACGTTGAGGCTCCGCCATAAGCTCATAACCGACCAAGAACTTGCGCACGGTAGCGCTTCGCAGCAGAGGCGGATAGAAGTGCAAGTGCAGGTAGGAAGCCTCAATCTCCTCCTCGGTACCATCAAGCGGGGCTTGGTGAATACCCATACTGTAAGGGAAGTGCGTCTCGAAGAGATTATCATAGCGACGGGTAGTCTCCGCAATCGCCTCAGCAAGCAACATCTTCTCAGCCTCGGACAAATCCACGAGCGCGCGCTTGTGTGTGCGGCTAACGATCATCGTCTCAAACGGCCATGTCGCCCACCACGGACAGACAACCAGAAACGCCTCGTTCTCAAACACAACACGCTCCTGCTTGCGGCTCTCCAGCGCCGCATAATCCTCCAGCATGTGGTTACCGCCATGTTGCTTGCGGTACTTGGTCAGCTGCTCCATTTCGGCGGCGGGCTCTTCAGGCATTGAGCTAGTCGTCCAGACTTGACCGTGCGGGTGCGGGTTCGAGCATCCCATCGCCGCGCCCTTGTTCTCGAAGATCTGCATGTACCGATACTGCTCCTTTGGCTTGGTGGCGCTTGTTGAGTGGGATGTGGGCTGCAGCGTTGTTGCGGGGGCATTCTTCACTAGCGGCGAGGTCGGGGATAGGTGTGCTGTGTAGATCTCTGTCCAGGCGTCGATCACAGGTACGATCTCGCGGGGCGCCAGATCGGCGAGTGTGAGGTTGTGCGCGGATGAGAAGGTGAGCACATAGCACTTGCCGGTTACAGGCTCGGCTTTGAGGAATCGCGATTCAAGTTCTATAGTTTATGAGCTTAGTACTTGCGGTGCGGATGCGCTGGGCGGTTGGACGTACCATCCTGGTTTGAGGGCTCATAGGCCGCCTGTTCTTCCTTCACTGCGCTGTAGTCGTTCACGAATACGAAGGTGCTCTCATAATTGGGGTTGGTATCGCCCTGGGCGCGCTCGTTCCCGGGACAGAGGTAGCATTTGGGGTCGTAGTTTGGCAGGGTAGTCTTAGAGGGGCTTTCTTGCGCTCCTCTAAATTGTATGATTAGCTGGTCTGTTGTACAATATCGTTTTATCCCGACAATACTCACTGCCAGGGACGCTTGGTTCGGTGGGGAGAGACCAAGATGGAGGAGCCACGGAGAGGGTTATATCTCCGGTGGGAGATGTCGTCGAGTACGTTTTCCATTGCTGTAGATTGGAGTGATCCTAGGGTAGAATAGCTTGGAGAGAAAATAAGGAAGGAAAAGAAAAGAAAGCAGAAATAATTGAAAGGGTCTGGGTTGGACTTTGGTGGGGAGGCGGGGTCTCCGGAGTAGGAATGTGTCAGGTTACAGTTAAGCGACGCCAACTGCTACAGGGAACGGATCTCGCCTAATATAAACATCGAGACTATGTTGCGAAGTTATACAAGCAATTCTACGTATACAACGTCTTGGCATGTCTTTTTTTTCTCGGTGAGCCGTCCAGGAATCGGGATCCCGCAGTTTTCCGGGGAAACATGCGCCTTCGGAACAACGGGTTAACCTGAATTCAGCCCAAAGAGGAAATTCAGTGCCGCAGTTCAATCAAAATCCCCGGTTGTGGTCCCCACGTGGTGGATTGGCTGTGGACTGGCACACCAAAAGGCCCAAAAGGGAAATTTATGCCCGCCATCTCGCAGTATGACGTCGCTTATCGCTTATCGCCCGGGGCTATCCGGGCCGTACAATCTTGGATTCTGTTGGACGGCAATGAACAGCAACACCGTGTAACTCACATGAACTTGTTACCTGCTGTATTAACACTTGGAGTATAATAGCTAGCATATATGGCCTCTATTCCTAGCTTGAACCCAAATTAACAATAATCAAACCGTCACTATGAACCCCGCCAACCCCGCGGTGACCTTGGACTCGCTACCCAACGAAGTATGTCCACAGAGTATACTATGGACCAATGACTCTAAATATGTCTCTAGGTTTTCGTCCAAATCCTATCCGACTTCTCAACTAGGGCACTACTCCCACTCACATCAGTCAACCACCGACTCCACGCCTTGGTCCTAAGAATCCTCCACTACCGCCTACTCCTCAGCACACCACTCAAGGAATACAAATTACTGCTGGAATGCTTTCACCCTAGCTCAAAGCTCACCGAGCCACACGTCTTCTGCAAATATCTCGGTACAGATGGACTGAGCGAGCGTCATGATGGCGCAGGCTCGTTGTACGAGAATGTCGATACTGCCCACCAACTGGGTAGAGTGACAGGCCTATATTCGCGCTTCCGTCCAGAGGCAAGCAACAATGAAGAAGAACAAGACACAGATGGCTCTGACTTCGGTGTCTCGCCAGGTAGGATACTTCTGTTGTCCGGGGTGGTGGGGTTCATACGGGCTGACATGAATGGGGGTCGAGAGGGCAAGGGAGATGATGCAGTGATACGTGAGGTTACTTTAGATGGATATGAGGATTTCTCACAGTTATGTGTGGTGGTCAATCTAGTGCAAGTCAAGCCGGGGACGTCGTTGCTATTGAGTGCATCGACTATTGAGGACGGGGTAGTTCGGTTATGGAGGGAGTGGTTGCGTGGTCAAAGTGGAGAGATAAAGAAGACTCCCGAGACTAACTTAGAAGAGGGCTCTGAAAAGGCTCGTATTTCTTCCGACGAGGGTATACTGTGGGTGGATACAAGCAAGACCGTTGGGCTGAAAATGCGCGTGCGCCCGAAGGCGTGGGATCCGTCTTTCCCAGTGCTCGTACATCAGGATGATCGGAATGATGATTCTTGCGTTGGGTATGAGGTTATTTTACAAGGTGAGTTGCTGCTGCTATCGAGAGGATACCGTGTTGACTTAGTAGAACTACACATCCGTTCTATGCGCTTACTGTTAGCAGTCGAGCAGTCAAAGGAAGAGCAGAAAATCCACCAAACCAACGCAATGGTGATTGGGGCTGCCCCAATCTCAGTATCTTGAGTACGGGTGGATTAATTTATTCCATGGCAGCATATAATATAATTGTACATGGCAAATACTACTAAATAGTGGTTTCGGCGAATCAAAAGGGAAGATCTTGTAATCTATATGAATAGACTATGCCGTTACATGTATAGTTAACATAAAGTGACTATCAGGGCTCACTAAATCAGGTACTAATACTAATATATGGGTATGATATCTCTCCTTAGTCATCGGTGTATTGATAATCATCAGGTGCCTCCTTATGGTATCACGCCAAATCCTTTTTTGCCCTGACAATGAGTTCTGTGGTGTGCGTATAAAGATGTTATAATGTGCCTGTATTTGTATCTGCCAAGCCATCCAAGCCTTCGGGAAGCCGTAAAAATAGCTTTCGGGCCGATGTTCGGGCCAGTCAGGTTGCTCCAGGGCTTATAATGAACTCCACTGAAAATTTGTGCAAGGGGTATCTAATTGCCGAGATATATTCTATGTAGAGACAGTGGGGGAATCTTGAAAGGTCTGATTATTCGATTATTAATAATAACATAATGAGCCGAATAACACCGAGGCTGCTTTCGGTTATGTTTGATATTTCGGTTTCTTATATTCTCATATTCTAATGTTCTATTCTCGCTTATCTTGCTGTTTTGGCCATATCTCATAGATATACCACTGGTTCACCTGATTGCTATAGCACCTGGTCTGAACCCCATGACAGTTCCTACCGACGGGGGCGAGGCTATGCTGCCTTCCAAAATTCCTTTCTGGCGCCTGATCTTCGAACAAAAGATCGTCACCGAGGAAGTCATGCAATTTCCATACACAGGCTCAGGCACTGAAGATGATCCATACGCCGTGGTCTGGATCCCCGCCGACCCACGCAACCCCATGAACTTCCGCTCGATCAGGAAGTGGTCTATCACACTCCTAGTATCATTCCTGACTCTCGCGGTGTCATTGGTATCATCCGCATTCTCAGGCGGAATGAGCCAGATCATGGAGGACTTTGGTGCTTCCCAGGAAATCGTCATTCTAGGCGTATCGCTCTTCGTCCTCGGATTCGCTATTGGACCATTGGTCTGGGCACCCCTTAGTGAAATCTTCGGCCGGAGACATATCTTTACCACCTCGTTTATGTTTCTCACCGTGTTCAATGCCGGTGCAGCGGGTGCAAAGAACATGGAGACACTCATTATACTGCGTTTCCTAGCGGGTTCCTTTGGATCTTCCCCCTTTGGAAATGGAGGCGGTACTATTGCAGACATGTTTCCAGCGTCTCAGCGTGGTATCGCTATTAGTCTTTTTGCTGCTGCACCCTTCCTAGGACCGACATTAGGCCCTGTTATTGGAGGATTCCTCGCTGCCGCTGGCGGCTGGAGGTGGGTGGAGGGACTCCTTGCTGCATTCTCGGGTCTTCTCTGGCTTTGTATCATCTTCTTGTTACCGGAAACATATGCACCTGTCCTCCTACGTCGGCGCGCAGAAAGGATGTCTGTCTTAACTGGCAAAGTCTATCGCAGTCAGTTTGACATCGATCGTGGCCCCGCTCCTATGGGTAAGACGCTGAAGACCGCTCTTTCCCGCCCGTGGATCCTGCTCTTCTGTGAGCCAATTGTGCTGCTTTTCTCCATCTATATGGCAATTATCTACGGCACACTCTATATGCTCTTCGCCGCCTACCCAATCGTCTTCCAAGAGGTCCGCGGCTGGAGCGAAGGTGTCGGCGGTCTCGCCTTCCTCGGTATCCTCGTTGGTATGATGATGGCCGTGATATACACATTCCCCGAGAACTTCCGTTACGCCAAAAAGTGCAGCCAGACCACCGATCGACTTGCCCCCGAGCTGAGACTACCCCCAAGCATGGTCGGCGGTATAGCCCTACCAATCGGCCTATTCTGGTTCGCCTGGACCAACTCGCCTAACATCCACTGGATGGTCTCAGTCGCAGCAGGAGCCCCCTTTGGCTTCGGCATGGTCCTCGTCTTCCTGAGCGTGTTCAACTACCTCATCGACTCATACACGATCTTCTCTGCGTCCGTGCTGGCCGCAAATTCTGCCCTCCGCTCACTGTTCGGCATGGCATTCCCGCTTTTCACAACCTACATGTACCATAACCTGGGCATTCACTGGGCCTCGTCGATCCCAGCCTTTTTGGCGCTTGCATGCGTGCCCTTCCCGTTCATTTTCTACAAGTATGGCGCACGTATCAGAAAGTGCTGTAAATACGCTTCTGAGGCGGATGCCTTTATGCGCCGCCTTGCCGAAAGGAACCAGGCCGCCCGCAGTGAACAACCTGGTGCGGAGAATGAGAAGAAGACAGACTCAGTGGTGCAGGTATCTGATGATGAGGATTTTAGTGACACTAATACTTTGTCTACGGTTCCGTCTCGTGGTACGATCGCACGGTATGCCTCTCGTGTGTCTCGGCAATCTGGGCGGTCTTTCCATCGCGTTGCAACTGCGACGCAATACGAGGAGAATCCTTATGACTTGGATCTGGTCAATACTCGACAGTCAGCTATCAGCCGCAAGGATTGAGTGGAGGGCTATGATTACCCTTTATGCTCTATCATCCCCCCCCCCCCCCCCCAATAAATATTTCGTGCGATCTTGGCTCGGTAAAAAGAACTGTGCTTGGTCTGGTCAACCGACAAGACTGACAAGACCACGAACCCCCAGGCCATGCCTGACGCTGGGTCTCGCCGAATGAATCACGGTCTGTGAACTCCAGTCTCCTTGGAGGCGAATTCTAGGCAAAATCTGACGTGGTTATAGGGTCAGATACCCTTGGATTCCCACCAAATGCGATGCTATTCTGACATGTGTTGGCCCGCCGCATACTACAAAATTATTAGCTATTCAATATACCCTAATTTTATTTCATCTAAGAACCCATATTGACTTCCAGCTTCTTTTTTGTCGAATAAAATTTAACATATAACTCGACAGAAAAGAGTTGGTAATTTAGGAAGATTTAAACGATCACTCATCATCGTCGGGAGAGCCTCGGTCCATCCCCACCTCGGTCCCAACCTCCGCACTATAAGCAACTCATCTTCGCTGGCTAAACTACCCTTACTCGTAATACTGGGATTAAATAGGAGTTTACCATTGACCCATAATTACTCGTCATGTCTGGCAAGATTGACGCCTACCTTGACTGCGGTATGCAAACCTTCAACTCCACCCCCTGGGCGGCGCCTTGAAGCGCATTCACTAAGTACCCCTTGACAGTATCGCCATACTCATACTATGCGGCGCTTTATCTACGAAAAAATCGCAAAGCTCTAGAGTCACATGGGGTCGAAGTTGAGTATGTACATCTCTTGTTGATATATGGGATATGCGCTAATAGGCCAGATTCCACCCTGTCTTCTTAGGCGGGATTAATGTCGGCTCAGGTATACATTATCCCAAATATAATTCGGATTTAGTTGTTAGTTGTTAGGGTTACTCACATCTTGAACAGGAAATAAGCCCCCCTGGACCCTCCCCGCCAAAGCAGCGTACTCCAAATTCGACTCGGAGCGAGCATGTAAATACTTCGGAGTCCCCCAGATCAAAACACCAGAGTTCTTTCCAATCCTCTCAATCATGGTTAGTTTTATCATCTGTACGTCTTCGAAATACCTCTCCGTCGCTAACCAACCAGCCCCAACGATGCATGATCTACATCAAAGGCCACTTCCCACGCGAGAAGTACGAAACGACATTCCTGTCACTATGGGAGTGGATGTTCTACAAAAACATCGACATCAGCAAGCCAGAGAAACTAGCCGAGCTATTCCAGAGCAACGGGTACTCCGACTCGGAAGTCAAGGAGATCCTGACCGCGGCATCAGACCCGGAATTCAAGCAGGCTTTGACGGCTAATACGCAGACTGCTCTTGATAAGGGCGCTTATGGCGCGCCGTGGTTTTGGGTGCGCAACGCTGAGGGCAGGGAAGAGCCGTTTTTCGGTAGTGATCGGTAGGCTATGTATGATCTCTGTGCGATGAATGAATGCTGATCTTTTTTAGGTTTGCGTTTATGTGGATGTATCTCGGATTGCCCTTTCATGATGTTGCCATTGTTGAGAAGGAGAAGTCCAAGCTTTAGACTGAGTATAATATAGTCTTGGGCTCGTATTTTGTGAATGTCAGATCGTATCATGTTCCACATGGTTTTCTAGCCTCTTCTGAAGTTGTTCCACCCCACAACACCTAATCAATCGGCAAAATTATGCCCAGGGAAGGTTAACAAGCCCAAGAGCAATTCTTGACCATCACCAGTCACCTATGCCCATGGTGTGCAGACTAATTTCCACACTGAACGTTTTTGCATGTTACAGCGAAACCCTTGAAGAGCTAATGCAGTTGAATATGCTGCAGATGATCATTCATCATCCACTTGGCCCTTTTCAGCTTGCTTTGTCCGTATTATCGAATCAACCCTCAGTCACTAATTTAGGATGTATTCCCGCGTTGGTTTCCGGCTTCAGTGTTATAGTCCTACTAACTATTGCAATATTCGATGTGAGGTTCTCTCTCCTCGGAAAGCTTCGAGATAACCAGATCTCATGTCTCACCGGATAGAATGCCGGATATGGTCTCCTTCGAGTGAAATACCGAATTACCACCGATTTCACGTCACTTCCAGGGTGCAGACCGTCTCATTCAGTATTCATCGGAGGGGGAGCCAGAAAGAGAGTCGGAGAAACGCTCCCTAAGATGTGGATTCGGAATATGAGGATGAGGATATGGCTCTTTTGCCTGTAAGAGTCCTGTTTCGGTTGTACCTGTGTCTTAACATCGAAAGAAGTTGATGAAGCTAGAACGGGGTGGAAATATCAATGAGATGTGTAGTATACTTCCACATCCGGCTAAGCTCTGAACCATTTTACCCCACACCCCATATAACTCCCGATTATCCCGATACTCCCCACATCTTCCAGTCTTGTTTTACAACCTTTTATATTCATTTCCATCTCCATCTCTACATATACACACACATTCTAGAAATCATGACCGCACCTAGAGTTGCATGGATAGGCCTCGGCAACATCGGCCGAGTAAGTCACCTCGCACATCCCCTCCCCGCATTCCACCCCATCTAACCCACTAACTATCCCAGGGCATGAGCCAAAACATCTCCCAAAAGGGCCCCCAAACCGAACCCCTCCTCCTCTACAACCGCACAACCGCCCGAGCAACATCCCACGCCTCAAAACTCCCCAACACCAAAGCCGTAACAACCCTCACAGAAGCCGTATCTCAATCCGATGTGATCTTCACCTGCGTTGGCGACGACGCTGCCCTAAACTCAATCGTCACGGCAATCCTTTCAGACCCCACAATCCCCCAAGACCTATCAGACAAGACCTTCATCGACTGCTCAACCGTGCATCCTGATACATCGCGAGCTACCGAAACAGCGATCAACGCACGTGGAGCTGGATTCGTCGCGTGTCCAGTATTCGGGGCACCGAATATGGCCGATGCGGGACAACTTATTGTTGTTCCAGCGGGTAAGCGAGCAGCTATTGAGAAAGTGCGGCCGTTTTTCGATGGGGTTGTGGCTAAGAAGACGATTGATCTTTCGGCGGGGAGTGGAGGGGATATTGATGTTGGACGGGCGTCTACGCTGAAAGTACTGGGTAACACGTTCATTCTTAATACTGTCGGTGTTCTTGCCGAGGCGCTTGTTGCTGCTGAGGCGTCTGGGCTTGGGGTTGAGCCGTTGCAGGAATGGTTAGGGCTTTTTGCGCCAGGGCCGTTTGCTAATTATGCGGAGAGGATGGTTGGTGGGGATTATTGTACCCGGGAGGAGCCGCTGTTTGCGGTTGATCTTGCTAGGAAGGATTTGGGGCATGCTTATGGGATTGCGAAGGAAGGGGGTCTGCAGATGAAGAATGTTGAGGTTATGGATGGGCTTCTGGAGGTAGTTAAGGAGGAGAAGGGGGCTAAGGGAGATGTTGCTGCTGTGTATGGGGCTGTTAGAAAAGGAGCAGGTATGGAATTTGGGAATCAATAAGAGATTACAGATTAGTGAAAGCATGGAATCAATCCGATAAAAAATAAGATTGCTATAGCAAGCCTTGCTTGTAATGCTATTAAATCATAGTCTCCATAAGGATATGGTGGAGACTCAGCTAATCAAAGAGTAGAGTTAATTATGAACACAGAATTTTGAAAAGAAAAAAGCAACCACAAAAGTGATGCGCCATACGCGCTATCTTTTCAGTCATCATTATATTACTCCTCGCGGATTTCGTGAGACTGGTCGTGGTGCTGGTGCTCGCTAATGCCAGCCTCGCCCTCCTTGGCGCCCTGAGTGGAAGGTCGGTGCAGGTCGGCAACGATGCCCTCGGGGGGAACCCAGCTGGAAGACTTCCAGGGCTTGACGTGGAGGATGTACATGGTGTCGACCTCCTCGAGGGTCCGGCCCTGGGTCTCGTTGACGAAGAAGAAGACAACGAGAATAGCGAGGAAGCAGCAGGCTGCGAAGACGTAGCCGTAGCGGAAGTCGATGGTGTTGGAAATGAAGGGGGTGAAGAAGGAAATCAGGAAGTTCCAGGTCCAGTTGGCAGCGGTAGCAACACCCATACAGACAGCGCGGTACTTGAAGGGGTACATCTCACCACAGATAGCCCAGACGATAGGACCCCATGTAGTGGCAAAGCCGACAATAAAGAAACAGGTGAAGACAATCATAACAACACCAGCAGAGTGATTGGAGGGGTCATTGTTCAGGATCTCATGGCCGACAGAGGCCCAGATCATGAAGCAGACAAACATCCATGCGGCACCGTACATCAGACACTTGCGGCGACCATAGTGCTCGACGATGTACAAACCGGGAAGGGTCATACCAAAGTTGACAGCACCGAGAATGATGGAGGTGACGTAAGAGTTGTTAAGACCGATACCCTGGAAGATACTAGTTCCGTAGTAGAAGATGAAGTTGGCACCGGTCAACTGTTGCAGAGACTGCAGAGCAACGCCGAGCAAGATACGGTGCAACATGCGGGGACCGGTGAAGACCTCCTGCCAGGCAGCCTCGCCGTGGGCGAGCTCCTCCTCAAGCTTCTGCTTCATGTCGGCCATCTCCTGGGCAACGACACGGTGGTTGTGGGGAACACCGTAAAGCTTGCACATGACCTCACGGGCTTCTTCGGTACGACCGTGGCGGTAGGCGAAACGAGGGGACTCGGGCAAGAACAAGGTACCGATACCAAGGATCAGGGGCCAGGCGAAGCCAATGCCCATGGTGATGCGCCACGAGGAGTCATTGTGAAGGCCCTCAGTGCCGAAGTTGACAATGTAGGAGATGAAGATACCGAAGGCGACGAACAGCTGGAAAGCACTGACCATGGCACCGCGGACCTGTCGGGGTGCAGACTCGGACTGGTACATGGGGACGACACTGGAAAGGGCACCGACACCCACACCAGCAACCCAACGGCCGAGAGCAATTTGGTACCACTTGTCGGTGGTGGCAATCTGCACAATAATACCGACGATGTGGAGGAGAGCCCAGAAGGAGATCGAGAACTTGCGGCCAATGCGGTCCGCAATGGGGGCAGCCACCAGGGCACCAATCATAGTTCCGATAGAGAGCTAATAGAGTTTAGTATATCGGTATGGCTTGCATGTGGGAATCCAACGTACCAGGCCAACAATCAGGCCGTTGCGAACGTTACTGAAAGCATATTCTCCGGTGGCGGCGTTGTACTCGGCGAAACGCTGCTTGAAGTCAATCATGGTAGTGAAACCCGCGATTTGACCTGAGGTTGGTTAATAACGTTGCATCCATAGTAACTGTGTAACACTTACCAGTAGAGTATCCGAAAATGAAGCCACCCATGGAGACACACAGACCGAGGATGAACGAACGCCATGTCAGGTACTTGACAGGGCTATCATCGAGAGTGAGGTTATCCTTCTCGGCAGTAGTCGAATCAGCACGAGCAGGAGTTGCAGCCTGGGAGGAAAATTGAGATTCAGCCTTCCCGGGCTTGATCTTATCCATAAAGGTAGAGATACCCATGTTGAACAGATCACAAGATAAATAGAAAGTTGGGAAAAAGAAAAGGGGAAAGGAGAAAGGAGGACGAACTAAATAGTCCCTTGGGTGGCTCTTTCCCTTGGGGTATGAGTACCAGGTACAGCAAAAAACGGGGGCCCGGATCTAGTCCCAGGTTTTTTTGTACGAAATGGGGATGAAATGGGGTGGTAAGGTGGTAAATTTCACTCCACAGACTAAAAAAAGTCTGTTTTTGTCTTTTTCAATCTCTAGCGCCATGTACTCCGTGTTTAGGTTCCTTTTCCGTTTGGTGGAGAAGGTGGAGGACGGGGAATGTTAGACACGTGAGCTGAAAACATACCGTCTATTAGTGATTGTATAGTTTGTGGTATTCATTGTGGGCATCATTGCATTGATACTTCCTATGGATCGGAAGCTATACAATGTAAAGAGTAAACAATAAACAATAAACATGTAATACATAAAATCTAACTGATCACCCGACCTTCTTGCCACCTTCTAGAAACATGCGGGACAGTTGAATATTTTGGGTCCTCGGTGCAAATGTACGAATGAGAATGCAGTGCCTGGATGTTTCTACGTAACGGTGACAATGACACCTATGGACTTATGGTTCGGGTTCTAGCTATGGGGTACAATATAAGAATAAATCACTCATGTCTATTAAAGTGACGTATATACCCAGTTGATCTCCTTTACATCGGGTCCTGATGCCGTGTTTTCTACGGGAGTACCGGAAGATGTGTTGATTGAAAACTGTGCAGGCATGCAATTTACCCTCCAACCTTGGAAAGTAGAAATGGAAATGAAAGGCAACTGAAACCGGGTGGATTCCCCAAGAAAGCAGGTAAAAACCAAAAAAACAAAAAAACAAAAAACAAAGAATACCAATAAAAAGTGAGAATGTTGTTTTACTGAGTGGGTCATAAATGCGTGGACCTCTGCGCTCTACCCGGGTACAGGAACGCTGATCATAGTTAAAATTAAGAGCTTAGGGGTATCTGATTGCAGTTTATAGGTTATTTATAGAGAAGCCCGAAAAAAAGACGCTGTAAACAGAGAGGGATATAGTCCCATTTATATCTTTGAACAAATTCCAGTGACTCAAAACGTGCTGATAAGAAACCTCTCAAGATGGATGGCCAAAGAGAATAGCCCCACTGTCGGTGAGGCTTCGGTCGACTTGCTTCGCAGAGATTTCCGATCTGTTGATTTTGGGCTCCACTTTCTCTCAATCGGCACACCGAATGTGCTTCCTATCCCGAGCCGAGAACAATCCCGAGTCGGGCTGCCGACCCTGGCCGAAAACATCCATGGGTGTATATAATGATATATCTACAATGTATAAATTCAATGTTCACAAATGTTCACAAATACTTCATGACTTCATGAAGACTTCATGAATACTTAACTCTAGCATGATTCCGTTTCCATTTGACTATTTGCCATTTGTTATGTTCGGCATGTCTTTCTCGGCATCCCTTGTTCGGCCTAGACCCATAAAATAAACCCTACGAAAAACTCTGACTGCAAATGCCCAGATGCCAATCCTCTGCCAATGGATATTATTAATAGTTAGGAATCAGACCACCAAAAGAGTGAAGGGAGTAAAAAATCTACGCATGCCCTAAACCTCCTCGAGTTAGCCTCCGGCTGAAAAATGGTAAATAGGGAAAATAGACCCAATCATATCAATTTCACCTTATTGGCATCTCGCTACATATGTACCTATTCCTGTGCGAGCTGGTTTTTCCATGCTATGCTACATTAGACTATGTTTCCCGGACAAGCCCGGAAGACTTTATTTGCTTTGTACGTTGTACGTGTCACAATGTACAATCCGTCTATACTGGATTGGAATTCTTCTTAGGTCCTTGTGTCTGTAAAATAATAAATTATCTTCATCACTTTTTATGCTTAATGCTGTTTGATTGAAGAATCCAGGGCAGTGATTTAAAGTTTATTTGATAATGTTGGATCTTCACTCTTACATGAGGAACATATTAGTGAACCGTAACAAATAACTTCAAATCAAATAAACGAATAATCACTCATCCAGAAAGGTCTAGGTGCCTAATTAATCTTCCAAGGCGATGGTGGTCCTACAGAGGACCATAATGACGTCTACCAAGTACAACATATGTTGCATTAGTACTTATGTGCAGCCTATGTACTATACAAGCACCTAGATCGGTAACCCCACCTCCCTCCATAAGATGCAACTATCACATCATTATCTCCAAGCCGACTTTTTATCGGAACGATCCAGGGAGAAAAATCGCGCTTTATTCTTGTTTATCACATGTCTGATGCCGTCATCGTTCTCTATCCCGTGCTCGGTTAGTAGCCGACATCTGGAGAGAACCTAGCTGTCCCATCCTCGGCATTAGTACTAGGATCTGCCGTATTTTGCCCTGATTATTGGAGTGTACTTACTATGGTCCGAGTCATGCTTACAATATAATACATGCATCATTATTACCTAAAAGATAGATCTAAAGTCAATCGAGCTGTCATATTATCTACGCACAAATATCCCTTTATAACTCTGTAGACTACATACTCTGGCTATATCCTATATACAACATATTTACCTGCTAATAAGCACTATGTTTGTTGTATGCTTAAAGTTTGATTCCTCTATGCCACCTCTGGTGGTACTTTCAAACTTTTCTCATTTTATCACATGGGTAGCAGTTGGTTACTTTTTAAGTTATACTACGTAAATTCCAGGCCTTTAGCAAATATTCAAGACCACAGAATCATATGATTGAGGAAATATTGCTATTGACTATCAATCCACTGGCCAGTGGACTCTTATGGTTGCCCACCATCCAAACAAGCACCGGTGAGACTCACAAGGATCCACCCGTCTCTACCCGCCAGGGGATGATCTTAACGTTACAATCTGGGGGTACAGGAAAGGCTGATTAATAATGAAGACCCTGAAGGAACCTAGAGTTCTCCCGAGTGTAGTACAGATAAAA